TTCACTACTTCCACTCATCTATGCTGAAAATAAATCAATTTTATCATTTCTTAATTTATATCACTTTAAAATGTTTATAATTACAAGTTTTTAATTTTTCACTCATCAAAATATTTTTTACAAAATTTATAAATTATTTTTAAGATTCAGTCGTCCAGACAACTAATATTTCAGTCGTCCAGACGACTGAAAACTAGCTCAGTCTGACTCAGACAACTTACAGGGGCTAAATTCGTAAAAATGTCTTCTGTTTTTTTGTTTGGTCACAAAGGACTATACTGTAATTTCATACCCTTTTTAGGTTAGATTTGCATTTGATTCAAGTTTGAGTCTAGTATTAGGGTTAAAACCAAGTTGTAGGTTAGTTTTGGCAAAAACCCCAATATATAATGTATAAGAATGATAGTGATCATAGTGTCGGGTCCGAAGACAGTTGGGAGTTTATACGAAAATGCATAAATAACAAACAATAGAGTAGGGAGGGTCGTGCGTGGACCGACACAACACAAACAGCCATGAATGAAATTTGAACACATTCATGTCACATGTGCTTCTTCATCGATTCTTTTTGCTTTTTTTCTTATTTAATCTACAAAGGAAACACTAAATGTCTCACTTTCACACAATTGAAAATACACACAATTGTGGTTGGCTAATCACTTCCATAAATGGAGAGGTATGTGTATGTGGTGTTCGTAGATAGACATGCGTTATAGGTTTGTTCGTTATATCGTTTTAGTGATAGATCAGGCGCAACAAATGATAAGGTGCTAAGTGCTAACACAACAACGGTAACAAATAAGTAATTTCTTATATTTGGTATACATATTTGTCAATAATATACTTATTTAGGCTAAATGCCTGACATGGATACGTAAATGTAAACCAGCTAAGAAAACCTTGTCACTAATCTTAAGTTTTATTTTATTATAAAATTAATCAAGTTAGATTTAAATGTGGTAGTGTAATTTGAACTAACTAAAACAATACATATTGCATTTGCTGCTTCAATAAATTTGGTTCAGTAATTTGTAGTTTTAAAAGAAAATTTGGATTTCCGTTTTCATGTTGCCAAAAGCATGTATGATAGACTATATCTCGACATGTTCTTCCAACGGCAAACCAAACTTTTAGAAGGATGTATGTAAACCAAAGGAGGAAAGAAGACTTGGGCTGAGGTCAGTAACAGAAGCAAATAAGGTGAGATGTTTAAAACTCATATGGTGCATATTACCATCTCAGACTTTTCTATGTCTACGTTGGACACGTAGACATATTTAGTCGAAAGTATTTGTATTGTGATGTTAAAATGTAGTAATTTATAGCGACTCACGGTTTCTAGGGAGATATACTTGCTTTCGGACCCAAAATTTCACAATCTTTCCAAAGAAAAAAGTTAATAAAATATGGAGGATTAGAAACTTCACAATTGTTGTGCTCGGAAATGGAACTACTACATCTTTTTGGTATGATATATCAATCGGTTCAACAGGGTCACGAGGCAAGAAATCATCTAGTAGAGGTGTTAAACAATATCGAATTTGAAAGCCAGAAGCTGCTTTACAAGGTATACCCCAAAAAGAAAATTTGAAACTATAGAAAAGAAAAGATGATAATTTAAGCTAAAAATTACATCAAAGTAGATGTGGTTGATGATCCATCAATCACATCCATCAGTATTCAGTACTACTCATAGATTAGATATTATCATTTGTCAATATATAATGATAAAATTAGTAGGTGGTTGTTTTTAAAAATGAATAAAAACACCTGTTTACTGTTGAGATTAGCATTCATTTTGAAAATAATTTCCAAATTCATAATTGGCATTTGAATGATGCAACAGCTTGGGTAAGCATGACCATTGCAACTTCTTCCACCTACTCCAATCTCCAGGACAACTACATATGTCAGTGTCGCGAAGCTGTTACAACGTGTATATCAACAGCCTTGCGAATTTCTTTCATTTATTCCTATTGAATATTACAACACTTGTATTTTATCGTTGATGTTGCACTGACACATAATGAAGCCATATACGGTTGATATTTGATAAACAGACAATCAATAAACGATTGAGATTTAAAGAGATTCAAGATCTTTATTATAGGTCATGTAAAATTATTTTCCTCAAATTATTTTACATGAGCAAAAGATGCAGAACCTCCATCGTGTAAACCACACACACCAAATGATATATGATAAACCAAAACATACAATAAACACATAAGACATATCTCACTCACTTCAAAGAGGTTTGACATTGAACCTGTAAACGAGCTTCTTCTTCTTAGAAGTTGGGTTGTCTACTGTGAGTAAAACCTTGCCAAGCTCATTCACTTTGAAGCTCTGGGTTAACACCGGTTCGTCTGCTGGTTTCATCTTCCTTGGTTTCTGTACAACCACCATATAAGCATCTTTCTCTTCAGGTACAAACTCTGCCTTGTAGCTCACTTCCCACCCAATCACCCTTATCTCCCACACTATTTCACATTTCTACAAAGAAATTAAATATCATCAGGCTTCAAACACTTTAGTGACATCTTAATGCTTTTTAAATGCACTAACCTCATAAATTATGATCTCAACAGTTTGCTTTGTTCCTGGCTTAACAGTGACCTCCGAGGCTGGATCATCCAAGGAGAAGTCTGGATTGCAGTCACATGGATCTACACTCAATCCTCCATATTGTACCGGGACTTGTTCGGGTGAAATGTATCTATATAGTCCATATTTTTCCAAAGATGAGTCAGATGGTCGTAAAGAGACTAAACAAACAAACGAAACAACAAAAACAAAACAATATTTTGAATGTTACTTGAAAAGGGTTTCGGCTGATCTTGATGGATCAGCAAACACCAACTTGCTCTTTGATCTTGGTGTCATGAACGGAATCACAGTGTAAAACACAAGGTACCCCCAAGGAACATTGATGAAAGCCTGAAACATTGATTAACAAAACATTCAATCATGTCACAATCTAGATCAGAGTTATAAAAATCGGTCTAAGCAGCGTCTAAACGGAAAATCAATAATAAATAAAACTGATTTTTAATTATTATTTTTTGGTCTAGTAGCCTACAATAGTTGTTTCTTAAACACTGCCAAGAACAAACAATCTGATGTACCTGTTTGAATACAAACTCAGGGTAATTGTCCTGAAGCAACTCCACAGCTTGCTTGGTCGCCGATCTAAGCTCTTTCTTCCCCAACCCCGGAGAATTCTTCATATCATTAATCTGAAAAATGGTGGAAACCCCACCGGAGCTGAAATCTAGCTTCCTTATACTCCTCTCCAAGAACTGAATCCTTGTCCTCAAGAAATGTTTCCTCTTCTCCTCATCAGAGAACGTCTTTTCATAAAGCTCCTTGTTCTGAAACTCACCGTAGACATTGTAACACACCGGGTGTCCTTCCCTGTCGTGTCCATGCATGAACACAACCTTGTCAAGATCATCCACGAGGTCTTCATCGACCAACTCGTCGATCTTGAAGTCCTTTCTCCACTTGAGTGTGTTCTTGAGCATGGTCAACGAATCTTTCACCTTGAAGTCTCTAGCTCGTAGGAACTTAAGTAAAACGACGTCGCTTCTATCGTCTTTGAGTAGAGGAACTCCCCATATCGTGACTTCTTCCGGTTTAGTGACTGAACCGAGTTGGTGATTGTCTAGAGCTTCTCGCACAAGAGGCTTCAGCTCGTCAAGAGATTTTTTCTCGGAGATGGAGAGATCAGAGAGTTTGCTGCTCTCTTCTTTGAACGAGCCAAGATTCTGTGGAATTCTCTTGTCTTCTTCAGCAGCTTCCTTCTGCGACGTCTCTTTCTTCTCCGTTGATGCCGTTTCTGTTTCCGTTACTTTTGGTGGGTGGTGCTCTTCCGGTGTTACTTCAGGCTGAGCCGCCGCGGTTACTGAATTTTCCGGCGGATCAGTGTCAGTTGTTTTCTTTGGAGTTTCAGTCTCTGTTGCCAAGACTTCATGAGTAGAGTTTGAATTTTCCGGTGGAGAGAGAGTGGTGATGGTAGAAGATTCTTCCGCCATTTTTTTTTTTTTTAACTTTGGTGTCTTGTTATGTGATTTTGGGTTTATTATTACAAAGGGGAGAGACAAAGTGAGTTGAAGTGTCGAAGTATACTGTTTTTTCTTCCGATCGAACTGTTTTTTCTTTTTATTTTGTTGTCAGCTCAAAAGACTAATAACAAACGATGGTTGTAGTTTTTCTTTAATTTAAAAGTAATTTATTAACTTTCTCATCAGTTTCAAATTTTCAGATTACAGATTTGAAATTATTGTGTAATCTAGAAACTGGAATCCAATGATAATTGACTAATACCTTTTCATCTTTTTAAAGGTGGAAAGAAAGAAAAAGAGTCAAAAAGACCAGATAAATCCATGTGAAACATCACATTCGTTTGTTTCTTCTGGCAAGCTAGCTGCTTCTGCTCCACGTATCTAACCCTGTAAAAATTACAAATTTTTGTCTCCGTTGACTCATTTTGACTGTTACAACATCAGAATGAGAAAATATTAACCACATAGAGAACAATAAAAACCGAGTGGCTATGGTCTACGTTTGGCCTTTTTTTTAAAAAAAAAAATGGCAAAAAAACAGATCGAAAACTTATGAAGAGGCCTGAAACTGGTTAACCAATTGGGCTTGTAATACAAAGCATTGTTGATTTTCACTTATCACATGCATTTTGTCGAGTGGAGGTCAGGATAACGAGTAGCAACATCTATGCCTAATATGGTTATAGTAAAGTGAGCAACGGTCCTCAAAATTAGTAGTTTGGTCATCAAATCTCTATACATACTTCCTTGCTCTGGTAACCACTAATTCCACATTCTTGAGTTGAGGCATTGTCTTAGTGTCAAGTGGTTTTCCTACTAGAAAACTAATGCATGATTCTTTGTGTCCTAGTGTTTGCTTCTTAAAACGATATATAGAGTATAGATATATTGATCAGCACAAGATTACTGCATCTATATCTTGTTTATAATCCTGAATTGTGTCAGAGAAATCTTTAAATTTGAGATTCAACTCATTCTTGTTGAGCATGTTATTAATTTTGGCATTGTCGCTTACAAAGATAATCTTTTTAGAAATATGAATCCCTCTGTTTTATTTTATATATCGTTTAATATTTTTGCATAGATCTTAAGAAATTCATTAAAATTGTTATACTCATAATTAATCCACTATTAATGAGTTGAAAGATAGAGATAAAAATTGAAAAATTATGAAAGTATTTTAAAGTTTACAACGACATTTTATTTAAAATGAAATAGAGAGAATACTGACTAGACCACATACACTAATTGTGATTTTTATTTTTATTCCCGAGGAAATGAATTTATTTTTATGTAATAGACCAAAGAAAGAACAAAAAATAACAAAGAGCGGAGATATTGTTCCGCAACATTAGAACTGAAAATGAAGAATGAAAAAAATAAATTAAAATAGGCAAGACTTCCTTAGTTTAAAAAAAAAAGGTAAGACTTCCTCAGGTAACCAATTTACACAACTTGGTCTAGCGATGGGCTATCACAGCCTGAGCAATGATGATCGGACGAACGTTCACCAATGTCGTCGTCCTTTCCAAGAAACAACCAGTCGAATGGTGATTTCATCGCTAGAAGCAAACTTCTTGGTGTACCAGCACACAGCTGATCATCACTGCTACTTGGAGATGTATTGATCGAACATGAACATGTTCGGTACAGAGATTTACGGTCTATCACACCAAGTTGGTCAAACCGTTCATAGTAAATATAGTTTGCATCAGTCTTTAGGCTTCCGGTTCTTATGTACCCTCTCTTTGAACTCATCATCTGAGGAAACGTCACGTGGCCTTTTAAAAGGCTTGGTTCCACGAGCTTATTGTGAATGTCTTGCGGTAGCCTAAGCGTGAACCGGTCTAGATTCTCCTCACGTTCACTGGTCCAACCGAAATTGGTGAAAATTTCGGCTAAATTCCATCCGGTAGAGAAAGACCTACGTGACATACTCTGGTTACAGTTCAACGCCACGGAGTCAATCAATCTAGCATCCGGAGAACCAAAAACCGTATTCCGGTCACCGGTTATCTCAGAACGGGGAGTGTCATCGTCTGAACCGGGTAACTCGATAGAAACAACCGATTCTCCCGGTACGGGGACTAGATTGGCCCGGCATAGAGGACACGTGGAGTGAGACTGGAGCCAAGCATCTATACAATCAGGATGGAACACGTGGCAACATTTAGGAACCAAACGCAAGGTCTCATCGTCTTCGAACTCGTTTAAGCAAATGGAACACTCAAGGGCCTCTTTGCTGATCTTGAGCATCTTCACCGTTGAGTATCTGAACGTGGGAAAAGTCTCGATGACCGACGCGTCGATTCCACGAGCCCGAGTGCGGCTCAGGGGAAGCCTGTCGACGGAGTGTGCGTCGTTCATCCCCATGACTTGCTCGAGCCACCTACGGATATAGATGGAGAAAGAGCCGATAATGATGAAAGCGCTGACTAGGATGCTTATGAGTATTGCCATGGTTGGGTCCCACTCATAGCTTTCTCCATACATATCTGAACCACCGTCAGCGGCTTGAGCATAAGCCTGGCTGGAGAAGAGTAGGAAAAGGAAGTGTAGCTGTAATATCGAACCATAATGATATGTGACTGAACGGTTGAGACCTTTGGGGTTCATGAGGACCAAGATTTAGCCGGCTTGGGTCTGAAGAAAAGAAAAAAACAATATTGGAATGATGATCAAAGGAGATTATACAGAAGAACAAGAGAAGACGCTGAGATTTGAGGCTGAATTTGGTAGGTTGACTTTGAAGTTTGAACAATGTCACTGCTATTTCATAATCTTATTAATATGTTATATACACATTCCATTTTCGAATAGTGCGTTTAGGATCATGCAAATGGATTTAAAAAATTATTTACCTTTTTTATTTTTTTTAAACACAAACATTATTAATTTTTGACTTCGCCATAATTCAATTAATAATAAAAATTATGCAGCATATTAAATGTCATAGGAATTTTACATTGAAAATTGAAAATGATATATTTTGGAATTTAATGTTTTTTTCTAAATTGTCAAATATTAAACAAAATGAAGTGAGTATATCATATTTGTATAAATTTATATGACATGATTGTGATTTTCTATCAAGAAGCTGAGATGTCTTTTAAGTTTTAGCAATGGAACAATCGGTTAGAGCAAAAATCGCCAATACATGTTAAATCCCGGGCTCCATAACTATTCAGTTTCTTTTTTCATAATTGTGCAAGTCAGTACTATTTTTCAATGGACTTCAAGTCTATCCGACTTTATAAGTTAAACGAATTTTCACATTTTAATTTTTAGTTCTTTTAGTTATGTCAGTAGACAGTAGTCATTCAAATTTAATATACCAAATTTAAAATCACAATGATCTTATACAAAGGTTTTGATGTGTCACAGAATTATAGTGGTAAACTCTAGAATAACATGAGTTGGTGGTTTAATGGTCAAACAAGAGTTAAAAAGGATTTGAAATTTTGAATTACGCATGAAAATTTCACTTTGACTAGCCAAATTAAATTAATAAGCTATCACTAATCTGGCTTTGCATCGTGCTTCATCCATGTCCTCAGTGTCGGATCCAGCAAATAGCACAACATGGGACACACCATAGTAAATAACGAAGTTCCCAACCAAAGGTGCATGGGGCATTGAAGGTTAGACCATATGAGTTTCTTGAAATTAAGTGAAACTAATGAAAGTAACACGTTTGACCAGAAAAAAAAAATGAAAGTTGCATGCGGCACTTGCCTCACATAGTTCTCACCTAGCTCTGCCCCTGGGACTCCTCATCACGTCGTTTTCAAATTATAGGTTGATGTTCTTATGGAAGTCTACAGGTTGATCCATGCTCTCGTTGATTATCTTAACAAAAATAATAATACTCCTAATTGAAAGGTATTTCAAGTGCCTCTATCTTATCATTTCTGTATGGAATCATGATTGAAAACGCAGTCTTGGCGATATTTAACATCATCGTCGTGTCACTCTTACCGCATTTGCGGACCATTGAACGCGTTTTACTTAATTCGAACTTTACAAAAAAAAAAAAAAAAAAATAGGGACTTCACAATATCTCCTATACATTAATTGATAAGCGATTTGATTCATATCATGTCTACAGTCAATTTAACTAAAAAAAAATGGATATGACATGGATAAATATGATATACCAATTTCATTTGATGTATATTTATATTTATGGTAAACTTTTTAGTATATGAAAATAACTAATATAACATCATTAAAAATAAAACTATTTAAATATGACATTAAATAATATAGATAAAATATAAATAGTTTACAAAATTTGAAGACTATTTTAATAATTATACAATTTTTATTACTAAACACAATTTTAGAAAATTTATATATTTTATAAAACATTTATTAACTTTTACTAGTAACATCATTTGTTTCCTTTTGATATCTACAAATTTTATAAATTCTGTTTACTTTTACTTTTCGAAAATTATTAAAAAAAATTATCAGTTTTTTTTTAAAATATTCTACAAATTAATTTAATAAATCATATTCAAAGAAATAATTTAAAATCTATCCAATATTTAATTTTATTATATGTTATATATATATATATATATATATATATCTCTTTTATAAGTATAATTTAAAATAAACCAGAAGGTTTATCTTAACTTAATTTTATGTTTAACTAAACTAAAATGTGTATTAAAATATAGTATGAAATAATAAAATATAGAATATTAATAGAAATTAATTTTTTAAATACAGTTTAAGTTTTTAAAAATTGTTCTTGCATATAGTGCAGGAAAACACCTAGTTATAAATAAACGCAATACATATTAAAATTACAAGGATTGTTTTATTAAATGTAATTTGTAAATTAGAATATTGCGTTATAGTAAATGTCAGTCAATGGATAGCTATAAATATACTTTTTGAAATTTGTATAATTACTCTTCATAAATCTAAAATCTGAATATATTAATATCTCAAATTAACAATTTTCTTTATTCACAAATTTAAGATTGAACCTAAACTTATATATATGTAAAATTAAGATTGACATTTCGAATCAATTATTTTCATCTAATTGGAAAAAAAAAAGAAAAAAAATATATATCTTTTGAATATAATTTTCTTAAAGTTCAAAACCTAAATTTTTAAAACTAACTGCAATAAATAATTTACACGGATTTAAATAAAATTATATAAAACTTAAAATACATAAGTTAAATATAGAATTATAATTTCTGTTGAGTAAAATTTTGTAATAAAATAATTTTGAGGCTTTGAAAATGTGGATAAAAGCAATTAGAGTTATGACTCCAACGGGGGACTATAACTCATTGTCAACAGTTACACAATTTCTAAGAAAATTGACAACAGTGGAACACCCATCATTATAAGTTACAAAATCTTGATCAGCACAACATTACTGCATGAAAAATTTGTCTCCAATTCTGAATTGTTTCAGAATATCAGATTGCTCTAAACTTGAGGTTTAACTCATTCATGCTGAGCACGTTATTAAGTGTGGCATTGTCTCTTTCAAAAATAATCTTCCTATAAAACCACTAGTGACTAGACCACATACTAATTGTGATTTGTATTTTAGTTCCTGGCGATTTTTTTCTTCATATATGTAATAACCCAATAAAAGTGTTATACTCATTGATCGGCTCCATTTATTTATTTTTCATCCTTTCCCAATCCAGATAAATCTTTGCACACAAATGTCAAAAACTAGTCGGTTAGTGATATTCCCACCAACAAGGAGGGATCGTTTGAGTAACAACGAACAACGAAAGAGGGAGAGGCATCATTGCATCAAGAGTTTAAGCAGTTACAGAGAGAATGTTCTTTTGCTTATATCATTAATTTGCAATCTCTAATTTGTTCTTGAAAAACACTTTTTCTTGAGTGAATAAAAGATAAGTTTTGGTAAATAAGTTTCATCCTAAATTTGTGCACAAAGGAAAGGTTAAATCCTTACAAAAAGAACAAAAAAAAAAAAACAAAGTGCCGACCTCTTTCGGCAACATTAAAACTAAAAATAAATAATTAAATATATATGTAAAACTTCCTCAAATAACCAGTTATACAACTTGGTCTATAGAAGAGCTATCATGGCCGGAGCGAAGGTGATCGGACGAACGTTCACCAATGTTCTTTTCAAGAAACGACGGTGATTTCATCGAACATGTCCGGTACGGAGGAGTTATGGAGAATGGTCTACGGTCTAACCGACCATCTTGCTCAAACCGTTCATAGTAGAAATAGTTTGCATCAGTCTCTAGGCTCCCGGTTCTGTGCCCTCTCGCTGGACTCATCATACAAGGAAACGCCACGTGGCCTTTTAAAAGGCTTGGGTCCATGAGCTTATTGTGAATGTCTAGCGGTAACCTAAGCGTGAACCGGTCGAGATTCCCCTCATGTTGACCGGTGGAGATCATTTCGGCTAAGTTCCTTCCGGCAGACATAGACCTACGTGGCATACTCTGCTTACAAGTCAACGCCACCGAGTCAATCAATCTCGCATCCGGAGAACCCAAAACCGTATTCCGATCACCGGTTACTTCAGAACGGGGAGCATCATCGGCTAAACCGGGTATTTGGATAGAAACAACTGATTCTCCCGGTACAGGAACAAGATTGGCCCGGCATAGAGGACATGTGGTGTGAGACTGGAACCAAACATCTATACAATCAGGATGGAACACGTGGCAACATTTAGGAACCAAACGCAAGATTTCAGCGTCTTCGAACTCGTTTAAGCAAATAGGACACTCAAGGGCCTCTTTGCCAATCCTTAGCGTCTTCACCGTTGAGTATTGGAACGTGGGAAAAGTCTCAATGACCGATGCCTCGAGTCCACTCGCCTGCGGGCGGCTCAGGGAAAGCCAGTTACCATCAGCGTCCACGGAACGTGTGTTGTTAATCCCAGTGACTCTCGCTAGCCACCTACGGATATATATGGATGAAAACCCGAGAACGAAGAAAACACTAGCCATGACGAGCATTAGTATTTTCATGATTGGATCCAACCGATAGGTTTGTCCATACATATCTGAATCGACCTGAGTAGCTTGAGCCGAAGCGTGGCCAGATAAGAGTAGGAGGAAGAGGTGAAGCTGTAATATCGAACCATGATGACCGGTGATTGTACGGTTGAGACTGTTCATGAGGACCAAACTTATGCCGTTTTGGGTTTCTGGTCCATGCAACAATTCTATCTACTTTTGTATATGAAGAAAAGAAAAAAAAAAACAAGGACGTTGAGGAACGTACTGTGTTTTGAGGTGCTCAAGGATTACAATAGACCTTTGTGGTTGGTAGGTTGACTTTGAAGTTTGAACAAGGGCACTATTTAAAAGATGTTTGCATCATAACTAATTAAATATGTATATATAAAAATTGTATAAATTTATATTACATGATGTGATTTTTCATCAAGAAGTTGGGTTGTCTTTTATCAATGGCGGTTACTGGAAATATCGCCAATACTTGTTAATGTCCGGTTCTATTATTCAGTTTCTTGTTTCGTAATTGTGCAATTCCTTTCTATTTTCCAATGGACTTCAAGCCTATCCCACTTTATAAGTAAGTTAATATAGTTTCACGTTTAGTTATTTTAGTTACATCATTAGACAGTAGTGATTAGTCCATCAAAGTCGATATTCAAAATTTAAAATCACAATGATGCTATACAAATTAAGAATTTGATGTATCACATAGTCGTAATGCTAAATTGTAGAATGACATGAGATGGTGGTTTATTGGTCCAATAAGATTTAAAAAGGATTTGCATTACGCGTGAAAGTTTCACGTTGACTAGCGAAACTAATTAATAAAAGATCACTATTCTGGTTTTGCATCGTGATTCATCCCATGTCCTCAGAGGCTGATCTAGTTACAACATGGGGGACACTATATCAAATAAGACCATTTGAGTTTCTTTATTTTCAATAAAACTTTTGTGTGTGGCCCTTGCCCCACCTAGTTCTCACAAGATCTGTCCCTGCTCGTCATCACGTCGCTTTTCAATGACAGGTTTATGCTATTATGGAATAAGCCTATTGGTTGATCCACGCTCTTGTTGATTATCATAACAACAACAACAAAAGTAGAAAGTTTCTTTAAGAGTCTCTATCTGATCATTTCTGTATGGAATAATATATATTTGAATACAGATGGTGACATAACGATGGTATAACTGGTATTAGCATAAACCACCAAATTACATGTTCTCTCCTTCATTTTAAAGATTCAAATCCTAAACCATATGTAAAAACTTTAAACTATGATCACTGGACCAAAGAAGTTCAATGTTTTTGGAATAATCGAAAGAGGGTTTGAGGCAAAATCCAAACTATTACTCAAAACATGTAAAAATCAAGTATTTTGTATTGGTTTGAAGCTTAACCGCATTATATTGTATTGATTATGAGAACATATACTATACGTAAAAGAAGTCTTATATGCAGCCAATGTGTTCCTATCTAGGAATATCACAATGCAACCAAAATTATTAGAACATTTTCATTGCTAGAATGCTTCAACTTGTCTCTTTATTAAAAAAAATCTTAATTACATAGGAAAAAATAGAAATGAGGATTTTTGTTTCAAAGTATTTTTCTACAATAGAAGAATGCTATATTTTCCTCTTGTAGAGGAAACACATCGGAGCAAAATTTTTATCTCTATTTTTTTATAGTATTATAAAATAAAAATGAGTTGAAGATAGTCTAGCTAATTGAAAAATAAATAAAGTTCCTTTTTACCAATTATCATTTGAAGACTTATATAAACTTTCACATCTCAATTTTTAAAGGTTTAACTAAGTAAAATTTATTTTCAGAATTATATTTAATTAAAATAGCAAAATAAATTTTTAAAGAAATTATTGTGAGTTTATTAGGTAAAATGAGTTTGTTCTTATGTTTTACGCGATCCATCGTCTAGTCAGGGGAACTCAATAGTTTTCGTAAATGATGAAATTCAGTTTTGTGATCTAGTCTCTAAAACTTCATGAGAAGTTCTCGTCCAGTCGAACAACCCAATTACACCACATATATAATTGCTAAATTAAGAACTATTATTATTTTATTTTTAATCATAGACCCGCAGAAAAAAAAAATCAAAGAGCGGACCTCGTAACATTAAACTGAAAGTAGGGAATGCAAAAAAATAAAAGTGAAATATACAAAGTAAAACTTTTTTCACTGTACATAGTAAGACTTTCTCAAAGAACTTGATCTACGCAGCTACATGACTAGCGTCGCTGGCACGAAGGTGATCCGACGAACGTTCACCAACGTTATTGTCTAATGAACGTTCACCAATGTTGTTCTTTCCAAGAAACAACCGATGGAACGGTGATTTCATAGCTAGAAGCAAACTCCTTGGTGTACCAGCAGGCACCTGATCACCACCGCCACAGGGAGACGTATTGATCGAACATGTCCGGTACGGAGGAGTCATGGAGAACGGTCTACGGTCTAACCGACCACTTTGATCAAACCGTTCATAGTAGAAATAGTTTGCATCAGTCTCTAGGCTTCCAGTTCGGTATCCTCTCACTGAACTCATCACCTGAGGTAACGCTACATGGCCTTTTAAAAGGCTTGGGTTAACAAGTTTATTGTGAATATCTTGCGGTAACCTAAGCGTAAACCGGTCAAGATTCTCCCCATGTTGACCGGTCCAATCAGAATTAGTGAAAATTCCGGCTAAATTCCAACCGGTAGACAAAGACCTACGTGGCATACTCTGGTTACCGGTCAACGCCACAGAGTCAATCAATCTTGCATCAGGAGAACCTAAAACCGTAACCCGATCACCGGTTAATTCAGAACGATGCTCATCGGCTAAACCGGGTATTTGGATAGAAGCAACCGGTTCTCCCGGTACGGGGATGAGATTGGCGCGACAGAGAGGACATGTGGCGTGAGACCGAAGCCAAGCGTCTATACAACCAGGATGGAACACGTGGCAACATTTAGGAATCAAACGTAACGTTTCAGCGTCTTCAAACTCGTTTAAGCAAACGGGACACTCAAGGGCCTCTTTGCCAATCCTTAGCGTTTTCACGGTTGAGTATTTGAACGTTGGAAAAGTCTCGATGACCGATGCGTCGAGGCCACGCGCTTCCGGGCGGCTCAGGGAAAGCCAGTTTCCGCCAGTGTCGGCCGGGTGTGTGTTGTCTATCCCCATGACTCGCTCCAGACACCTACGGATATATACGGAGAAAAAACCTAGAGCGAAGAAAATACTGACCAGGACGATCATGAGTATTGCCATGGTTGGATCGAACCTAGAGCTTTGTCCATACATATCTGAACCGCCGTGAGTGGCTTGAGCTGATGCGTGGCCGGAGAAGAGTAGTAGAAAGAGGTGTAGCTGTAATATTGAACCATGATGACCGCTTGTAAAACGGGTGATACTTATTCTACCTTTAGGGTTCATGAGGAGCAAGTTTTAGCCAGTTTGGGTCTTTGGTCCATGCAACAATCCTATGTACTTTTTGTGTTTGAAGAAAATAAAAATATTATCAGTGTGATGATTAAAGAGGATGATACGATAAGAACAATAGGAATATTAAGAGAAACTGTGATTTGAGGTTGCTCAATGGTTGCAGTGGGGCTTTTGTGGTTGGTAGGTTGACTTTGAAGTTTGAACAATGGCACTATTTAAAAACATGTTTGCATCACAACTAATTAATATGTTATATATAACATTTTGTATAAAACTATATGACATGATTGTGATTTTTTTCCATCAAGAAGTTGAGATGTCTTTTATCAATGAAACAACCGGTTACTGCAAATGTGGCCAACATTTGTTAATGGCTTAATGCCCGGGTCAATACAAGCCTATCCCACTTTTTAAGTTAAATGTATTTTCACATTTAAATTTTTTTGGTTATTTTAGTTATGTCAGTAGAAAGTAGTCCATCAACTTGGATATCTATATTATTAAAAGAGAAGGAGTCTAAATAAATCTACTTAAAAAAGTTGTTTGGACCCTTTCATTATACTAACATTTTTTTTTATCTTTCCTTATATTTCTCTAACAATATTGTACAATAACATTATATCATATAACTTACCTTATATTTCTCTAACAATAAATTAGTCAATATTCTTATTTATTATACATTACTCTTATCGGTNCATTTTTTTTTATCTTTCCTTATATTTCTCTAACAATATTGTACAATAACATTATATCATATAACTTACCTTATATTTCTCTAACAATAAATTAGTCAATATTCTTATTTATTATACATTACTCTTATCGGTCAATATTTTTATTTCTCCACAAAACATTATTATAACCTTATACCATATAATTTCATAATATGTGACTAATTTCACACATTAAACAAAAAATATATCATTTGCTTGAGCCACCAACTGTGCAACAGTACCTTCTATCATTTCCATTGATTAATTTTCATAGCTGATGTTTGATAAATAGAGAGTATAAAATATATTGAACATCTCCATTCACGATAAATATGTTTAAAACCAAACATATTATTATTTTTAGAGTAAACCTATCTATAACATAGTATATTGTAATAATACAAAAACCGGTTTATTATCATAGTATTCTAATGTTTGGGGATNATCGGGTCTCGGTTATGATCCATACTAGAATCGATTCCTGCGGGTCTTTAAAGATAGCCAGTAAGTACTTTATCATGGATCCTAGCCGAACCTATATTTTCGGGTCGGTTTGGTCGTGTTTTTCGATCCGGATAAAATGTCAAGACCTAGAGAGAGTTACATTAAAAACTTACATATAAAATCTCAAATAAACTAATTTCTAAATTACATAATTTTTCAAAAAAATATATTTTATATATTAAGATTTGTAGCCTAATAATGTACATCATTTCTAAAATACTAAATCATATCAAAATTTGTTTATAATCTAACAAAAACCCGCGCTTTTGAAGCGCGGGTCAAAATCTAGTAGCAAATTTAAAATCACAATGATCTTTTACAAAGATTCTGATGCATCACATAGTCATAATGGTAAACTGTAGAATTACATGAGGTGGTGGTTTATTGGTGAAATAAGAGTTGAGAGGGATTAACATTTTCTACTATGGGTTTATAAGGCAATTACTCATGAAAGTTTCACGTTGACTAGCAAAATAAAACAGGCCGATCACTAATCTGGTTTTGCATTGGTTCAGCCCATGTCGTCACCACGTCGTTTTCCAATTATAGGTTATGTTCTTGTGGAATAAGTCTATAGGTTGACGTTGATCCATGCTCTTGTTGATAATCTTAACAAAAAAATATGGAAAAAATGTAGGTCATTGACGAGCGAATAACGTCATACTTGTTAATCGACAGAAGAAGTGAATTAGAACCTTTTGTCTAATGGTTGATTAAGGATATATTAATGTTTTCCACTAGAAAGAATATGATTCAATTTTTAAAAGAATATTTATGTATATTAGTGGACGTATGTTTACATATAAAAAAAACATTCACATGGTTTAAATAGAATGATTCGTCGTGATTTATTGTGTTTAAAATAAAACATAGTAACATTGTGTATGTTAAACCGTTTATTTTCATAAATATATGATAATTATATAATTTATTTCAAGGAAAAAAATGAATATAACATTAAATGTTGTAATTAACTGGATCACTTTTTTTGTAATTTAGTTAACTGGATCACTTAACTAACTATACCATTTGAAAGGTCGTTTCTATTTTCTAACAAAACTGTATATTTACTTTCTCAAAGTATTATTATTTTGTTGACTATATTATTATGTATAAATCCAAGGATTTCTTGTTTAAATTATAATCTATAAGTTTTACTAATATTTTGTTGACATAGGACTCGAATGGTTGCGGATGTGAAGATTGATAGTTACTATTGTGTAGAAGCCGAAGTTTTTGTATATTGTGGCTGATTAAGATCATTGTTAATTTCATCAATATTTGTATTGAACACATATAAGAAATTGATATGATAATATTTTATAAATGATGACAAAAACCGCAGCCGCCGACCACCACCACAAACAGAATAAAGAAGATCTGTTCTAAGTTAAAACGTTAAAGAACATGGCGGCTTAATCGTGACTGTCCATTAATATGGCGGCATTTGTTTCACTAGACCAGTCACACATTTACATGTAAGATAATTTGACCTAAATCCTAATTATAGATTCAAACAATGAAATAAAGAAGTATGGTCTTAATATTAATACATATTATCTCAATAACTCTAGACATACATAATGTTCTAAGCTGTGTATACAACATTTAAATATATATATATATATATATATATATATATATATATATATATATATATATATATATATATATATATATATATATATATATATATATATATATATATATATATATATATATGAATGTGGATGGTGGCATTACGACGGTATTAGCATAAAACTATCAAATTAATGTTTGCTCATTCAAATCATATACAAAAGAAAGAATATAAAGTCTTCATGTTTATTACCTTTGTTTTCTTTTTTTGTAAACTATTACCTTTGTTTTCTACCATCATTAAAAAAAAACAGAGTGTTCATGTTTATTAGTGATGGTATATGAGAAAACAAAGGTAAAATCGATCAAGGTAACAACGTAAAAAGCCTCTTTACTTCAATGTTTATGTAACAGTTTAGGCCCTTTCCTTAACTGTGAGCCTCGATGAGCTTTTAGCAACCACATGACTGGAGGAGCTTTTAGCACGACGTGGTTTGTGCTAAACCTAATCAAAATGGAGAAAATTTGGACATCATATCTTGAAGCAATAGCAAAAGAAAATGCCAGTTTTTGTTACTCAGTTGTACTTACAGAGTACTAGCTAAAGACATACATTTTCTATGTTTTACGATTAAGCTATATATATACAATGTGATGTGAGGAGTGAGGATGTTCTTAAGGTCTTAAATCATGTAAAAGTTGATTCGTAGACTCGTATAGTATGCACAATACGCATGACACTGGCTTATAGTCTTACTGTGTTAATTGTATTTGTATTTGTAAAGAACTACAAAAGTTCAACACTCACCCGAGTTTTTCTTCTTGTGCTAAAGATTATTATGATCAGGGATGTTAATAATGTCTAGTTTACGACATATAACATCTCTTAAAAATATTAAAACCAAACAAGAACGTGTAGTATAACTATGGTCGGCTCGCTGTTCACCTAAAGAAAATCCAAACCCTGCAAATCTATTTGTATAGTATATATATAATATAAAGAATGACTTTCATTTTCATTACAGCTAAGCTAAATTTACATGCGCTGTCACTATGATCTGTACTATCTACCTATATCATATTTTGTTATTAAAAAATCGCGATAACTCTTAATTTTCTATAATTTTCAATGTAGTCCACCATCAAAATCACTAGATTAATAATAGCATATGATGCCTTGATGAGATTAGTCATTCATTTGAGCCCAAAAATACGTACTGTTGTGTTCTATACATATTGACATATATAGCATCCACTCATCCACCGAATGATTTATATTCTTCAGACAAAAATTAAAGATAGATTTATATTATGAACAGAACATATGATTCGAACAAGTACAGTCCTCGAGTTGGAATTTCAGATAGCGGAGTTTCCGGTTAATTCCACATGCTAATCTCGCAGATATATTTTAAAAGTAGATTAGGGTGTGTGTTGCCGTGATGCTTAGTTGTAAACCAATTCATATAAAAAGAAAAAGAAAAAGAATGTCACCACATATATATAGTTTTTGGATGTTCTGAATTTAATAACAGTAACGCATTTTCGTCCAGAGTTCTGTGCTTGGAAACAACACTTTGATTTGATATTCCCGTTAACGTTTTAGCGTTAGCTATCATATTTTCGTATCAAAAATAATCGCAAAACGTCCATATTCATCTCAACAATCAATGTTATTTGATTTCTAGTCCGACTAATTTTTGGATTTGAATGTGTTGTTTGCATATCTTTTAATATGATGTGTTTATCTGTTAGAGATCATTTCAGAAAGTAGACATTTATCGGTTATCACATTATAGTTTATATATATTGATTGGTTGTTAATGAAGTTTGATTATATAATTTAAAAGATGATGAAAGGAGCAAAAAATGATCGAGAAGATAACAATAACTAAGGATTCATGTATTAACTATCAAGAAAGCTTTGTTGTAATATTGTTATATGCGGTTTTAAAATATAACATCCCATTATTTGTTCTATGATTCTCATATTCAAGTATTCTATACATCAAGATCTAAATACTCATAGAAAGTGCTGGTTTTCAAGATCTGTAGAATAAATATTTCGTAGTTTATAACATCCAATTTGTAGAGCAGACATTTAAAATGAATGGCCGTTCGCTAGTAAAACATATCTTCCTAGAATGCACTGGATATAGGCTAAGCACATGTTGTTTTCGCCCTATAGAATCTGATCGCAACTTATTTGTTGTAGAACTCTATTTGAATTTTGGAATTTCACCTAATTCTTTACAAGTTACAGCTACACCGTCTGGGAGTTGGATGAGACTTTTTCCTTTTAATTTTAAAATTTTAAATTATTATTCGCAACTGAGTTTGATTTTAAACGATTTGGAACAGCTTAGAGCGGTAGAAAACATCTTATGTAACTATTTTCAAACACAATTAACTATACTATCCACAAACGTTACATATGTTAGCAAAGGAATCAATTAACTTCCGGTTATTTTATAGTAGAACTTATTTTTCTATTTCTTTTCCTTACTGATTAAACGATAAACTTATCCCCATTTTCAAAGTTTTAAACTCTAATACTGATTGAAGTTGTTAGGCCAAAGGCCTCTTAATGGTTCCTGTTTTACGAAGGCTTTTACAGTATCTATACGGATTTACATGTAAGAAACTTCAAACTGGTATAACAGACTTACGAGACTAGCGCATGTAACTCTTTATGCAGATCATTTTACAGACTGCGGTAAAACCGTAAGAAACGAAAAGATTAGTATAATCAGACTAAAAAATCTATAAATAATAGTTAATTTATGCGTGCCATAATCCGACGAAGATATGGCCAGGGCATCACGAATAATGTACGAAATGTATTAATCTAAGAGACTAAATAACTACATTGTTAATTTTTAATTGATATATATGAAGACGTGTAACTAATAAGGACATGAGAAATGTAGAATAGCGTGCATCTAACTACATACGACAAAGCAAAACTTGCGACGTGCTATTTGAGTATGTCCCCCAATAAATTAAGAATAACAGGATCGTTGTGACACCGTAGTACCCTAAATTATTTTGGAAATATTCGTAGTTTAATTCATGTTGAACAGGAATCTGATAAATTTCGTAAATAAATATTTATTTGCAGAAAATTATCACATTCTTCAAGAAAAAACAGTTTTGTTCTTGGTAAAAAGTGCATGGATATTTGCATATAAATATTAAAGTCATAAACCATCAGAAACCAAAAAACCGTATGGAATGTCTTTGTGGAAATTGGAGTCATTATTGAAGTTTTAAATCTTATTGAGACGATAAAGAAACAATTGATACATGAAGTATATTCACGCTGCCGAGCTCAGTTAACTGGTTTAGTGGTTTTGGTGTATATTATACTATAGTATATTGTCCGGATGGAATATATACAAACAAAAGAATTATAAGACATTTTATACTTCATTACGATCCTTAAAAATGCATGATTGTTTATTACTACTAATTACTTAAGCTATTTGATTTTACAGATCAGATTAATTATGATGGATATGATCAGGTGTATTAGAGGAGTAGATCAGACTAGATGGGAAACAAAGACATCGGAAATGAAACTCTGCAGAAAGCTATTCAACTTTTTGATCGGAAATAGAGAGAGAGAGCATTGGATTGTGTTATTGGGAAGTAGTCTCGGGTAAGGAGAGAAGCCAATGTTTGAGAGTATTATATGAGAGAGACCAAGGTCATCTTTCAACACAAATTTTTTCTCTAATCCAATATTAAACTTCACACTATTTTAATGAATCACTATAATTTCACACCAAATTTGTTGTGATACTATTTATCACACTAAAACATTATTCATCCCAAAAAAATACTATTCACTTATTTTATTAATAAATTACACAATCATATAAATAATAAATAAAAACATAAATACATATAATATTATAAAATAATATTTAGTGTTAAGTTTAATATTATGGTTAGAGAAATTATTTTTAATACAAAAATAGCATCATAGGTTAGAGATGCTCTAAAAGTACTGTGAAGCGATCATCATATTTTTTGATTTTCTCTAGCTAACGTCAACTTTTTTTTTACATAATCTAGATTTTGTAATTGTTTACAGACATATACTACTTACAAATATATACTACTACAAATATATACTAAATTTACCTGGAATTTATGATGAATTCTTAATAAAATTAAATAAATATTTATTTTAAATTAAATTCATCCAGAATTTATTAGAATTTCTGAAAATTTGTCACATCATTAAATAAATATATATTAAGATATGTGTGAATTTTTTGTGAATTTCCTACGAACGCCCAGACGAATTAAATAAATATGTATTTTAATTTTTTCTACAATCCATCGAAAATTGTGAAAAAATTCGAAATAACTTAAAGAATCTTCAAACCATGTTTATATATTTCTCTAAGCATTTGGAACCAAAAGTATACCAATATATTTATATTTTTTATTTTAAATTAGAAATTGATATTTTTCTTCTATTTATAGAGAAAATATTATTTCTCTATATTTTGTTTTATATTTGAATATTGATATTTTAGAAAAATACATTAGCTAGCAAACTTCATCTTTATTATAAAATATTTTTAGTTTAGAGGAAACATTACAGAAGTACATTAGAGAAAATCTTAGAATTTGTGGTTTAAATGTAGGTGTAAATAGACAACACATGATTCATTAAAAATCAACAGACATGATAATAATACTTAAAATTTTATGTGGTATACTAAATGCGAAATAATCGGATATTACAAAATTATATACAGTAAATCAAGAGAACACTTATTTGGAGGGTTTTGAAATAATTCTCTTTTTATTTTGTTTTTCTTTTTATTTTACTAAAAACAAAATAAAAACTATAGGTACACGGACTCAAAGGAGACAAGAGAATCATAGCTAAAGATTTCCATTACACCGTGTTTCTAAATAAAATTCATTGAAATGGTATTTTTCTCTAAGATTTTCTGGTGGATCACATTTAAGTTCTTATTCTAATTTCGAATCATAGCCATCCGATTCTCACATCTTCTGTTCAGGATTAAAAAGTTCGATAATTACTCAGACTAATGGAAAGATGACAACTAACCAGTTAATATACCAAATTAAGTTGTCCTGTCATTTTCTTTTAGTTTTTTTACGTATGTCAACATCAACATCAACAATACTTTGCTTAAACATGACATGATTACATTAATAAAGTAATTACCCTACACGCCGAAATGTTATTCCTATTGTTATCCGTGAATTCTGTTTTACGATTAATTCAAATGTGACTGTCAACCGTGTGACTGGAAAGCAAATTATGAACATGTGAATACTTTAGTGTAAAGTATTATTATTTCTCTAAATTTTCACTATAAATATTAAATAACATGTAAACATACTAACTATAAACCATTTGTATTTTTTAAATATATTTTATTTTTAATAATACACAATTTATATTGTTAAAAGGATTTTAACTGAAAAATATTAAAAACTTAATCTTTAGTTTAATTATCATATCTCTCGAATAATCCATAAACTCGAAGTTGGTTGAAGCGGATTTACTTAATTTTATCAATGGGTTATGCATGTCAAATCTTTTTGATAGAAAAACATCAATCCGCAACGTATCAAAAGGGACGGATCTGACCCATTTCCCTTACATTATACATAGGCTGTAACTGGAAATATAATGTATTCATACGGAAAAATGAAACAAAATAATTGTGTGGCTTTAACCAAAAAAAAAAATAATTGTGTGGCTTGTATACTTGTAAGTTATATTGTATTGTAATTTGGTATAGATACATAATGGTTTGTATACGCAACTGCAACAATAGATATATTGCTTTACAATTTGATACACATACTTCTTGATTTTACAATGAAGTTTCACCCTAAAAATAATTAGATGATTTTGATCCAATAGTTTGTATTGGCCGCCGGCACAACATGGAGATCTACGGAGTTCTCGCCAAGTCAGTAAAGGACCGGTGGATGGGTTTGCAAAAGCTTGTCTTTTAACCCATCTAACCTTGGGTCAGAACCTCCCTTAATAATCTTGTTGCACAAAAAAATTAGTTTGTAAAGGCAAATATGCTTTCAGACGCATGCATGGTTTCCATATCTTGTGCGGTTATTCCATTACGGGTAGGGTTATGTGGTAAACGATATAATTTCATAAAAAGAATAATTTCATAAAAAGAATAAATCAGCGGTCATTGTCTCCGCATGGTCCGCGTAAAAAAAACAAAAAACTCTTATAAATAACTAAATAAGCTTGAGATTTCCATTATATAGAGCCTTGACATTTGATACATTGAAACAAAAAAACCATTGACGTCAAGCTAACTTTATATCTCACTGTCTATACGCATTACCACGCACCATAGAAGCAAAATATTAATTGAATACCTAATATTAACTCCTTTTGATTATAGCGACTCACATGATATGATATACGGCAGAAACAATAATAATTCATTGCAACGTATAAAGGTAAAACTTCAACTTATTATATTTCTCTCTCCTCAACATGAGTGTAACTAGACGAACCCCAAAGCCTGCAGAAACACACAGAATCTTTTCTCTGGTTCTGTGGACCGGTCTATAATCTCACGTGCAAAAACAAAACACCTACAATGTCTCTCTCTATATCTTCTACTTTTCATAACTCAACTGTTTTAGATTTCCATCCGGACAGAAAACATATCAGCTTTATAAGCTCGCAAGCTTCTCCTCTCTTCCATCGACCAAAACCACAACTTTCTTTGACCTTCTTGCTTCTTGTTTCATTTCTTATTTTATTTTACTAAGTTATTTTAGAGAAAAGATTTTATCATACAAGTTTGATTTGCCTTTTGCATTGTCTCCCTCTCGCGACAAAAAGAGAAAGACAAAACACTTTCTGTCTTTCTTTTTTTCCCTCCCTCTCTCTCTCTGTCTTGGACCCTTTTCATATTTTTCTGAGAGTATATTTTATTTATTTGACAAACTTTGTAGCTAAACTATGGCCTTAGAGGCTGTTGTCTACCAGCAAGATTCATTCTCTTTAATCTCTTGCAAAGATTTTCAGTTTCACGACTTATACTTTCAACAAGAAGACAATCAAGATCCACTAGACACCAAGAACAACATTAAGCTAGGGCAAGAACAAGGGTTTCCGAGTATTAATAATAATGGTAAGAGCGAAGATACAAATGAAGACTATAACTACAACGACCAAGAGGATCTTCACTGGCAACAAGACGACCTTCTTTATGGATCTGCCTTGGACCAACTTCCGCCGTCCACGGATGTGGCGGGTGGAGTGGGAAGGAGGAAGAGGAGAAGAATGAAGAGTAGCAAGAACAAGGAAGAGATCGAGAACCAGAGGATGACTCACATCGCCGTAGAGAGAAATCGCCGGAAACAAATGAACGAGTACCTAGCCGTGCTACGTTCTCTCATGCCACCTTCTTATGCTCAAAGGGTTAGTTACTATATACAATAACTATACATGTATGTGTGTGAACACGTGAAATATTATCTTAACGCGTGAAGAAAAGAAAGAAAAAGGCAAAAGCCTATGTTCTAGACATCTAGTTTCATTAGGACATATATATAGACTATATGCATGTATATATGTATATGTTTAATCATAAGTTTGATAAAAATGATGAATAAATGTTGACTAATTTTTTTTTAATCATAATCATAGTATAGCTCATGTAGTCTCTATAGATGGAAACTATGGGTAGTGGGATTGTGGGAGCACAAATAAAGTCATGAACGTCATTGCACAAAAAAGGACTATAGACATTATATAAAACTGTGAATACTTTAATATTAAAACAATGTACTAACTGTAAAAGTTTGATTGTTTTAGAAAAAACCTTTTGCAATATCTATGGGCTTAACCTATGGTTTGGTGGTGGTTAAAGGGGGATCAAGCGTCAATAGTAGGCGGAGCCATTAACTACTTAAAGGAGCTTGAGCATTATTTACAATCACTTGAGCCTCCGTTAAAAACCACCGGAGCCTCCACCGCCGCCGACAGCTCCTTGGGACCGTTCTCAGAGTTCTTTGCTTTTCCTCAATACTCGAGCCAACCTTGTTCATCGTCTGTGGCTGAGGGGATGGCTGAAATAGAGGTGACGATGGTGGAGAGCCATGCGAGTGTGAAGATACTCGCCAAGAAGAGACCGAAACAGCTTCTTAAACTAGCGGCATCGATACAGAACCTAAAGCTTACTATTCTACATCTCAACGTCACGACTCACGACGAGTCCGTCCTCTATACCATCAGCCTAAAGGTACATTTTTCTCTCATGCTTGTTTTTTTTTATAGAGATTTATAACGAAATTAGAGTTAGAGTGAACTATAATAATACCGTAATTATATAGGGTTTTATATTGTGTTTGCAAACCCAAATTAGAGTGGTATTAATGGTCCACTAATATAATCACTGTTCTGATAGTGATTCATTATGTTAGTTTTGAGTCAAAGATTCATTGGTTATTTCTCCCATCACAAAGGTTTTAATCATTTAATGTGTCTTTTCTTTTGTCACACATTTAATTTGTTCGTCTTGTGATTTATTTTGTCTTGGCCAAAAAATTTTGAAGAACAATAATAAAATAAAATGTTTTCGTTTTTTTACTTGGTCAGGATTGGCCTCAATCAATTATTGGGGGGCGGGTTTCAAAATCCTAAATTCTTTTTATTAAAAATGAATAAAAATTGAGTCTGAAAATAATGATTCTTCTAAGAATCAGGGACCATAAAGATGACATGCCTACACATGTGTGTATGTGTGTACTGTGGTCACAGAACTGTGGATATACTGTATTATGCACGGTAGAACGAAATGACGCCACTTGTTTCAAGACACATACATAAGCTTCTTCCTCGAAATATAACAATTTCTTTTATTATTGGATTTTTAACATAAAAACCTCTAAACTAAGTTTGTTTTGGGTAAAAACCCTTAAACTAAGTATTTAATGGAAAAAACCCAAAAATAACTTTATTTAGTGAATTAAACCCTCGCCGGTCATAATTACCAGTACTACCGGTAAATCTTCAGTTTAGGGGTTTTATCATTAAACATAAAAATCAAGAAAATTGAAAATATAATAACATTATCTAAAAATTTGTAATTTTAATATTATAAACTAGCATTTAAAAAAAATTGTAACTATATGAGTCTGATTTGTTATCCTTTTAAAATCAAAATTATATATGTATAAATTAAAATGTAAAAACCAAGAAAATATAAGAAAAAATATCTAACGATTTACCTGTAATAACATTATCAAAATTTATAAATATAAGAACAAGAAAACATAATAATAATTATATCTTATTTAATAAAAATGTAATAATAAATCTTTAGATGCTTTTTATTATATTTTGGTTTTTTTTTTTAAAAAAAATTAATCTATATATATAATATTGATGTTAAAACAAATCAAACTCATATATTTACAGAAAGTTTGCAAAATGCTAATTTTAAAAATTTATGTTACTAATTTTTATATAATGTTATAATTTATTTTTTTAGATTTTTAATGATAAAAACCCTTCAACTATGTTTAATATGGGGGTTTACTTGTTAGTTTGGGGGGTTTTTACCCAAAACAAACTTAGTTAAGGTATTTTAGAGTTAAAAATCCATTTTACAAGGATAAGAAAACATTCATATATTTACAGAAAATTTTAAAATGCTAGTTTTGAAAATTAAAATTACGAATGTTTAGATAATCTTATTATATTTGATTTTTTTTCTTTTTTTTGATTTTTTATGTTTAATGATAAAACTCCTAAACTAAAGATTTATCGGTAGTACTGGTAGTTATGACCGGCGAGGGTTTAATTTACTAAATAAAGTTAGTTTGGGGTTTTTTCCATTAAATACTTAGTTTATGGGTTTTTACCCAAAACAAACTTAGTTGAGGGGTTTTTATGTTAAAAATCCTTTATTATTTTCTACTTTGCTTTCTCTCGCTGTATCAACCTTTTTCATGTAATTTACTTTCAAAATTTTCTTTGATTCTTTTAAATAAAAAATGTTGGGTTTGATCCAGGTTGAAGAAGGGAGCCAGTTGAATACAGTGGAAGATATTGCTGCAGCCATGAATCAAATTCTAATGAGGATTGACGAAGAGTCATCCTGAGCTAATATAGTTGAATTTTAGTTATGACACATTTAGAAGAACTCTAATTTTCATGTGTGATCTTTTACTCTTTTCATGTTAAAATAAGTAAAAATAAATAACTTTCCATTGGTCTCCGTGTTCACTGCTTCACTTTTTTTCCAACTGATATTTCATTGACATCCTTACTAAAATACATGGGTAAAACACTAGATAATACTGTAGAAACTAAACTTAATTGCCTTGCGAGAATCCGCAAAATTTTACCACACATAGTAAAGGCCTAAAAGGGCATGAACTATAGAAGATCTTTCGTGGTGTTTACTGCTTCACTTCATCTGTCCTTTTTTCTTCTTCATCTCTATTTAGCCCATTATCGCAACAATTTTTTTGTTCATTTTGTTACTAATATGCACTGTGTTAAAATTAAAGATAGAAGGTTTATTTAATTAGATAAAAATTTATATTTTTCAAATTGGTAATGAACGTGCCTAAAATAGATAGTTCAAGTCATTTTACAGTTTGTCCTTGAGAGATGTATTAAATAAAAAAATTAACATTTAATAAAAAAAATAGAAAACAAGAAACTTAAAATCTTGAATTATAATAATCATTGGTATTTTCTTAAACTATCTTTCCCCACAATAAATCTTTTAATTATGAAAACAAAATCGAACAGACTGTTTTCTAAAAACGTAGCTGCGCAGAATTAGCAGTAACGTGGGATTCATAGAACAAGATGATGATGATTGTCGTATCATGAAGACCTATAAAAGATCTTCAGAATCTATGTTTTTCACTTTCGGAGTCGAAAAGCAAAAGCCATAAATAGTTAAAAAAGTAAAACGTACCGATGTGATTATACAAGAAAAAAATAATTCTCTCTATTTTATAGCTGAGTGTATGTTTTAGAATCTTTTTCATGATTGAGATTTTGAATCACCAACTTTGCCTGAGAAATATTCTGCTTACATTTCCGCACCGTTGATTAATCTATTATATGATCTAAATGGGAAAAAGACTTTTAACTGAAAACTAGTCTTTGACAAAAAACTGAAAACTAATCTCAGCAAAAAGAAAAGGTATCAACAGTTATATAGCTTTGTCGTGAGTTCACATCAGACTAGAAACAGGCAACCAACGGCGTTTAATATATTCCATTGAATTAAAATCAGAGCCATCTGTGGAATTGGGCTTTCATGTATTCAAAGTTATGGACCCTTTACATTTCACTATTTCATTATATCAATCGTTAATGTTAGAGCATTTCCACTGGAATAGTATTTTAAACAGTTAACATAGTATTTTAATATATCAGTTATATAATTAAATTTTAATACTGAAAACAAATTTTTGAAAAATACTTTAATACTTTGTCATGAGCTCTCAAACGAAAACCTCTTTTGATTCTTTTTCATTTTTAAGTTATCCTATCACAAACTTCCATTGGAAGTGTTTTTAGTTTTTCTCCTCCATAAATAAACAAACTAAAACATGGGAAGTATTATATACATGCATGTTATTTTGATTTTCGAACTAGCCATGTTAGATATATGCACATAGCATTGCAAAAAACCATATTGTATCTTATCGATGGTGTATTTAAAAATATACTGATCAGTATTAGAGTATATAGCAAAAAAACAAACATGAACACAAGAGAGGATAACAAAACGTAAAAGAGTTTGTTTATTTGCCTTCTTCTATTTAGATTTACAAACACACTATAGACACTTGTGCATTGTAGCTTATTTTCTCTTCTTTATACATTGGAAAAATGGTTTTTGGTAGTAGAGACTTTCCTACACCGAAAAAAGCGAACTCTTGTCTGAACTGAAACATGAGCTTCCTCCTGTCTTCAACGACATGCTTGTCTCACTCTTCACTGTATCTTCACCAGAGTCACTACTTTCTTCTTTGTGGGTTTTCTCTCCCAAGGGATCCATACACTCCTCCAAAACCCTAACTTGCTCATCTGCCTCTGTTTCTGCTCCACCACCCTCCTCAGTGCTCTGGTTAACCTCATTCACATCTCCATACATTTCAATCCTTACATCAGAACTGAAACTCAATCTCTCTTTAGAACCCGATTCATCATTCTCAACCTCTCCACGATCTTCATCAACAACATCACCAGACCCTGACCCTCCAGGATTCACATCAACCGGACCAGAACACCGTGGAGTGATCGTTATACCAGCTCGACACAAAGGACAATTAGTATGAGACCTAAGCCACGTGTCAATACAAGAGATGTGAAAAGCATGGTTACACTTAGGTAATAACCTAAGACTCTCGTTTTCTTCAAACTCGTTTAAACAAACAGGACAATCTGTTCTCTCTATCAACCCATCTCCTCTCTTGTAACTACAGATGGTAATCGAGTTTATGATCGATTGTTGTAGCCCTGTTGTCCTAATCAACCATATCGGATGGTCTACTTGTTCTGTGTCTTGAAACTCTTCATCTATTGCACCATCTTGGGGGTCTCTTTGAGAGTGGTATCTCTCGAGGTTGACTCGGTTTACACTCTTTGTAACGTATTTGGCTGCAAGAAAGAAACCGGTTAGAAGGATGGCTAAGACGGCTCCGGTGACGGTGATGATGGTTATAGCGCCTAAAGAAGATGAAGCGTCTTGAGATGGTTGGTACACGGCTGAGATTTATGGAGATGGAGACATGATCGGCTGTGGAGATGACCATGGAGGTAGCTGTGGAGATATGGTGTAGTAATCTGGTTCTTGATAGCAGTTATAAGGGCAAATCGGGTCACAGATTCCTATTGAGCAATCTAATGTTTTGTTTGGCTCTGATGCTAATATAGGGAAGAGCTTTCTATGTTTCCTCTTGGCCATTTAAGAAGAGATGGTATTGTTGCTTGGAGTACAAGAATTAAGATCAAGGGAAATTTGTAAGGGCATGTGAGAAGTGAAATGTTCATAGAGTTTGAAGATGGTTTGATTTTATCTTTGTGTTTCTTTCACATTCAAGAGAAGGGAAGATGAAAATGTCTTCTCATCTTAGGTATTGACTTGTTCTGTGACAAGATGAAGCATCTTCTAATTGTTTTATTGGTGGTGAGTCTTAGTCATGAAAGCCATATATTACCTTTGTGCTTTTGACTCTTTGGCTTTCTAAAATTTAAGTAATGTTTATACTTTTGTTGGCCTTCAGCAGAGTATAATATATAAATAATATAATTTGGTAACACTTAAATTTTTTATCTAATTAAGAAAGATAGTGGTTGACAATTTTTTTTTTTTTTTAAGATAGTTTGTTTATCTAATTTTAATATCACACATTAGTACTAGTGCTACAACGTGATATAGCACGTAACATACACAAAAAGAATATGATATAAATTTTCACTTTGAACTGCTGAGTTTTATTTTTCTATTAAGAAGAAAAATATGTTGAGTTCAGACCAGGAAAAGAATCTAATGGTTAATATAAGTGTCGTTGCTTTGTTATCCGAATTTAAGTCTGAAAAATCCACATGTGTGAGTAGCAGTAGATGATAGCTTTTCACTTTCATTTGCAATATGCATACCTTGTTTTACAAAGATCGTTGTACTAAAACCTAATGTTTTACCAAGAACGGGCTTCCTTTCTACATTAACAATTTGGTTTTAGAAATATTATAGACATCATATTGCTGAGATATATTTTATGTGTAATGAAATTTATTTTATTTTTGTTTCAAGAAGCTTAATAATTGCATACTCTTGAACAAGTTTCATGGGCTGAGACTACACCCATTTTTTCACAGTTTAAACAGCCCTTTAGTCTACTACTTTATGGTGTCAAATACAAATTTTCAATGAATTTTTATTTTTATATAAAACAGAATAAATTATATATGTGAATTTTACTCCAATATATTTATTTAAAATACTGTTTTATATCTAAAATAAAAGAGTATTATTTATTTATAAATAATAATAGTAGAAATAGTAGTCGAATGGGAAAATATACTCACAGTAAAATTTAAACGTAAAATATAAATGTGAGTTAGAGATGTCTACAAAATTGAGTTTTGTGGTAAAAGCGAGTATAAGTCGTGAATCATGGTCCAGTTGATATATTGCTATTATGTGGGCAGTGTTATGAGGTATGACCAGTGTATTTAGTTGCAGGGTCCCTATCTCATATCCATGCTTTGTCTTGCAGCTTTCGGTGAGATTAATTTCGTTTTTCAAACAAACTACCACCTTTTTAGTAACTTAGATATTAAATTTAGTAAGACTGAAGCATTATTATACATTTTTCAAGAAGTATGCATTTTGCATAGTAACTGATTTTGAAAGGTAGAGCAGCGTTAGACATAATGAGTCACGTATCCACTATCATTTAAAAATTATTTAACTATAATAATTACGTCACATACTCGATTTCAGTTGCAAAGCTTCGGTGATTGCTCGTAAGAAAAGTTAGTTCATCTTCTTTTGGTTTGGTCAATTGTATTGAATCATTAAGGGATTTTGATGACACATCATGACTAGTTTGGTTTGCATCATCATTTATCTTTTTACAAAGAACCCTTTAGTGTGACTTTATGATCTGTCACCAAACCCCAATGACCCATACTCTTGAGGTGTAGCGATATTTCATTTGTTGAGTATGTTTAAAGCTATATAGGAGAGGAGGAACAAGTCTTTATCCCAAAATATGAAAAGTAATTTCAAAACTGAAATGATGAAAACATTAGTTGGATGGTAAGTGGACCTAATGCTCTACTGACTCCAACATACCCTTTTGGTTCCATTCTCTTTATAAATAACTCACAAGGATTTTCCTTAGTAACATCATTTTTTAATTAAATATACACAAAGATGGCAAACTTGAGTATACTTATTGGTTGCCTTGCCATCATCTTCTTCACTGTTGTTTCACCTGTATCCTCAGCCACTCATTCTGTTGAATGGTCACTCGGGAAGGACTATAGCTCCTTGGCTACTGGAAAACCTTATGCCGTCGGAGACACCATCGGTATGTACAATATAGCCTCTTGTATGCATATAATGTGTTTGTTTCAAACACTAAAATATGCATTTGCATTTACAAGTGAAATTGTTTCGCTATAAGGATAAGCAATTTTTTTGTTTCTTAATGTTTGCATTTACAATTAGGAAAAGAAAAACTAAAGTTTGATGAAAACACTATAACTGTGTTTCAGCTGGAAAAGTTTACCTTACAAACGTATAGTTGTAACATATGTATGTGTACGTTGTGTTGCATAATAGTATTCAACTATGGTGCGGGTCACACGGTGGACGAAGTGAGTGAAAGTGACTACAAAAGTTGCACATTGGGGAACTCAATTTCTTCCGACAGTAGCGGAACCACAAGCATAGTTCTCAAGAAAGCTGGTTCTCACTACTTCATTTGCGCTATCCCCGGCCACTGTGACGGTGGCATGAAGCTCTCTGTCAACGTAGGTGCAGCAGCCTCTTCAGACGGTGGTGGTGACAGTGGTGGCAGCACCACCCCCAAAACTACACCTTCTCCAACCGTAGAGGGCAAGAAGGCTGCTCCTACCACTTCTGCCACTTCTGTGTTGAAGCCGTTCAAGGCTTTGGTTGTGACTTGCGTTGTTGTATTATTATATGCTTTGGCTCTTTCTTAGTAGTCTTTAATTTCTTTTTTCGTTTGGTTTGGCTCCTATGAAAGTCCAGGCTAGAGGCAGTGCTATGAGCCCTATTATTATATGCTTCTCGAGTTCTTGTTATGATTAGTTGTTCTATGATATTCACTTTTCCTCTGTTTCGTATTTAATTATTTTTTTTCTCACGGTTATATTTCTTAGTTGTTTTTTTTTACTAAGATTTTTCTTTATTGTTACGAGTCTTTTACTGAAAAGTGAAAAGTACACCAAAACACGTAGCTTATTAGTTTCTTTTTCTTGTAGCTTATTAGTAATAACTAATAAGACTAATATAAATTATAATGCAAGGCTCTTACTAAAAAAATAAAAATAAATAAATATATATATATAAATATAGTGCAAGGTTATGAAAATTCTCACCATAATTATGGAAGATTTAAGCTAAGAATGTCAAAAGTAAGGTTGGGCTTTCGATTATTCGGTTCACAAAAAAGTAATAATTTGGTTAGTTTTTGATTTTTAAGTTTCTTGAATTCTAAAAACAGATCGACACTTCGTCAAAAAAACAAAGAGATCGCATTCAAGATTAAATTAATATGCTAGGATTTTTAGGTTACGTTTCTATTTTCGTTCTAGAAAATAAAGTTCTATTGGCAAACAAAAAAACAGTAATGATAAATAAAAATAATAATTCACTGTTTTCACTAATAAAGAGAAAAGATTCGAGCTATCATCCCTCAATGTGAAGAAACAATCTTGAGAATTAAGCTCAGCAAAACCGGGACTCCAGACAAGCTTAGTTGGCTCAACACAAAATCAGGTGACTATACCACCAAGTCTGGATACTGGACTGCCTATGACTCGATGCAGAGAAATGAAGAACAACATCACCAGCAGACAGACTTCGACTGGAACAAAGGAGTCTCGAACCTTAATATTGCTCCAAAGGTTAAGCTTTTTCTCTGGAAAACGTTTCAAGGAGCTCTATCTGTTGGGGACAGATTACTATCTCGAAATATAGCAGGGGACACAAAGTGTACGAGGTGCGGTATCACTGAATCTATCCATCATCTACTTTTTCAATGTGAGTTTGCTCAAAAGAATGCACTACCGGAGGATGTCTTAACAAGAGCAATAGCCTCTGCTAGGGAATGGAAGAATGCTCAGGAACCTAGGCCTATCCTGCCTCGCAAAAGTCCAGCTTGGGAGACACCCCTAGAGAATTGCTACCGGCTCCAAACTGATGCAGCTTGGATGGAAGAATCAGGGATTGCAGGCCTTGGATGGATCATCTCCAACCAAACAGACCGAACCTGCTTTGGCTCCCACTGTCATTTTGTAGCTTCCCCGCTGATGGCTGAAGCTCTCGCCCTGCGTGAAGCAATGTTTAAATGCAAGGAGTTGGGGATCCAACGACTCAAATGTGAAACAGACTCGGCTCAGCTTGTTAAAGCAATCACATCAAGGAAGCCATCACCGGATATCTATGGAGTAGTATCCGATATTATTAACCTGCTAGCAGAGTTTGAAGCGATCCATGTTAGATGGATCCCTAGGGGAAAAAACAAAGATGCTGATACCCTGGCAAAGCAAGCCTTGATGCTTGAATCTAATGTAATGAACTCAACCCTCAGGGGTCTTTAAATTTCTTAAATGATAATCAGTGTTACAAAAAAAAAAAAAAAAACAACTCGCTAATTTTACTTTTTTTTAAAAAAATATTGATTCAAAAATAATTTACTAACTTTTTATACTAATTTAATACTTTTTAAAATTACTAATGTAATAATTCACTACTAAATGCAATAAAAACAAATAGTTCAATAATTCACTAATTTTGATTTCAGCCACACTATGGATTGACGACTCGCACGGTTCATAAGTTACAAATTACTTGTTCTTGTGAGGTGGCCCAATATATTCCCGGTTGCGCAATTGACGGTAGCGTAGTGATCCCGGAGGCATTGGTAGAGCATGCAGACTCCGGGCCGGTGCTTTTAACGCCGGAGATAGGTTTTTCATAATGGGCTTTACACGCTTACCAAAATTCTGAACTTTAAAATAAGAACCAATTGTCACATTGCACATTCATTTCTGGCCAGCAATATATATCAATAATAATGAAACTAAAGTAATGTCCAACAAAATTCAGAGGATGATACCTTTTGTAAGTCCGAGTATGGGTTTTAGTTTTTTTCTTTTGAAATTATGATTTTGTAAATTTACAGTTTTTCTGCCAGTTATAGATTTATGTATTCGATTTTGTATTTCTTGAATCAATGTTAGCATAAGATCAAATATGCAATTTTACTCCTTTAAGATCTATAGGCCATTGCTATCTCACAGTTCTGCATGTGACCGTGTTTAGTTATAATCAATGGAGTCTTTTCTGTCTAAAATATACTACTTTATAACTTTGGGAGACGACTTTTCTAATAACATATTAGTAGTGTGAATACTTGAACTAAAATTAGACATGGGCTTATGATCACGAACGATCGTCTGAAGAATAGAGGACTGACAAGTGTCACGAGTGATTGACAGTCTCGACACGGCGAAAGAGACAGCCAGATAGATACTTTGATAATCGGCACACCGACTCACCTACTTTGATGGACCCACCGGATCTTTTAATGCATCTAAGCCGTCCATCTCATTACTAAACCAAACTAATTAATAGCAATATAACAAAAAGTTTGGTCCGAATTAATAATGTTTGCATCTTCTACTTAACCAACCTTTTTGCATTTATATATATTAACAAAAACTCTACTTATCTAAAGTTTTAATAAATTCTGAACACTGATGATGTGTTAACTAATTTTGATTATAAGCATTGTTACTATTTTGTCACTAGTTTAGTATCAGAGATATTGGTTTTGTATTAATGTCATTACTGTTTGTATGAATTTTGGAAAAAATAAAGAAAAGTACTTTATTGTTTTATGATGTAAGTAATTAAATAATATAAGCTGTTTTTTGTATTTCTATTGATCTATATTTGTAATTATATTATGTACTCCATCTGTTCCTATAAGATAGATTTTCTAGTGTTTTCACACATATTAAGAAAACACATTAAATCACTATCGTTTTCAGTAATTTTCAATTTTCAACAACTTTTAGCCAATAGTAATCTAATAAAACCAATTAATTTTTTTGGAACTTGTAATTTTCTCATAGAAAACATAGAATATATATCATTCTGAAACAAAATATTTTTTCCAGAACATAGATCTTTTAGGAACGGAGGGAGTAGTTTTTATATTATCGATTTTTAATCTATATTAAATATTTAGTGAAATTAATGACTTTAATTTTTATGAACTTATATTATGAAATAGAGAGATTTCTTATAAGATGAAGGCCCATTCTACATTTATTTCGACAAAACATATCTTTTTAATCTTTAGTTTTGTTGCCTTTTTGAAAAATGAGAAAGATTTAAGAAAAAAAAAGACAGAAGGATCTCGGAACCATCATGGAATACCAAAACAGCTTTGCATTAACACTAAGCACCTATAAATAGAATCGCGAGACGGCAAAACATAAATGACAAGAACACAATAAAGTAAAATGGAAAACATCTTCCTCATCGCCAGTGGATCAAGAAGAACAAGAAGAGCAATGATGAAATCAAAGAACCCTCAAGAAAAGAGATCAAATTCCAATCCCAATTCCATTTCAGACAATAACTTCTCATGCAAGAAGCACACGAAACATAGACAGTCTCCTGGAGTATGTTCCTTATGTCTCACTGAGAGACTCTCTAAAGTATCTCTAGAGTACTACAACTACACTAAGAACGCAGCTCAAGCGGCTTCGTCTTACTGCTCATCAGCATCATCTACCACATCGGTCTCGTCTTATTATTCCTCTTCTTCGGTCTCCTCTTGTTCATCTCCATTGCAATATCGGTATAGAGAGAAGAAGAAGTCTGGGAAGAAACATAGCATTTTGTTCAGATTATTGCTCGGATCCATTGTAGATTAGTTTTTTTTTTTCTAATTTATTTAAGCTTTTTATTCATACTACTGATATAATTCTTTTTATGCATTCATTCTTGGTTACTCAAGAAGTGCAGAGAATCATTAAAATTGCATGGTACTTTTATACCTACAAATTTGTAATTTTCTAAATTTTGTTGTAAGCCAATAAAGGAAGTGAAAAATCATGTTATCTTCTATCCTCTTTGGTTGTAACTTTTTTTTTTTTTTTTGGTTGTAACTTATGTGCGATGTCGGTGGTTATAGTGCCATATGTTTTGTTTTAAGTGGTTAAAATTGATTTTCCACAATTATGCATATAATCCCACATTACGAGAATATATATATTTTTGCTTAAGAGTTTTAACGACCTCTTTTGTGAAATTAACTTCTTTTAAAATAATGACTCTAAAATTTGTATATTTCACATAAAATGAATACAAATCTATTACTTTTAATTTTTTATATATCAAAAAGAACAAGATAGCTTTAGTTCGAAACCTAAGTAATTCTCGAGAATATATAAAGTGAGATTTTTTTGCCAGCAAAGTTTACTGCAATAACAAGAAAACCATAACACTTTTCGCTGATAGTGTAATTCAATACGTGTTTTGACCTACGTGACGAGTCTAAGTCTTATAGAATTACACTGTCTACAAAATTTGAACCATTATAAACAGTTGAGCTATACGTTCTTGGTTAATAACGCATCAATTTATTTATATATTTTGATGCCATCTTATGATAAAACACGTAGGTAAACTGACGATAACAGTTAAAAAAACCGAATCAAATTTTCACTTCTTAATTGTTGAATGCAAATAAATAAGAGCGATGATATATGATAGGCTGGCGCATGACTTTTACTCTCGTTGCCAGAAAGAATGTACGGTATGAGGACAAAGACGTGTTGTACTTTCATACCATATGAATCACTTCATATTACATACAGCTGTTCAAATTTTTATTTAAGCCGTACCACTAATGTTTGATGCATGCAATCATACAGATAAATGTGTATGTGTTGCGCGTTTAGAACTTATAATATACTATATGGATCACCGATGCACTCCCGTGAAACTTCTTTGAACATTAGTATATACTATATTTTAATTAACCAGCAATCATTAATTCGTTTTAAAGTTATGTTCAAATGAAGAACTATAACCCCTATTAAACTATGGTTTCAATGATTATCACTAACAACCAAGTACGTACAACTACAAATTCAAACAAAATATTTTTGAGCCAACCAAATGTGTTTTAGTTAGAGTATGCATATATAGTAAGTTGAATGGATCTTCTCAAAGACTTGAACCAAATGGAACTCAAAACCGATTTACTAGTGTCTATTACCGAGACCAGCCTTGTCTCGTCTTGTTTCAACATGAGACAACATTACTGGTATGCTTGTGAGCTTATATATAATGTCATCGAGTAAAGGCTGAAGTCATTTGGGATATTTAGTTAGCTTGGCCGTGGCTGAAAACTTCTTCAACTTAGGCGGCGACCCTCAAGCTAAGAAATCACTCCACTTACTGGAGCTACAATGGCATTGTCGAGGACTGACAAATCGAAGGATCTTTTATTTCTAGAAATGGATCATCTAATTTTTATTTTAACACTGGCTTTTTTCACCTTTTAACAATAATACATTTAGTCTTTGGAAATAAAGAAACCGCCATTTCTAAAATGGTTAATCTCTTCTTCAACTAGTGTCACATATGCCATGAGATTTGCAATTTGTTGAAGGCCTCTCTAGTTGTCCTTTAAAGTTATGATCAATCCAACCTTGATCTATACTCTCCTTACCACTTAGTTTTGTGACTTTCAATAATCGTTCTCAGATTCTTGATGTCTCTTTGCTATTATGTCTTCTGATATATAAACTTCCTTTGAATTTGCTATTATCCATCTTCACAATCTTGAAAATTCCAAATTCAAAGGAATTAAATTCCATGTATGCATTTGTACTTAAGCCTCATCATAAAAATGAATAGGCTAAAACATTATTCATAATTACATTGAAATTGAAGGTATAAATAATACTCTCTCCATTTCAAATTAGTTATTATTCTAGTAGGAAAAAAATTGTTTTAAAATAAGTGTCGTTTTAGAATTTTGAATTAACTTTATATGATATTCTATTTTTCTATTGGTTGAAAAATTGTTACATGTTAGGTAATTGTGTTTTTATCTTAAAAATATGTAAAATTAAATGTTTTCTTAATCTATGTGCAAAAACTTAGAATGACAACTAGAGTGAAACGGAGGGAGTAATGAATGATTAACATTGAATTTAAATTTTTTTTTTTTTGAAACATCACTGAATTTAAATTTGCACGGCATTTTATTCAATAATAAAGTTCACAAGACTAATATATGTGGTCTTGTTACTCGTTGTCTTTATAATAAGTTAATAACTAAAATAAAAAAAAAATATCACTTGGAATCCATTAAAAAGCCACGTGTAGCCTGCCCGTCATGAGAGATTAAATCACTGCCCGTCTACCCGAAAGAAACAATTTCAAAATTTCAAAGTAGTAAAAGAATCAATCAAAAGGTCGTCTAATAAAATAACGTTAAAGATAACCGTAAGGAAGGAAAAAGATTCTTACCTTAATTAATAACCACACACATTCTCTTCTCCTCCTCTTCGACAATTTGAAACTCTTCGCGTACCACTTCACACTCTCGTTGTTGATTCCAATGGAGGATTGTCACGATCCACTTCTCGCATTCAATGCTTCTCCGCCAAGTGAAAGCTTCTCTCCCTGTGAGTTCTTTTTTTTCTCTAAGTTTGATTCAATTGGAGAGTTATCGCTCATTCTATTTGATTTGTGATTTTTATTAGAGACAAAATCTCTCACATCAATAGTTAGAAGAGATTCATTAGTAATATATAAGATAGATGAATCAATCCAGTTATTACCAATTGGTTTTAGGTTGGAAGCGTCTAGCTTTAACAATATTTGTTCTTTTCTTTCCATAAGCAGCTGAGGAAGCTTCTACAGTATCAAGCTCAATGACTTTAACAATGGCGGATCTCGATGTAGACGGTAAGTCCTGATCAGAATCTCTCTCAAATCAAACTTTGCTGAATCTGGATTTAGCTTTAGATGTTGAACAATCAATCCCAGGATTGATGGAATCGGAGCAATCTAGTGATCTCATAGCGTTAGACGATGAACAATCAAACCAAGAACTGATGGAATCGGAGCAAGACAGTGATCAGATAGCGTTAGATGGTAGCGAAACCTCTTTTACATTTTACTTTTTTATTTTTCAAAATCAATCATCTGATTGGAGTCTATATGTGTTACAGGAAAACTTGTGTTAGGGTTTCCTTTAGCATCTCCGGATCTAGTCAATTGCGGAGGTTCACCTGATATACCTAGCTATGAAAATTCACCAGACATTTCTCAGAAGAAGCTCAGATTCTCCACTGAGCTTTCTTTAGAGAATGGAATCAACCGCCGCTCTGTGAAGTTCTCAGCTATTAATCAAACGTTTGGATTTGAGTTGTCTCCTGTGTCTTCCTTTGAGTTACCTTCACCACATGGGAACTATAGGGAGAGTACAACTCCAGTGATGAGTATAAACTCAGGTTCTACAACTTTTGATGTGACTCTGGATGATGTGACTTTCTTGAAGGATGAGTTTTTCAGTGGAGGTGAAACTTTCACCACTGATGCAGCTGTTGGTGATGAAGATGAGATTTTTTTATATCAAACAGCTCGGATTGGCGATTTCACTTACAAGTTTCAGTCGTTGGATCCTGGGGATTACTTCATTGACTTGCATTTTGCTGAAATTGAGTTCGTTAAGGGGCCAGCAGGAGTTAGAGTTTTCGATATATTTATTCAAGAAGCAAAGGCAAGACCATCATATGATTGGATTAAGCTTTTCTCTTTGTGTTCTTATTTATTACATGTCTCAGTAATGATTTTGGTTATGTTTGACTTGAAAATATTGCAGGTTATATCCGGTCTTGATTTGTTTTCGCATGTAGGAGCAAATACACCTCTTGTGATAGCTGATATAAGGATGCTCGTTGGTTTAGAAGGAGAGTTATCTATACGGTTAGAAGGAGTGACTGGATCCGCAACTTTGTGTGGCATTTCTATTAGGAAGGAAGCAACAGCTACTTGTATGTTGTTTTCTAACCTTTTTGTGTCTTCTACAATATTATTGTTTTTGTTTCTTCTTCATCTTCCATGTGCTGGAAGTTATAAAGTATTTAACTTAGTTAATCAAACTTCAATTTTTTTTCTTTCAGATTGTGAAGACACTGGAGTACTAGCGTTGAAAGAAAAAACTGACACTGTTCTGTCTCTGCCACCTCAAGTGAGTGATCTTCTTGCACAATCTTGATGTTTCTTGTTTAGTTTAAGTGTACATAAGTTGCAGATTATTGAAGTGTCATACTGTTTTTAGGAAAATGTAGACTGCAAGAAAGAGATCCATGAGATGAGTAATGCTTACTGTGAGCAGCAGAATAAAGAGATGGCAGATATGAAGAGAATGGTTGAGGAACTTAAACAAGAGAATGAAAGAAAGAGTAGAGAATGCGAAGAAGCATTGAGTTCTCTCCGTGAGCTTCAAAATGAGCTAATGCGCAAGTCAATGCATGTTGGTTCTTTAGGTAATGTATATCCCTCTCCTTTTGCTTACGTCTTCAATTGCAAGCGTGAAAGTTGACGTTTCATTACTTTTTTTTTTATGTCTAGCCTTTGCTGTGGAGGGACAAGTCAAAGAAAAGAGCAGATGGTTCTCTTCATTAAGAGATCTGACAAGAAAACTGAAGGTACATGGAAGCAAACTTAAGATACTATCAGCAACTCCAAACTCTTATGCCTTATATATATGAATTTGGATTTCATAGATTATGAAAATTGAGCAAATTAAGCTGTTGGAGGAGGCGTCTACATACAAGTTGCTAGTCCAAGATATCAACGAGTTCAGTTCTCACATCCAGTCCAGAGGTGAGTCTTGGCCTTCCTATACCAGTAGCACTATAATGATTTGGTAATTCTGTGTTTCCATGAATTTAATCTTGCTGTGATTTGTTTCCAACAGTAAAACAAGACGCAGAATTGCATGAAAATCTCAAAGCCAAATTTGCAGCAGGAGAAAAAGAGAGGAAGGAACTATACAACAAGATCTTAGAGCTAAAAGGTTTTTGTGTTTGTAACCAATATAACTTCTAAATAAAACTCATTGGTTCTAACAGTTTACATTAATCATTATTTTCTCCAGGAAACATCAGAGTCTTTTGCAGGTGTAGGCCCCTAAACTCTGAAGAAATTGAAGCAGAAGCATCATTAGGAATTGATGTCGACTCAACCAAAAATGGGGAGGTCATAGTCATGTCAAATGGGTTTCCCAAAAAGAGTTTCAAGTTCGATTCTGTTTTTGGTCCTAACGCTTCTCAAGGTGATCTTTGTCACTCATCACACCCTTTCCTACTTCCCTTACATCATCTCACAACATTTTGCTTCTTGTTCTTTTTATAGCTGATGTTTTTGAAGATACTGCTCCTTTTGCTACGTCAGTCATTGATGGATACAATGTTTGCATCTTCGCCTATGGCCAGACTGGTACTGGAAAAACGTTTACCATGGAAGGAACTCCAGACAACCGTGGTGTGAATTATAGAACACTGAAAAACCTGTTTGAGATAACTAAAGAACGAGAAAACCGTTACAGTTATGAGATTTCGGTTAGTGTCTTGGAAGTCTACAACGAGCAAATTAGAGATTTGTTGGTCACTGCTTCACAAAATGCATCTGCAGCGAAAAGGTACATAAGATTTGTAGATAGTATGCAAGCTCCACAGTTCGTTAGACTCGTTTGATTATGACTTTGGTGTTTCAGTACGGACTACAAGTAGTTTTTTGTTGCTGTGTTCGAACTAAAATCATTGGTTTCCACTTACTTTGACATCCTTTAACTGAAATTTATATCATGGTTCTTGGTAGATTTGAGATAAGGCAAGTGAGTGAAGGAAACCACCACGTACCAGGATTGGTTGAAGCACGCGTGACAAGCATAGAAGAGGTTTGGGATGTGTTGAAAACAGGAAGTAATGCAAGGGCTGTTGGTAAAACAACGGCTAATGAGCACAGCAGCCGATCTCACTGGTCTGCACACCTGATTTGTAGTTCAAGCCTCCTTTTTTCAGAAAATCTTTTTGGTGATCAGCTGTCTAAGTTTACCTTTTTTTTTTTTCATAGCATTCACTGCGTAATGGTGAAAGGAGAGAATTTATTGACTGGAGAATGCACAAAAAGCAAACTATGGTTAGTTGATTTAGCAGGAAGCGAACGGGTTGCAAAGACAGAAGTGCAAGGAGAGCGGCTCAAAGAGACTCAAAGCATCAACAAATCATTATCTGCTCTTGGTGATGTCATATATGCTCTTGCCAATAAAAGCTCTCACATTCCTTTCAGGTTAAATATGATACATCTTTTTCTTAAGTTACTAAGACAATGTTTACTACAGTCACCACTTGACGTTTTGTTTTTACCCTTTGCAGAAATTCAAAGCTCACCCACTTACTTCAGGATTCTCTAGGTACTTTAACTTTGCTTTCAAAAGCTGCAGCCACTTTCTTTGCTAACATAATGCTTCAGTTTAACTATCCTGGTGTAGTGTTTATGGTAAAAATTAACTGGAATGTAACAGGAGGAGATTCAAAGACCCTCATGTTTGTACAAATCAGTCCTAATGAGAAGGACAACAGCGAAACGCTATGCTCACTAAATTTTGCTAGCAGAGTTAGAGGGATAGAGTTGGGACCTGCAAAGAAGCAGCTAGACAATACTGAACTCTTGAAATACAAACAAATGGTAAAGCTAGACTCTCAAGTTGACATCTCCACATATGTGTACAAGGAACTATTTAAGTATTAATATGGGTTGTGTTAACTTTTTAGGCTGAAAAATGGAAGCAAGATATGAAAGTAAAAGACGAGCAGATTAGGAAAATGGAGGAAACAATGTTTTGTTTAGAAGCAAAAGTCAAGGAACGAGACATTAAGAACAAAACTCTTCAAGAAAAGGTAGAACAATACTCACCATAACCACAAGAATAACATTTTGATCTTTGCTGAAACCATCACTTATCAATTTCTTTGCTAGGTTAAAGAACTTGAAATGCAACTACTGGTAGAGAGGAAGCTGGCTCGTCAACATGTAGACACCAAGATCGCTGAGCAGCAAACGAAACAGCCTTACGGAGATGAAAACAACACATCAAAGAGACCACCACTAGCAAACATACCGTTGAGAAGCATCAAGATCTCGAACGAAACCTCAACTTCGAAAGAAATAGTGAATCTAACCAGACCACCACTCTCAGAGAGTACCACAAGCATCAGCTATGTTCTACCTCCTTTACCAAACGTTGGCGTCAAGTACAACGACCTCATGGAGAAAGAGAACAATCCAGAAATGGCTGAGAGATTGCAAATATCAAAGAGTACAGGGAGATTCTCTATTTGTCCAAAACGCATTCTACCACCTCCAGCTCCAAGAAGGAGTACTCTTGTCCCAATGCCAACATCAACTTCACCATCACGGCCTCATGGCACTAGCCAAGTGCTACGCATCAGCCCTAAGCTGCGTAAGAGTAATGGGAAGATGCTGAGCAGCATACTGAGACGGAGCATGCAAAAGAGAATGCAAATGAAACCTTACCAGAGACAGCAGCCTTTGAGAAGAGTTGGGATTAATGTAGGAATGGAGAAAGTTAGGTTGTCTATAGGAAGCAGAGGAAGGTTAGCTCAAAGAGTTTTGTTGACCAATGCTCGTAAGGCAGGTCTAAAGGAAACACCACTGAAACAGATACAAAAGGAGAAAGAGAGATGGATCTGACCTTATGACATAACTTCTCATCTAGTTATATTTATTAGAGGATGATTGATATGTATTATCATCCTCTTGTGTTAGTTTGTGGATTTGATTTGATCGTACTGTATAAATAGATTTTTTGGCCCTTATGTGTTTATCATTGGTAATAGAGTCCCAGATCCTTCTAGGAGAAGGTCCAGTATAGCCAGTAAACCTCTCAAGGTTTATTTGAAGATTTACATAAGTCATCTCACCTGAACATAATCATCATCATTATCATCACATATAATAACCAAAACTTCTCAGACACACTGTTATATCTTTTGTTAAACCACATACCACTATTATCTGTGTCATCATTATGCGTCCATGGATTATTAGTTTCAACCCAACCTTTAAATGCTCTGTTATCTATAGTAGGGTCAACAGCAGCTTGTGGTTTTCCTTCTTGACAAATTGGATTATCTGAAGGAAGAGCAGCCTTTTTAAAAGGTTCAGGGAACTCAGTCTCTGGACATTCACAGACACTGCAATCACGTAAACGACACATTCCATCGTCTGGCCAGAATGGTGGGCAGTCACACCACAGCTTAACCTAATCATCAGAGGGATCAAAACAATGTTCAATAACATATCAAGTTCAAATAAACTACACCAGTGTCTCTAAAGGAGCATCACTGACCTTAAAGTATCTGAAGAATGGAGTTGTGACGAGATCTTTAAGCAGACGATTCAAAACCTCACTGTTGAGTTTGTCCACGGTTTCGTAGTCACAGCAACAGTCCTCAACTATACCTTTGTATTTACCACTTCCCTGTATATAACATCATTAAAATATCACACATATTGCATTCAAGAAATGCATTGGCACATTTTAATAAAAAAAACAAATTCAAAGTTTGTTTTATTATCCTGAATCCATCACATAGCAGAGAAAACAAAGCTAATTTTGACCATCAGTGAGTGAATATTCAACAACTCTTCAACATTTTTCTCAGTATAAAACAGACTTCATGCAATTCAGACATGCAGATTTAACTGAGATCATATAGTCAAAATGATCAAACTGAACCAAATCTAGGAGAGTAGTCTATAGAACCTGAAGTGAACAGCTGCAAGAACTTTGATCAGTGAAGAAGAAACCGACATTAGAAGCGGTCCTAGAGCTAACAGCAATTGAAAATAACACAACAACCAAAGCAGCCAAAGGCCAACGCCATGTTCTTCTCTTCCCTTCACTCTCTTCCTCATTGATTGCACCGCCTTTTCCCATTACTATGACGAATTAAAAACAGAAAAAGTGCACGATAAGCACGTTTTGTTGTGTCTTTCAGACAATTCTCAAAACACTATTGTTGTTGTTGTGCCTGGAGATCAGCTCATATTATGCAGCAAGCAAAAAGTCATGATGAATGAATACGTTAGTTTGGTTTTGACAATACGTTTCAAAAATAACTTTTAAACATCCAAGCTCTTTGTCAAAACAAAAAAAAATCCAGTCCTTACGTGGAATAAAAAGTCAGTATACAAATCTTTTATGTATATTATTATTTATTTTGCATTTTTACATATTATAAAATAATATATATAGATTGAATAATTTAGAAAAAATAATTATTATGTATATAATTAAATTGGAAAAAAAATCAAAACAATATTTTATGATAATAAATCAAAACAATTATATTTACATATTTTCTATGATATAGTTAAATTAAAATGAAAGTAACATATATATATAGTATAGTTTTTAATATGGTTTCTATATTAAATAAGACTTAAATACTCATATGATTTTATGATCATTTTTTTGTATAGCAAAATTTTAAACTGCTGAAACAAAAATTTCAGTGTGGACTTTAATAAATTTAGTAATTTATAATCATACTTAAAAATTCAATGCAAGTTTCCAAATTAAATATTAAGGTCTCAATACTTTTTCAATAAAATTTTAAAAATTAAAATATTTATTTATATATGGTATATAACTTAATTTAAATAGTATTAAAAATATATATACTTTTAATATGAATATCTATTATATGAGATTTTCTCATATAGTTTTATGACCATATGTATCTTGTTATAATAAAAATTTAAAATATTGAAAAAGAAATTTTAATATGAGATTTTTAACAATTTTAGTAATTTAAAGTTGTTTTTTAAACATAAAATATATTGCAAAACTTTAAATTTTATTAAGTGAATATGATAGTTTAACTTGTTTTAATAATATAAAATTAAAATATGATGAAGGATATAAAATTGTTACCAAAATAGTTTTTATTTAACTCATTAACTGTAATATATATTAAGATAAACTCGTAATTTTATTTAAGCAAAAAAAAAATACTTTTCTACATTAATTTATGATTATTTAATAAAAATCATATTATATGTTTAGATGAATTAATTTATTTTTTTAGTGGTTCTAAATATATTTCTAGTAATGACACGCGTCGACATAGATAAAATATTTTAATGTTTCTCTTTTATATATATAAGTAATAATATTACAAAAAGTTGTATGATAAGTTTTACAGTATCCTCTTCTCATTTTTTGCTTACAAAATCTTGATGGCCACTGTAGGGGTATTTTTTTAAATTTCGTACAGCCTTATCGCTCATCTGTTTTCTTGTAAGAAAAGAAAACCGTGGTGGAAATCATTTTGGTTTTAGAGACACCCACCACTACATATATCCATTTAACATCTAACCGATAAAAATGGAAAAATGAAATAGATAAAAGAAGAAATCTCATTAGTAGGGATAAGCCAATATTAGCAAAACTTCAAGTGTTTATGAATTACTCCATATTTTATGAAAATATAACTTTTAATTTTCTTTTGATTCTAAAAAAATATGAATATCTGAAAAGCCGAATATCTAGAAAAAAAAACTGCAAATATTTATGGATATTTTTCGATACTTATGAATATATCTCACACTTTGTTTAACATAAGTAGATCAAAACGAATGACGGATAATATGTCCAATCCTACTCATTAATATATTATGAAATACTTCTCAGATCCTCTACTAAAATATGACAATTTTACACATGGTTCATCATTCTTTTAATCATTAAATCTTAAATCAATAGTAAATTCTATGAACATATGAATTTTATGTAGTGAGGAATCTTTATAATATTTTTTGAGAAGTCAGTTTCCTACATGTCGTGTTCACGTTAACTCTCGTGATGGTTGATTACATAGATACCCTTAATGAATTGTTACATTTAAAGATTATTATTAACTTTTTCTTTTAGTTTTTTTCACTTTTTTTCAAATAACATATATAATAAAAAGGAAACATTTATAAAATTTTAAAAGAACTTCAAAAACGAAAATATATGTATATAACATGATTTTATTAAAAAGGAAAGTCACAAAATAGTAATATTCCCTAATACATATTTTTAATAACATAAAATAAATTTTCAAAGTAATAAAAATACATTTATTCATGAAAATCCAAAAGTTTATCTGTTACACTTAATTTTCTAATATATTTTTTAAAATCAACATATAATTTGATAAATATTATGAAATACATGTATATTAAAGCGATAAATAAAACTAATTTGATTTGATTTAATTAAAAATAAAAAGTAATTATACTTCAGTTTAATTTAAAAAATATTTAACTCAATATACTTACAACATGAATGACTCAAATAATCTAACTTATATCTAAAATTAAAGATCTAACTACAATAAGAATATATAATCTTAGAATAATAATAGTAATCTATTTATTTTTATACATATAAATTTTAGGATTACTCAAAACATATTAAAAAGAAAAATAAAATATTACACAATTGCAATTTAGCTCTTTTGTAAATTTATATATATGGATTCAAAATATTATCGTTATATTCATTTATTTAATTTGGAATCAAACCCTTCAGCTTATTATTTATATCATTTTAAGAAAAATATATATTAAGTTGTACATAGTTTAACAATAATATATTTACATATCTAAGAAATAACCAACCTAAATGAAAATAAGAAAATTGATCAAAATTTTATTATATTTAGAATAAAAAATAGTATAATTGAATTCAAAAATAGATATTATCCAATACACCGAATCGATAACCAAATCGACTACTGGTCCACAAAATAATCAAATCTACTATAATATATCCAAAATTATATGCCTAATTAGAATAATATAATATTTATTAATATAAATTATACATATAATTTGATTCAAAATTAAAACTAAGCCAATTATTATAAATTATTACATATAAATCAATTATTATAAATTTTTACTTTTATAAATATTCGTACCCGTGCATGAGCACGGGATAATCACCTAGTTATCATTTAAATACAATGGAGGGATGCCCTTAGCCTCTTACTATGTTGTTAAATTGACAGAAAAGGAAAGATTATTGGCAGAAAGAAAAGGAATATTTAGAGAATCATTCATCTATACACTGATTGGTTTTATCATTTGTAGCTTTCTGTTTGAATCTTGTCATACTTCCATTCGATCATTTGATTATCGCAGTGGACCATTTATTTAGTTACACAGGACCATTTTGCATGTTCCTTGTGCTGAAATCAAAGTTTGAGTCGGTTACCGACGTATGAGAGATTAATCTTTTTCGTTTTACTGTCACACGCGGTTATAAACTTTAACAGCAGAAGTTTCCTATAAATATCGGTTCAATGTGTCTGCTCTCTACAACACAACTCAAAAGCAAACAAAACAAAAAAACCATCAAGCCCTAAAGGCACACAATGATGTCACCATTCCCATTGATCTCCTTTCTCATCACTCTCATGTTGGCTGCAGCTGCATGCACCCACGGAGAACATATTCTCGTGAAGGACACCGAGGGAATTCCACTTCGAACGACTGAACAATACTTGATCCTACCACTCAACCCGAAGAGTAACGGAGGTGGTCTTCTTCCAGTCCCCGTTAAACTACTTCCCCTTTGTCCACTTGGCATCAGCCAATCTTCGGTTAGGGCTTTACCAGGCATACAGGTTAGCTTCTCATATCCATACGCGCTCATGGACACATATGTTAGCGAAAAGGAAGATATAAACATCGAGTTTAAGTCACACGCATGGCCGGGCTGCGAGGAATTTTCCAAGTACTGGGAAGTCGATGAATCCTCATCGGCTTTAGAGGAGCCTGCGATTCTCACCGGTGGTAAGAAGCGGGAAGGAAACAGCTGGTTTAGAATTGAGAGACAGGAAGATTTTGTTGGAGGAGTTGCTTACAAGTTGACCACCTTAACCGGAACCATTGGAACCGTCCCAGGGCCTTGGGAAAATGCACCACAACTTGTTCTCACCAATGATACTTCCAAGACCTTCCTCGTCAAATTCCACAGGGTTCATGGTGATACTACAGCTGCTACTTCTACTTCACGTCTTGAGAAGTTAGGTCTAAGGATGTTCCCATCTAACTAGTCAATAAGCCAAAATATCATGTGTAATGTAAAACTGGCCTAAAATAATGGGTTGAGATAATACCCGATCATGCCTGTACCTGAATTTCCATAAATAAAACAAAACTATCTTTGTCCATATATCTCAAACACCAATCTCTTATGGAGCTCGTAAATCTCATATACATTCATTGCTTTAATGAAACATGAATATCAGATTTTACCTTTTCTCTATTTTCCTGAAATTAATATTTTTGAAAAAAAAAGAAATTTAAATTTCATAATTCTTAAAATTTAATTATTGACGTACTGATAAGTTTTATATTAGCTATACTAACTATTATTAAGTTAGTTATCCGATGAATTCAGAATTGAAAATGAAATAAATAAAAATACGAAAATATAAAAATCCTTCAACGTAAGAACAAGAAGAACCCTAAAATCAAAGAAAATCCATAATTGGCTTTAGCCATAAATCGAGAAACCCTGAACAAGAAGAATCCTAAACTAAAAATAAAACATAATAAAAAGAATTCTAAAAAACAGATGTTATGCAGTCGTTAACTCATGTTGAGCCTCCGCGGTTTCTCTTTCCGTGGCACCACGGTTGATATTCTCTATGGTTATCTCAGGCTGAACCACTATAGGTAGAAAAAAAAGACTTTTAAATCGTAAAAGATAGAGAAAGAAGAAGAAAGAGAAAAAAAGAAGAAGAAAAGAGATAATAAATAGAGGGGGGAAAAATTAAAAATTAAATTGATAATTTCTCTGATCTGTATAATAAATGTGTAATTATCTGATTTTTGAACTAAAAATTACTTTAAAAGAAAACAATTTATAATGAGGTGACTTTAAGCTTGTGTGTATTATGTTTTGTTGTATTTGCCCAAATATTTATTTAGTTCTGTCGGTCTTAATTTTACTGCAAAATGGCGTAATGAACAAATAAAAAAGACATTACTCCATTTATAGAATAATCATTTTTTTGTTTGTTCATTACTCCATTTCTCACTCTATTTTACAATAAATTATGGAATGTGGTTGGAAATACTCTTAGTCTCTAAAGTAAGTTCATGTTTACTGCTGACTTAAGCTTTTAGGAGTTGCATAACTCGCTAGCTATGTATCTCATCCTGTGTAGTACCTTGTTTCGTTTCAATAAAATCTACTAGTGTAAAAAAAAAAAAGAGGTGACTTTAAGGGCAAGAAGGACGATGTCTCGGATTATGAGGATGTGATGTGCGGAAGAAGCCAAAAATCATTTTGAAAGCTAATAATTTAGGTTTTATACTGTCACACGCTGTTTCACTTTTAACCGCAAAGTCTTCCTATAAATACGTCTTTGCTCTCCATAACTAAGCCTGGAAATTTAGGTATTCGGTTCGGTTTCAGGTAGGTATCTTTCGGTTTTGGGTAGGAATTTTTCGGTTTTGGATAGGAATCTTTCGGTATCTGATAAATTATTCTTATATCCAATAGATACTTATGAGATTTCGGTTCCGTTTCAGTTTGGTTCCAGTTCGATTTCGATTCGGTTTCAGATATCCATTTAATATATGAATAAAATATATATATATATACAAAATATATTAGTTAATATGTTAATTTAGATAGTTTATTGTTTAGACATTTACATATTCGTTAATCCAACAAGAATTTAATAAAATATTAATTTTATAAATATTTATTATATTTTAATATAGAAATACTATATATATTTGTAATATAAGAGAGTAGATAAAAAATAATATGGTCTAGTGGTACCAATGTTCTCACTAATCATATTTAATATGGGTTCAAATGAGTTTAATACCATTTTACTTTAAATTAAAATGCTTAAAACTTATTTTTCGGATTTTCAGATATAGAAATATAAGAACCATAACTCAACTCACTCTAAACATTATAAAAGCTAGTATAAAATTAGAGAAAGGAAATATTTTTATAAAAGCCAAAGCCTTGAACACAATTCTTAATATTTCTCTTGAAACTCGTATACAAGTGTGTGAAAGATACAATGAATATGATTAGAAATATTTTGATACAACTTTTGTATCCCACTGCTTATACCCCACAATGTGTTCCATCCGTTGAATTATTCCCCTGGGTTATTTGATCTTCCTTTATATGTTAGTTACTATGAACATTTTGCATGTTCCTCGTGCTATAAATCGAAGTTTGATCCGATTACCATAGAGTTTAAAGTCTAATTATCTTCTATTTTCAACCTTGGCTGTAGAAAGTTTGAAACCAATGATCATGAACTTTCCCATCGCGAGAAATGAATGATCAAGATGTGATGTGAGGAAAATGCCAATAACAATTTTGAAAACTAATAAATTTAGGGTTTTATGAACAAAATTAGAGATTTATCTTTTATTTCTACTGTCACACGTTGTTTTACTTTTAACTGCAAAGGCTTCCTATATATACGTGTTTGCTCTCCATAACTCAACTCACTCAAACACCCCAAACACCAAACCTAAAAACACAAGATCAATATCATCACAAATGAAGATCTCTTTTCTCATCACTCTCCTCTTGGCGACAGTGGCCTGCACCCACGGACAACAACCGGTGAAAGACACTGCCGGAAACTCTCTTGAGACAGGTCAGCAATACTTCATCCAGCCGATCAAGACCGGGGGAAGTAACGGAGGTGGTCTTGTTCCAGCCGCCATTAGACTCTTTCCCATTTGTCCACTTGGCATCAACCAAGCAGGCTTTTCGTTCCTACCGGGCCTACCGGCTAGCTTTGAGTATGCTGACACAGTATCAGACTCCATCGTTAAGACAAATACTGATGTTACCATTGAGTTCCAGGCCCCCGAATGGCAGTTCTGCGACGACTTTCCCAAGTTTTGGGCAGTTGAATCCCCATCGGCTTCTAAGGAGCCTGCGATTATCCTCGGTGGTGAACCGGGGAGCCCAAATAGGAGGTTTAAGATAGAGGAAGCTGGAGAAGGATTTGGAGAAAACACTTATAAGTTTACCATCTTAGAGGGGACCGTTGGAAACGTCACGGGTCTTTTTCGGACAGCACAACTAGTTCTCACCAAAGATGATGCTAAGACCACATTCGTCCAGTTCAACAAATATAATGGAGCTACTACCTCTGCTTCTCTTGTTGAGAAGTCAGGTCTAAGGATGTTCCCATTCTAATAATCAAGATATTCATAATGTAATGTTAAAAGCCTAAGACTCGTCGATGGCCAAAAATAATTAAGGGGTTGAGAAAATACCCGCACGCATGCATGTTGTGTTTCTTTACTTTTCTCATGAATATATAAAATAAAATTATATGTTTTATAATGCTTTATGATGAGACATTGGTTAAAACCAGTGTAATTTTAAAATTTAAAACTATCGTTATTTTGTGGATCTCTCTGTATCCCACAATAAAATCGGACACTGTGAAGAAAAAATACAACTATGAGAAATACTAAATTCAAAATCTTGTAGGTTAACTAGTCGATATATAGAAATAAATAACGAAAATATTTGGGTTAAAATTTGCTTTACTGATAGATACAAAAATTGCTTTAGCCAAATCTCTCTCTCAACGTTTGATCGATCTCTGGATTCACTTCAAAATTTATACACATCATATCCATTTAGTCTCATTGACTCCTAAATCAATCTTTGGTAAAACAAAATTTATTCTGGAACAGAAAGTGAAATATTTGCGTCAATCGATTTATGTAGATCAGTTTTAATTAGTCATGTAAGGGAAGGAATCTAAAAAATAATTGATAACATTTACAAAAAAATAAAACTAAGTGTATGTCACTATCTGTGGTGTATAATACCCATCCAATTCTAGCTTTGTGTGTTGTATGCGATTCAAGATCCATATGCAAAACAACATGGAATACTACAGTGAAACCTATATAAATTAATAATATTAGGATTACACCAAAATCTTATTTTTTATTAATTTAGAGAGATATTAATTTATCGATACAAAACCAAAAATTCAATTTAGATTATAAAATTTTATTATTTTATAGAGATATTTAGTGTATATTAATTTATCGAATATTAATTTATAGAGATTCTACTATAGTTCTTTTGATAGCCTCTTGAACAGTTTCTGGAGAGTACTGTGGACAGAGTTTGCTCCTCGTCATGACTCATGACTAGTGTCCTTCCTAACAGCATTAGTCCAAAGACTTTTTTTTTTTTTTTGTAACACGTCCAAAGACTAATTAAATCCAACAAAGTTTATTGAAAATTTCTGGAATTGGCTTTTTTTTTTTTGTGTCATTATGAGTTATGTTCCTTTTTTTTCTTTTTGTGAAACTTATGAGTTATGATCACCAAATCGCAAATTTAGTTAATATATCCCCAGACTGAAAGCAAAACCTAAATTCCAATTGTGCCCTAACTGGCTCGTGTCTTCCAGAGCAGTGGACCATACGCCAAAACGCTTCTCTATTCTTGCGGTAGAATCCTTAAATAGAAACTAACCGTGTTATGGCTTATGGTCCACAATGTACTCCCAAAATGAATTTTTGCAGAGAAAGTGAGATGTAAAAACCTCACTAATTGGTTTATTTATTTTTACAAAAGATTTGTTGATGATGAGTTTGATAGCCAGGAACTAGTATCTTTCTTTCTAGTCTCCAATTCAATTGCAAAAGAGCAGTTGTTTAGGAAAGAAAACCATTGACTAGGGTTAGATTAATTAGTGCAGCCAAGAAAATTAAATCTTATGTTATGAATTAAACATGGGATATAATCATCTTTTTTACGAAAAATTTCGTTGTTCTTGTTTTTTACTGGAGCACTGAAGATCATAGTAGGGGACATGCACGTGCTTTTATAACTAAATTCTTGATGCCATGTGTTAGGATTTTTCTTTCCAAACAAAATAGAATCAATATTATGCTAAGTGTTTCTGCGTTTTGCTCCCTACTTCTCTATAATTCAATGAGACAACTTTTACATCAATCCATTTCTTCTTCTTATTCTTGTGACTTTACGGTTACTTACAGAACAATCACTGTGGCGATAAAGAAACAGAGATGTTTAAATTATTCATCCCAGCCCTGACAGTCTGTTTTGAAATATATCTTGTCTTCCTTAATTATTTGAGCATCCTCTATATGTTTGTTGCTGCTAGCATACCAATTGGTAGAGTGGCAGCTTAGCAGTTGCTAGCAAATGAATAAAATATTTTTCTTCTAAGTTGAGTTTCTGGTATTTTTCAATGATTGACGGTAACTTTTTCTATATACATCATTTACAATGTGAACAGTACATAGACCATAATTTACATTTTAAGTATTTGCATACCATACATACACAAAACCCCTTATTTAGCTCTATACCATATTTCTCTCTTCTCTCTCCTTCTCCCATCACTACTTTTTTCCCCCAAAATATGGCAAATCCCTAAATACTTTCTTCTTTTGGTATATTAGGCTAAATTACTCTTACATTTTTGTTGTGTTCATTTAACATATCCATTGTATGAGATTAGCGAATACTACCATAATGGAGTTGTTATCCATTAATATACCAAATCTTGTATTCCGTCATAAATCTATTGATAAGTGCTTACAAACTTTTTCAATTTTAATATTATTAGAGCAAGATTAATCTCAGTTCATAATTTGAGATTTTTAATTCATGATTTGATTTTTTTTTTTATACTTTTTGGAACCGATTCTTATATCTCTTATTTAAGAGACGGTTCTTATATTTTCTTAGTTAAAAACTAAGTAATTGTTCTTACGCGAAAATAAGAATCTTATCCTAAGAAACCAGATTAATCATAGTCATTCTTTTACTGATAAGTAGAGCATGGACAGTTCAACTTCGAGTTTTTTTTTTTTGTTTCTGATTGTCGTAGCACCAACTCAATGAATTTTCTTATTTGGGTTTCCATTTCTTTTTTTGGTAAACAATGGTTGTGACTATAAAAAACAGAGATGTTTAAATCATCCATACGTTGGTTCCTCCATCCCTATCACCTTTTGATATTGTCTTCTTCCCCTTATTATTTGATCATTCTTTATATATATGTTCGTTAACATGATCGATTTTGCATGTTCCTCGTGCTGCAAAATCGAATTGATCCATATATTCAAAACTTACTGCTAAAACTAACCTATCAGGAGAATACTCAGAATGTGACGTGAGAAAGAAAAAAAAATTAAAGCTTAAACCAGACTAGATCTTTTTGGTCTAGCTACCTTTGTATCATGTTCAGTGGCGGAGGTAGAGCTTCATGAGGGGGGTCAATTGACACCCATGAAATTTCAAAAAACACATTATTTTTAACCAAATAAATTATATTGACCCTAATCAAAAACAGAATTTGACCCTTATCAATTTTTTTTTTAAGGTATAACCTAATTATGACCCTTATGAGTAACTTTCCTGCCTCCGCCACTGATCATGTTACAATAAAATATGTAACCAATCAGAGATTTTTTTTATTTTTTTGGAAAAGAGCATTCAACCTATAAGAGCTTCCATGTAAAGAAAAAAAACAATAAGAGATTGGGATTCCACAAATGCAACTTTTGCTCTTCTAGGCTACAATTGTCAAAAATCAAACAGAGTGACATATTCGAGAAATAAGAGAAGTTGTGGCCTCAAATTAAAAAATAATATTCTTTCAGTGGATTTTTACCTAACGAACTTTCAAGGGGGATAGTTTTAGTTGCAGCATCTTCTCTTCCCAATAACACCCCAAAACAATGGCTTTTAAGACATCTATTTTACCTTAAAAATCCAAATTAACAGCGAAACCTCTGTTTCTCTCCGTCTCTCTCTGTCTCTATGCTTCTTCTCCATTGATGTTTGTTTAGGTATGTCTCAGATTCTTACCATTCTTTTACTTACTCTGTTTCGATGTCTCTTCAATAATTATTACTCTGTTTCGATGTCTCTTCAATAATTATGCACACCAAGTGTTCGATTAAATGCCACTTCGATTTCATAAATCGTATTTTTAAGAGAATAAACTTACTTCTTTTTTTTTTCCTTCAAAATTATGTGATTCGAGCATGTTCTAATGCTTAAGGAATGTTTTTGGGTTTTATGTGATATCTTATACAATAAAGTTGAGTTTTCTCACTTCTCATCCTTCCACATCAGCATTAAAGCATGGGGCAAAAAAAGACATGTCAGCAATTACTAATTGAAATCAAACCGGACAAAATTAATTCTTCTTATCTCGGTTTGTCACATTTTGATTTGTTGAGTTTTTTTTTGACAAAATGGGTTTGGGCTCCTCAAAATATAAAGACCATTTATAGAATGATTTATGTATTACCCAACTTGCAGAACTTTTTTAAGATTTACACACATTCTCAGTCCTTTAAGTCTTCTTCTTACCTTCCAACCTAGGTTCCAGAGATCAAACACGATCACCTTTTTGTAAAGTTTTTTTCACCTTTTTGTAAAGTTTGTTCTCATGCATCCTTATATTTCATATAAAATAATGAACACTTGCACAACTTATAACTAAACAAGGTGCATAGTTTGTATCACATATATTGCAACATCTTCAATGTTTTAGTGTACAGAATTTAAAGTAACAAATGATAATAATTAACACAAATTAATAGAATTATGAAAATACCATCATAGAAAATTATGAACACTTTCATAACTCATATAAGATTAGAAAAACTACAAAACTAATGAACACTTGCACAACTTCTAAAAGAATAAACAAAGAGCAGATTTTATATCAGTTTGTTTAAACAAAGGCCGGAGCTTATATTACTTTGGTTTATGATTGCCACATATATAAGAATTCGTTCAAAAAAATGATTTCCATGTTATACAAGGTTTTAGATGAGAAATTTATAAGTAACAAACTGATAATTATTAACACAAATAATAAAATTCAGAAGTTACCATTACAGAAAATTATGAACACTTGCACACCTCATAAAAGATTAGACACATTTCAGAGCTTATATAACCTATATTGACACATCCTATACGCTTAGAAGGCAATTTTATAAATAACAAACTGCTAAAAATTAACAAAAAAAAATTGGATTTAAGAAGCTATAACCTTACAAGTTAAAGCTTATCGTTGCAGGGTGCCTACACGCCTCCCAACTGAATGATTAGTTCACACTATAAATGCAGTGTAATTTCAAAAGCCAGTAGTTACGTATCTCCTACATTCTTTCACTACACAGTTCTGATGCAACCTCTTGATTCTTGATTACTCAACCATTGCGATTTTCAGAAATAAAGGTGAAGACACCAGTTGAATTTAATGGGAAAGCAACCACAGGGAGATCTCCAAAAAATCTTAGTATATCTGAACACTCCACCGCATCATCACCATCTGTAACCAAAAGAAGTCATAAAAAAAAAATTGGTGCAAAGGAGACGTAAACTTATTTTTTATGACTTTGACAACTTACTCTTTTGTAAACAAACTTATGTACTTATTCCTACTTTTTAATCTTTGTTCATCCAGTATCTGAACCACGACAGCCTTGACTACAAGAGCAATATCTACCACGCACACCAGCCCCCCCATATCGAACACCTATCAGCTGAAGCTCATCTTAATAGTGAGGGAATAAATCACTACTTCTTCCACCACAAATCAATCAAAGCACTCAATCACCTCACATAAGCCAATCTGCTTATGGAAAATACGATAAGGGTACGTATCTTTGTGGTTTATTAATGTTGTGCAAGGGAAACCTCAAAGAAGAAAAATATTTCTTTGATATCCTTGACTGGGAAAACACACTATCAAAATCTGATTGCTGCTGGAATAAGATTAAGAGGTTCAAGTACTTTGGGTATCCGATCAGATTTCTTTGATACACTACTGGGGAAATGCTATCAAGAAACTTATGTTCGGGACAAGAACGTTCTCTGAAAACACCGCACCTGACGGTGGACCAACGGCAGAGGATATTGAGCATATGGAAGCTATGTTTGAAGCATTAGGGTTTACGTTCGCCTTTTGTATCTCTGATTATCTACCTATGCTCACGGGATTTGATCTTAACGATCACGAGAATGGTGGCGTTTAAGATATAAACAACCAGTCTAGGATTGTTACTATTTTTGCATAAGATATAAACGATCAGTCTAGGATTGTTACTATTTTAAGAGGACGAAACTATATATTATCTTCCTTGAAACAACATACTCACAAAAAAAAACACAAATACTTACATTTTTCATTCACAAACATGAACTTTACTTTATGTTTAAGTATTTACTAAATTAACTTTGTAAAGTTTATCAAATTTTTACTCTACATTTATTTGTTTCGATTAATAACAACCACTTATGCTACTTCACTAATAATCAGAAAAGATCATTGTCTTCAACATAGTTACAACATCAAATTTTTGAACATAATCTCTTCACTAAGGCCACAAAATAAATCGCAACTTCTTTTATAATAACATATATGAATCCGGCGCGTAGCGTCGGCACACCACTAGTATAATATAAAGAAATCTTTTTTCGGAAAACAACAAGCTGCAAACCTAAAAAAAAAAAAAAAAAAAAAAAAAAAAAAAAAAAAAAAAAAAAAAAAAAAAAAAAAAAAAAAAAAAAAAAAAAAAAAAAAAAAAACCAGCTGCAAACTTTTCTCATGTTCTTTACAAGTTTCATCAAAATTTAATTTACATGCTTTTCAAAAAAAATAAAAAAAAATAATTTACATGAAAATGATGGCTTAACATTTGGATTTGATAAACAAAAAATCAAAAATTAAGTGTATATTTACTTATACAGAATGTGTGATAAAAGTACAAAAAGGCACACAAGTTATCTTCACTCTTCTTTGGTTTCTTCTTCTCTGTTACTTTGGTTTGTGTTTTGAGCTTCAACATCATTAAGCCAGTCCACAACTTGTTGAATATTTGGTCTCCTCATTGGGTTTTGGTTCACACACATGCAGGCAATGTCAAGCACACGAAGCATCTCTCTTTCATTACCAGTCTCTCTCAACAACGGATCAAAAACCTCCTTTAGTGTCCCATCTTTTCTCGTCTGATGCACCCACGCCACTATCTCTCTCGACACCTTTGGTTTAAAAACCTCCATTGGTCTTTTCCCCGTGAGTAGCTCTAGCATTACAACACCGAAACTGTACACGTCACCTCTCAAGGTAGCTACCCATGCTTGTCCATACTCTGGAGGAATGTAACCCAATGTGCCCACTAGCTCAGTTGTGACGTGTGTGCGGTAGGGTAGGATCAGTCTTGATAACCCGAAATCTCCGAGGTAGGCCTTGAAACTCCCGTCTAGAAGGATGTTGCTGGACTTGATGTCTCGGTGTACTATGTGTGGTTCACATACCTCGTGCATGTACGCTAGTCCAGAGCTTGCTCCTCTCATGATGTGCAGTCTTTTAGGCCAGTCTAGCTGAGCTGGACCTTCAGGGTTTTCGTGCAGCCAATAATCTAGACTCCCGTTCTCCATGAACGAGTAGATGAGTATGCGTGCACCATCGTGGATGCAGTAGCCTTGTAGATCGACCAGGTTCTCATGTTTGGCCCTGGAGAGGACTTCTACCTCTGCTTTGAACTCTTTCTCCATCATACCGTAATCTCCGGTGAGTTTCTTGACCGCTAGTTTCGTCCCATTATCCAATGTGGCTTTATAGACAAGACCAAACCCGCCGCATCCGATAATATTAGCTTGACTGAAGTTGTCTGTAGCTTTCAAGAGCTCGAATATGGTCAGGTCTTTTCCGTCGTATCTACTGTTTCCAAACAATAGTACAAGGCTTATGTCTTTCTCGGAATCTGTAGGAACTTCAGAGTATGAGGCATGGGAACTTATCTCCAGTTCGGCGAGCTCAGAGTCTCCTGGATTCACCCTCTTCTTGACCATCACCCACAGAGCAAACATCACCATAATCAAACCGATGGCAAAAAAGATCCCAATGACGACCCCCACAATAAGCTTTATGTTAACCTTTTCTTTATTCATCTCTGTAGAAGCAGGCTGAGTTGGAACTGCGCAGGATTTTAGCAGTACACCACCACACAACAATGGGTTTCCTTCAAAATATGATTTTGGAAAAGTATCAAACTGAGCTCCTGTTGGTATCTGCCCACTGAGAGTGTTGTTGGAGACGTTGAAGTAAGACATGAAATGGAGTCCTGTGAGCGACCAAGGGATTCGACCAGAGAGTCTGTTGTTGGACAGGTCCAGCCGCTCTAAGTTTTTGAGGTTTGATAATTCATCTGGGATGCTGCCAGTGAAGTTATTACTTTGAAGCTCCAAGACAAGGAGAACCTTTAGCTGTCCAATCTCAACCGGTATGGTCCCGTTCAGATTATTCTTATTGACGTATATAGCAGGTGGGAGGCTGGAGATCTGATTGTATTGTTGATTAGAGGTGATGTTATTAGGACTGACGAAAACAGGCAGCTCTAGGTAACTCCTCTCTGTTGCATCATAAACATTTTGGGACCTGAGAGCACTCAGCTGAAACAGTTCCTTTGGAAGCTCTCCTGTAAGAAAGTTACTAGAAAGATCCAAGTAAAAAAGGTTTGGAAGAGTTCCTAGCCAACCAGGAATCGACCCCTCGAGTTGATTTTGTGAAAGATCCATAAGCTCTACGCTCTTGAGCTTGATCAACCAAGCGGGTATAACACCTCTCAATCTTGATCCACCAGTACCGAAGATCTGGAGCTTTGGAAACGCATCTGAATCAAGGAAGTCCTCGTTGCTTGGTATCGTTTCGTCGTAGAAGTTCCTTGCCATGATGAGAGTAGAGAGCTTTCTGCAGTGTTGCAGAATGCTAAGTGCGCCTGTAATGTTGGTCATTTGATTTTGTGAAAATGTGAAGAACGAAAGGGACTTCAGTTCCAGTACTTGTGGAGATATCTGTCCTGTTAACTTGTTCCCTGCAAATCTCATCGCGGTTAGGTTCTTGCAAGAGTAAACCGTTGAAGGAAAGTCTCCGGTGAAGCTGTTGTTTCCGAGGTCAAGAATGCTGAGGCTCTGAAAACGGGAGAAGTCTACATTTGATAAGGCTCCACCCAGGTTATTAACACGTAGATTCAGCTTCACAAGCTTTGTGCAATTAGCTAGAGAGATGGGTACAGAGCCTGTGAAGTTGTTGATATGGAGCTGTAGTTTGCGGAGATTGACAAGCTTCCCTATATCCTTTGGTATCTCCCCTTGAAGTTGATTGAAATAAAGGTCAAGACATGTCAGTTTCGTGAGACGAGTGATCTCATCATCTATCTTCCCAGAGAGATGGTTGGCTGGTAAACGAAGTTCCTCGAGGTTAGTTAGATTATAGATTTCTTTAGGGATTTCACCAAATAGATCGTTGAAGCCTGCTCGGAGAACACGTAGCCTGGAGCATCTACCTAACCCTTGAGAGATAACGCCTGTGAATTTGTTATGAGAGAAGTCCAGTTTTGTTAGCTGCGGTGAAATTTTGCAGATGAAGGAAGGGAGTGGACCGGTGAAGCTGTTGTTGCTGACATTGAAACTGGTTAACCTTAAAGCTCTCTGAAGAAAAACAGAATCGCTGATGATGTCTCCTTGGAGAAGGTTGCTGGAGAGATCAACGGTTTGAATTTGTAAGCTTTGGTTACTTCCATTGGTAGATGATGATTGTTCAAATGGTGATTTACCGTTGAAACTGTTGTAACTGAGATCAAGAACCGTGAGCTGGTCAAGAACAGAGAAGAAGCCTTGTGGGAGAGGACCAGAGAGACGGTTATGAGAAAGGTTGAGCTGAGAGAGACGGCGAAGATTCAAAACAGAGGATGGGAGAGGACCGGAGAGTCCTCTAGAGGGTAAAAGAATCGCAGTGACTCGGTTTTGAGGAGAATTGTCGCATGAGATCCCTTCCCATGAACAACAATCTGTGGATGAGTTCCAATGCAAAGGAGAAAGTGGAGATGATACGTTGATGGAGAATAAAAGGAGAGAGTCTCGGTCTTGGAGATTGCAGACAGCTTCTGTAACTTTAAGAAAGAAGACAGAGAGGGAAAGAACGTAGTAAATAAGAATCACAAGGAGACCAATGGATTTTGATCTCATCTTCTTGTCAATCATGGGGAGAACAAGAGAAGAAGAAGCTGAGAAAGATTGAGTAAGCGAGGAGGAGACGAAAGAGAGGGAAAAGAAGCAAAAGACATCATTATCCAATTTGTGTTTGTGTCCGAAGCTTGTAAATGGCTCTTAATACCATTGTTGACCAAGGGAATAGTCAGACCAAACAGGAGAAACTTTCTTGTCACACCCAAAGTTAACTTTCATGCTTTTTTGTTATTTTATCATTTTATAGTTTGACCACGATTGTGCTTGTGGTCTTTGTCTTGTGGGCATAGTTTTTTGCCCTAAAGTTCATTTTTAATTATTACTATTCCTCTTTGACCAAAAAAAAAAAAAATTATTACTATTCCTCTTGTAATCAATGTTTCTAAATTTTATTAATCTTCGTGTAATAAAAGATCAAGTACAACCCTATAAATACATATGCAATTATTAAAGTCTGATTTTATAATTTCACATATTTTTCGTAATAAAAGTTCAGCCGTTAATAAACATGGTTCACATGGATACGAAATTTCCAAATGGGAATAACTAGATGTTATTATTAAAAGTCATCGCTATCTACACCTTATATTAATTTTATGGTTTCATTCTTAATGTATACGCATGAAATTTAATATAGTTATTTTGTGTGGTTATATTTTGTCATTTATTCATGGTTTGAAAACATTGTCTTTGTCTATATTCGGTTTTAACTATTGATTTTCTCGGATTTATTGAGAAAGGGTCATTTCATGCTTGGAGATAGAGGTCCATGCGTGCGGGATATGATGTGGATCATGAAAATTTAATTTCGATGATTTGTACATGATGGGCACCAAGCCACCAACATTATTGTTATGAAAAAAAATAAGGGGAATAATAAAAGCATGGTTTAGGAATAGTCTAATAATTATTTTTATTTTTATGTTATGTATAAAAGATTGAGAGGCGTTTACCTTTTGGGGCGGCATGTTAGTAGTGGTAGCGGCGTTTACATAATCATATTTTGTAATTTTATTGCGTATCTTTTATGTTTTCATTATGCCGAAAAAGGCGCAATTAATAGTACTAGATAGTGATCATAAGAAGAACGATATTTTCTTCTGGTAAAAATGAATATTATTTATTTTGTTTGACTTTTTACTTTTTTTTTGTGGATTATAAAATCCTTGATGCTGTTCATATCTTGTTTTCTCCTTCTTAATTTACTATCGAGCAGATGACGTATACGATTGCTGACAAATTAATGTAAAGAATAACTAGGGTATTCAATTTATCAAGTGTCTTCAACTTTTCAGATTACTATATTCTAAATATATAGTTTGAAAGTGAAGTAAAAATAAACAATACAGCAGTTTAAAGACTAAATTGGAAGAAGTAAAATTCAAGTTGATATTGAGATTAATTCTAACAATAAGGCAATAGTTTGTATTTTAGCGTTTTGGAATTTGATTGAAGCTTAGTGATGTCATTTTACAATAAACTGGATTTGGAGTCTAACCAAAAGAAGCTACAATTAGTTATTAACACGCTTAATACTTTCACTATAGGGTTTGGTAAAAGTAAGAAATGATGGTGCTAAATTTTTTTATGTAAAATATTTACATGAAAGATTTTTGAATAAATCCTAAGAATTTATTCGTTCAGCAGATTCATGATATAAAGAGTTCGTACTGGGATTAGAATTCCTTTTTGGCTTACTTTGTTCAGCAGATTCATGATATAAAGAGTTCGTACTGGGATTAGAATTCCTTTTTGGCTTACTTTGTTTATCTCTATCGATCGTCTCAAAAAAAAAAAAAATATCAAGGCTGAGTTAATAAACTGTTAAATATAAATGAAGAATTGATTGTAAATATGTTTTTTCAAGTGAATGAATTTTATTTTAAATTTTTTTGAAACAGTATATGAATGTTTAATGTAATTTATATACTAAATGCATATATGATTTTAAATAAAAACATAAAAATATATGTTAAAAATTTGCTTAGGACATTCAATCATTGGTTAAAGCAAATATAGAGAATCTCTCTAACAGTTTATTCTCTATCCGAGCTATTTGTTATTATAAATGTAACTCAAATCCAGGTTTAATCAAGCTAGTCGTTTTCTCAGGTCAAGATGGAATGAGGAATATCCAATAGCTGATGTATTTTATTTTATTTATAACTTGTTTTTGGTTACTTTCTTAATTAGAAGTTGTATCCATTTTTGGTTAAAAAAAAAAAGTTGTATCCATTTCAGAACACAGCACATCAACTTATATGTACTAATTTTTTCCAACCGGCTTATCTGTTTATCTCTCATGAAACAAACTCACACAGATTTTTTATGTTCGTCTGACAAATTCTTCTCTTTTTCTTCTAAATTTACAATTTCAATTGTTTCTCATTTTATTAATTGATAAATAGAAACAGTACAATTCGACGACTTGGATCAGGATATTCCATCTTTCTGCCTACAGTTCAACTGAATATAACATGTTCTAGTTTAATTTGTTCAATTCCACTAATGTAAATCATATCTGTTATTTTGTAAAGTAAACACAGCTTTTTATATAATTTCCAGCCCCAGATACAGCTATTTAGTATTATAAAATGATATAACGTCATCGCTATTAGAACTATTGAACCATTCGTATTTTTATAGTAGGGTAAATACCATTTGCATATATTTTACGGAAGTACTACTTGGAATTTTTAAATTAGTCGACAGAAAAATACAGTCAAACGGGTAATTACATAAATGTTTTAATTTGTAAGACATGTATGAATAGCATTATGTTATATTATATTTTTCCCTGACGACCCGAAATCTATGCTCTCCTCTTGAATTTTCATAAATCAAGGGAGAGAAAACGTTTGACTTTATGCAAAAATAGTATTTTTTGATTCATATATATATGTCTACACATACAAATTTGTTGTATAGCTTATCTCCTATATTGATTGTTAAATAAAGGACATAAAAATAGTATATGTGTTTGAGTTGGACCGGTAAGATCATGAAAAGGAACAAAATCTAACAACTTGGCTTTTAAGAATAAAAATGCATATGATATGTTTGTCTCTTAAATTATGGTCTTTAATGGCTGTAGTTTTTATGTCTTTGTGTTACCAAAAACTCATTTAATCATCTGTCTGTGTTTTTAAAGAAAAATAGTAAGTATATCCCATGAGCTAGGAGTACTTCTTTTGGAATATTGAATTTAGTATGCTAGGTTTGGAACTTAAACTAATACTAATTGTACTTAACTAAACCCATTCAAAATGTTTTAATATGTGATCATATTCAAAATGTCTAAATAAAGATTCTGTTAGCAAGATTCCATCAACTTGGTATCTAAAGTCAATTCATGAGATGCTTGAGTAAAGTCAAAGCAAAATTAGCCATATATATATATTAGTGCGATCACTCTAGAAAAGAGCCAAAAAGGAGAGACAACCGAATCCATTGACCATTTTGAGTGCAAAATTGACCTCTGAAGAGCCGAGTCAGTTAGAGACCGACCCGTTATCAATTAGAATATATTTAGGCCATAAACCTGATCCGGCCCACACAATAATTGCGATATCTACCTGCCACTTGAGGAACTAATTAGCCACGGTCCATTTAGTAAAGCCTGTAAATGTTTACCATAAAGGCCACACAAAATATATGTGCAATGAGGACTTATTAAGACACTTTTTAGAATACCAAGTTGTTGCTTTTCTTAATTAATAAGGTTGATGTGTTTGTAGGTCAAACTTTGATTATCATATGAGGTGTAATACCTTTTTCTACAGACTTGCTAACATGAATGTAACAGCCTAAATTTGACACAGATTAATTTGAACTAGTAATCTCTGAGTAATAATCAAAGATTCAAACTTATACTGATTAGATAATTTATGTTGTTGTTTTTAATACTATCATACACCATTTTAACTTATAAAAAAACTGCAAATAACTTAAGGTTCCACTTCACGGAAAGACAAGAACCTTGAACGTAGGACTCGAGAAGGAGGATTGTTTTCCATATCTTTTGATCTTGAAACAATAAAAACCCCGCATTAGCTCAAAATATGTAGATATAATATGTGATTTGATCATCTAATTATATAAAGTTAGTGGATGATATATTCACATTTGACTTACTTGGCTTGCTTATTCAAAATTTTAACGCAGAAACAAAAAAAAAGTGGAATTAGTGGAGGATTACCGATATCTTGGAAAGACTAAAGAGTATTAAAAGTTGTGTGAATCAGTGCACACCATCATATTAGCTTATAATGCACTCCATATTCTTAGATTATTTTCTCTTTAGGAATTACATTTGACATTCATGTTTGTCATCCGTAAGCTGCAGCTAGAAACTATGATAATATGTACTAATATTGTTGAAATACCGAAACATTTAGCCGGATTACTAATATTCAATTTTCATGTTCAAACATAAATAAACTTAGAGCATTTCTAGTATATAACTCATTTTTTCTTCAAAAATGGAACAATTCCATAACATTAGTTGAATTGAATTTCACTTCAATCTTATTTCATTTTAAAATAACAGGTAATTTTTTTATTATTCTATTTAAAACAATCTCATGTTTTATTTAAATTTGAATAAAATATAGTTAAACTTCTATAAACTAATAATGTTGAGACTACATCAAAATTATTTTTATTAATTTATAGAGATTTTGAATTTATCGATATATTAATTAAACCAAAAACTCAATTTGAAACTAAACTATATTATTTTATAGAGATTTTTAGTGTATATTAGATTATAAAGTATTAATTTTAAAAATTATACTGTATAGCGAACCGTTTATGTTAAACTAGGTGTTTTACCCGCATTTGCGGGTCTAAACATTTTATAATTATTTTATTAATATTTTTTACTAATTAAAAGAATATAATGATAAAGTATTAATTGTGTTTTATTTTTTGAAACCAATAATATTTCTACTTTCCTTTAACAATTCTTACATATATGTCTTTGTAATTTATGTTCACTCTTAAAAATAATTGTAAAATCAAATAATATTTTTCAATTATATAAAATTAATAAGTTGACTTGATTAATATTTAGTTATGTATTTTCTATTGTTTCAAGTGTTAACTTTTTATCAAAATATATATTTTCAGATAACATCACAATATATATCGGAATTATCTTATTTAAAAGATATTATTTAGATTTTGGATAATTCTTTTGATTATTATTAATTTTACTTACTTATCTAATTAAAATAACTTAAATTCGCTTTAATTTTGTATGTAATTTATATATTATTTTCATTAAGGGTAAAAACGATATTAACCACTCCAACTTTTAACATGAGAGCTCCATTACGAAAAATCACTTCGTAAATAATAGTATAGATTTAATTTTTAAATAAAAATGAAGTGGACTCAGCTCCAAAAAAGGCAATGTAGTGATTGGTACAACCACACAAGTACAAATTAACGGATTCACATTAGCAAGATGCAAAATGGCCATTTAGCATTGTTCAAAGATTAGTAAAAAAAAAAAATTAAAAACATCCGCATTTTACTTTAAAATGTTGCAACATTGTCAAAATAAATAAAAGTTCTCTTCCAATTTTCTATAATAAAGCAATAATAAGTCAGAAAAGAATAAATAATCAAGTAATTTGTAATGGAGAAAACCAGAAAAAATGAGTAAAGATGATTAATGGAGTAGAGATTTTATAGGAAGAGTAGTAGCTCCCCCAACTCCAAGAGCTTCCTATGGGGGCCCCTACTCTTTTACTTATTCACTTGCCTTCTTCTTCCTCCCATAACCATGGCCACTGAAACACATCAGATCTCTTCTTCTTTTGCATTTAACTCCTCTCTTAAGCTTACTTCCTCCACAAACCCTCAAAAAAATTGAACTGTTAACACTCTTCCCCACCATTACAAACGAGTTTAAAGCATCTTTCTCCAAGTAAAGCTTGAGAAAGACCACAACGTTTTGATCCTTTTCAAGAAACCATGGATGATGATGGATCTGCACATAGCTCACTGTTTGGAGACCTATTAACCGAAGAGGTCACAAGCAAGATCATTCTCACAGCAATCATTGTACTATTCATGGCTGTTCTTGTCGTTCTTGTCCTCCACCTTTACGCTAAACTCTACTGGTGGCGAGCAGACCAGCTTCAACAACAGCAGCAGCAACAAGAACAAGAAGACCAGTCTTCCATAGCTTCTTCACCTGTAGTCACTAGCCGTCAACAAAGACGCCGTTTCATCTTTGTCCCAGGGCAAGATGCTGTAACCAACACTGCTGGTCTTACTCCTTTTGAGCTCAGTTCATTACCAATTATCCTTTTCAGACAAGATGGTTTGGAATGTGCTATTTGCTTGTCTGATCTTGTCAAAGGAGACAAAGCTAGGCTTCTTCCAAAGTGTCAACACAGCTTCCATGTTGAGTGTATTGACATGTGGTTTCAGTCTCACTCAACTTGTCCCATTTGCAGAAACGCTGTTCTTGGTCTTGAACAACAAGATGTTGCTACCACCAATATCATCAACCATGATGCTGCTTTGTCTCAAGTTTCAAATTCTTCTCTGGAGTTCCCCACCAATGTCTTAGTATGGGATCAAGTTAGTACTCAAGAGGATGGTACTAGTAATGTTGCTTCACAGAGTGAAGATGCTGTTGTTCTGGATATCAATGATTCTACAATTAGAAGTCACAATGTACCGTCTTCATCATCATCAGTGAGGTTTATTGTTGAAGAGGACGAACCAAAATCTCCAATGACAACGAGGTTGAGATCTTTAAGGAGGTTTCTGAGCAGAGACAAGAGAGTCACTTGCAGCAATAGTAGTAGTAGCTCCAATGCTGCTGCTGCGTCTTCTTCTGCTGATCCTTGAAGAGTGTGATTAGATTAGCTGAGTAAAAAAAATTGCCTGAACATGTCAAAATATGTAGAGATCTCGGCTTGTAATATAATGTATCTATTCCTATATTCAAAGCTTTTGTTTACTCAGATTTAACACAAGAGTCCTATGATTGTAAGAAACTCCAAAACAGTAACAAAAGATACTTTAATGCAAAAAAATGATCTAACGCTTAAATAAGATGTGAACTGAGTAGTTGTTCAAGATGCAAAAGCAATGAGCTTACAGTGAATGAGACGAGAACTAACAAACGGCTAGTACAAGACAAATAAGAAAACCAATTGAACAGGTTCATTTGTCTCCAAGCTTATAATAAAAAAAAAAAAAACAGTAGGTGATTATTATAAAGACATGTTCTGTTAACCTTGCATTATCATGAAGTAGGACTTAACTAATATCTAAAACTATTAGAAATTGCATCAGTAACCACGTGCCTTTTCACATGATCCCCATCTCAATCACATATACTTTCTTGGCTAATACGTGTAGACAAATGTGTATTCATTTGTGAATAAGCGAGGACTAATCAATCAATCATCAGTGAATACTCTGGAAAGCATCAGATCCAAGATAAATATCCTCACCATCCGAAAAACACAATTGGGAAAAAGGTATACATTATTGGGATACATGAGTCAAACTATATCACGTGATTAGATCCCAAAAATGTATCTTAAGGACAATAATATAATCTACAAAGCAGCAAGAGTTTCAATCTCTCTTCCTTCCATGTTAACTCAAACGAAGCTAGCTAACCAAAAGTTTACTCAACAGAAGAACAACCTAAGAGCTTCAAGTAAGAAAAGATCAAGAAAAGAGATTCCACAATGAAGAGGTTCCATACATGGAAGTCGATCTCAACAGCTATGATCCTGTTGCTTCTAGCTGTGTATATCAGCAAGAATAACGTAGAGGGTCGTCAGATGGCGCCAGCTTCCATGGATTTGACTTCAAATAAAGCAATGAGAGATTTGCAGATAAGCAAGGAGATGAAGGAGGAGTTTCTAAGAGGTGAAAAGAATAGCTTCAGAAGAATCCCAAGGAGTGGCTCAAGTCCTATACACAACAGGTAAAAGACAAACACACACACATCAGTTTTCAATCTTTATTAATCTCAAATGATTTTTCTCATATTTTTCAAACTATGATTCTGACACCAAGATTTTGTTTCTTGTACCAGGTTAGGTCCTCTAACATATACAGGAGGAAGTAGAAAACAGCAGATCACGGCAAGAAAACCATAGTAATAAATTTTTTTTTACTCATGAATCTTTATAATTATTTTTTTTGTTTGTACTATAGGGGTATTTACACTTGTTTAGTAGATGTTGTAATGTAACTGGAGCAATAGACAATGTCTTATAAGCTTTCTACTGTTAACAGTTTCTAGAATAGGCTTTAGATCTGTACAAGTTTGTTTGGTATGTAATATGAAGAGACTTTTTATTTTAATTAGCATTCTTGTGAGGGCAGATCAACTATGATGTCGCCTACATTAAATACTAGAGGGGAAAAAGCTGTGACACTACATAGATGCAAAAACCAGCTTGACTATATGTTATAGAGTAAGTAGCTAACCTTCGTATTCTCAGCTGAATCTTCATCTGTTTATTCCTTTTTGCAAAGCCTCATCAAATTAGAGCAAATGCATAAAAAAAATCTAGTTAGAGCATCTTCAACCCCACTCCATAATTTACCGTAAAATAGAGTGAGATTCCATAATTTACTGTAAAATAAAGTGGAAAATAGAGTGATGAACAAAAAAAAATGATTACTCTATTGTGCAGTAAATTATATAGTGGGTTTGGAGATACACAAACCTGAGTATACGACGGAACCTTAAAAACAGTGTCGTTTCGTTCACTTCCGACCAATGAATAAAACAAAATCTTCCATGTCTGAAGTTATAATCAACTGTATCTAATTTAACTTTTATCTAAAACGACGCCGTTCTAATAATTAACGGTGGACCTTACAGGCCTCATAAGACTCGAACATGTAATTCACCATTTATTTATTGGGCCTATAAACAGGCCTTACATGGATTATTATCTAACTATAAAACTATTTTTCTCAAGAAAGCGACGAAACCTGTTAAAAAAAAAAAAAAAACTCAAAGCAATGTGGAGAAGGTCAGCTTCTTTCATCCTCGACCGAACCTCGAATCCATCATCACCTCCCATGGCCAACAACACCACAACACAAACCCCTTTTCAAAACCCTGACGCCATCTCCGCCTACTACCAAACCCGAGCGGCGCATCATCACGGCGTCATCACAAGCGATTGGCTAGCTCAGGCTCAAGCCGCCGTGGAGCAGCCTCCTGACGACGAAGACTCATCGGTCTCTGATCACGGGAATTATGAGAAGAGTTTTGATGTGATTGATGAGTTTAATGGATGGAGAAAGCAGCCGGATTTGGCGGAAGCTGTTGCGGCTATTCGAGCTTTGGCTGCTGTTATACGTGCGAGTGAGGCTACTACTATGATGGAGCTTGAGATTGAGCTTAAGAAGGCGTCAGATACACTCAAGGTGAGGGAAAGATTGAATTTTTATTTATTATTTCATTGTCTGGTGGTGGAAAAAGACAAAACTTGTTTTGTTTCGGTTTTGTTATCAGTCATGGGACAAAACTGAAACTAGCTTTGAGTGTCTTTTATTATTGATTTATTGTCTGGTGGTGGAAAAAGACATAACTTGTGTGTTTGGTTTTGTTGTACAAAACTGAAACTAGCTTTGCAACTTAAAACTTCACTGTAGAAAAATGATATCTTTTTATCATCTATTCATTGATGGAAAAAAGACAAAACTTGTGTGTTCTGTTTCTGTTGTCAGTAATGAGACAAAGATGAAACTAATTAAGACTTGGGTGTAGAAAAGATGCCATCTTTTGATTATCTAATTATTCTCTGGTGAATGAAAAAAAAGACAAGGCTTGTGTGTTCTGTTTCAATTTTTTGTTGTTAGTCATGGGTTGAAAGTTTGAAATTAACTTTGCAACTTAAGACATCATCTGGTGATGGGGAAAACATATAACTTGTGTGTTCTGTTTTGTTGTCAGTCATAGGACAAAACTGAAACTCAATTTGCAACTTAGACTTCACTGTTGAAAAGATTGTATCTTTACTGCCAGTTCGTTCTGTGGTGATATTATTAAAAGACATAACTTATGTGTTCTGTTTTGGTTTTGTTGTCAGTCATGGGACAAAACTGAAATTAGCTTTGCAACTTAAGACTTCATTGTGGAAAAGACTGTGTAACTTTTATCATCTCTTTGTTCTCTGGTGATGGAAAAATCCAAAACTTGTGTGTTCTGTTTATGTTATGTTGTTAGTAATGGGACAAAGCTGAAACTAGCTTTGTAACTTAAGACTTCACTGTAGAAAAGATTGTGTATTTTATCATCTCTCTATTCTCTAGTGATGAAAAAAAAGACATAACTTGTGTGTTCTGTTTTGGTCTTTGTTGTAATGTCAGTCATGGGACAAGACATCAATCTCCTTGACTGCTGGATGCGATCTATTCATCAGATACGTAACAAGAACCTCTGCTTTGGAATACGAAGATTTCAATTCAGCTAAGTCTCGCCTCCTCGAACGTGCTGAGAAATTTGGTGAAATATCTTGCAAGGTGAGTCTTGAAAAAATCCATTTTCATTATTTCATAAAAGAAGAAGAAGATCTAAAAAATGTTTCACTTTTTGTTTCAGGCTCGTAAGATTATTGCAATGCTTAGTCAAGATTTTATATTCGACGGTTGCACCATATTGGTTCATGGACTCTCTAGAGTTGTCCTCGAAGTACTCAAAACCGCTGCACAAAACAACAAACTCTTCCGAGTTCTCTGCACAGGTTCGGTTCCTATACATTAAAACCTCTATAAATTAATATTCGATAAATTAATATACATTAAATATCTCTATAAATTAATATAATTTTATAGTCCCAAATTGAGTTTTCGGTTTATTGAACGTCTATAAATTAAAATTAATAAAGAAAAAAATTTGGTGTAGTCTCAACCTTATTAATTTGTAGAAGTGAACCTTATTAATTTGTAGAGGTTTCACTGTATGATGTTTAGAAGTCTCTGAGGCCTTAAAACGTTTACAGAGGGAAGGCCAGACGGAACAGGAGTTTTGTTATCAAACGAGCTGTCTAAACTCGATATCCCTGTGAAGCTGCTTCTTGATTCAGCTGTGGCGTATAGCATGGACGAGGTGGACATGGTGTTTGTAGGAGCAGATGGAGTTGTGGAAAGTGGTGGTATTATCAACATGATGGGGACTTATCAGATCGCACTTGTGGCTCACAGCATGAATAAACCGGTCTATGTGGCTGCAGAGAGTTACAAGGTATAAACTAAAACTCTTTTTAAATGATCAAAGTTAAACGATTAATGATATTGTGTATTTGTAGTTTGCTAGGCTTTATCCATTGGACCAAAAGGACATGGCACCGGCGTTGAGACCAATAGAGTTTGGTGTGAAGATTCCAGCGAAGGTGGAAGTAGAGAGGTCGGCTCGTGACTATACTCCGCCTCAGTACTTGACGCTACTCTTCACTGACCTTGGTGTTCTTTCTCCTTCTGTTGTTAGTGATGAGCTTATTCAACTCTATCTTTGAGCTTTGGCATCCTAACTAAATTTTTGATCTTGCTTCCAGTTTAAGTTTTGTTCCTTTCAAAGTTCATGTTTTGATCTAATAATGGTTCTTACAAGAAAAATAATTAAGGCAACATTTATGTATCATAATTATAATATATTTGAACAATATCGATAATAAATACTCTCTCCTTTCTTTAAAGAGAGATATATTCTTAAAAAAAAAATTTGTTTCTAAAGGATCTATTTTTACATTTTCAATGCATATTTAATTAACTAATTGTAAACTTCAAAAAATAAATTGTACTAATTAATTTTTATATTGGTTTAAAATTATGGAAAAAGATAAATACAAAAAAAACTATGCAAATTTATTGTATATAATTAAAAAGTATGAAAAAACTAGAATATGGATCTTTTAGAAACAAATGGAGTATATATATATATATATTTTTTTTTCCAACGAATTTAACATATTCTTTTACTATGAGAATAAATCCTATTTTTTTCCTATCGAATTTTTTTCAATAAAATGAATAAAATTTTGAAAAAAAAAATCCTACTACTAAAACCTTTAGAAATAAATCATTTGTAAAATCATTTTTGTATAATTAACATTCCAGACATATACAAATACACAGAATAATTTTAGAAAGAATGAATCATAATCAATGAGTTAATATATCCGCTTGACCAAACAATGAAATGTATGGGAGTATCTTTGAACTCAAGACAATCCAAAATTCGTATGTCATTAAACAACTATTACGTAGTTTATTGTTGCAAAATCATAAATATTTTCATATATGTAATAAAAGGATAAATCATTATCAAAAAGAAAATCTTAAGCAGTGAAAACGCATGAATTAAGGTACCTAAACGAATGTAAATAACTTAGATAAACATACATTAACACCAAAGTGTAAACACACTTCACTGCCTACGGTTTTGAGACAGAAACGGAATCCCCTCAAAGCCAACATATCCACCGTTACCAACTTCATCTCGATCATTCCTAACCGTCAGATTCTCATCAATCATTTTCCAGTCAACCGGAGCCATCAGATCCGTAAAACCCTGAGAATTCATCTGAACCGTCGGATCACCACCCAACTCACAGATCCTACTCCACAGATTATCCCTTAAACCACTCAACCCCTTCACATACTCTTCCATCTCCTCCTCAGGTACACTCTCCACCGCCCTCTCCCACCACATGCAACCTCCTCCACTCGCCACGTCATCACCTCCGTAATGTGACCGTAACGTCACGGGAGCCTTGCGCAAGTACTTGTCGATGAGTGTGTCCACGTTACCAAACGTGTAGACCCTATCGCAACGCGAAAACGTTATGATACCAATCTGTGCGCCGCATAGGACGCTTAACTCTGCCGCTTTTTTGAAGAGACCGTTTCTGCGTTTGGAAAACGTGACTTGTCTTTTGTTCTCTTCTGTTATCTCCTTGATCTCTATCTTCTGTCGACCTTTCGTGGTTTTAGGGTTTTGCGGTTTCTTCCTCTCTTTTTGTTGCTTCACCGGCAAGTTAGGGCTTTGAGTGGGTTTTTGTTGCGTGGGTAGCAAGCAAGTGGTGGATGAGGCTTCTCCGTTCTCCATATTGGCGACAAGAGTGATGAAAGATGATTTATGAGATCAAAAGTTTTCTTTGATGCTTCTTCGTAATATATGTTTATTTGTGGTATTAAATGCGCGTCTCAATAATATAACTTGATTATGGGATTATGATTCCATAAAGGCTTTTTGCTAATCTAAGTTTGCGATATAGTTTCCTTGATTTACAAGATATACTTACCACATTCTATCTTTGATTATTCATTTTAAGAAACTAATTAATGATGATGCATATGCTACATAGTCAATCAAATATATGCATATCAGGATTTATTACAAAGAGGTTTTACTGATGAAAGGTTCATCAACAAATCTCAATTCTAACCGTTCTAATTAATTAATTTTCCTCGCTCAGTATATCAATTAGTCTTTATTTAACCACTCAATAATATAGTAGAAACAAAGGAAGGTTGCTTGTGGTTTCAAAGTTAAATGCTATGGCCACCATTGTGAATTTTTGTGTAGTCTCCAAGTTACAGTTGATCAAAAAATATAGAGTTGATATAAAGAACCAGAAGCTAAATTAACGCATACGAGGTAGATATTTTAGAAATTTGATTCAAAACAAAAAGTGAAAAACAGAATAACCTAAGTGTTGTTGTCTTAAGAGAAAGGAGTGAAAAAAAGATAAAAACAGTTCCGGTTTGATAACTCTTCAATCCCAAACAGTAGTAACAAACAAAAACCATGTCTATAGCCATTGTGAAGGCTTATCAACTTTACTCCCAACCACCAACTGCAGCAGTGGGTGGCACAGCCGGGTCCCATCCACCTTCTGCTGGTGGAGCAGCTGCAAAGAAACCATTAAAGTCAACATCCAGAGAGCCAAAACAGAGTTTCAGGTTATATATATATGTAACTACTCACCGGTGGAATCGTTCCATGAGGCACCGGTAGGAGCAGCAGCGATTGGCGCCTGACCTTCGCCTGCCCAAGAAGCATCAGGGATAGCAGCAGTGCTCCACTCTGCACCACCTCCATACTCAGGAGCAGGTAGTCCAAACTCTGCCTGAGGAGCAACTTCATCCTCATCCTCTGGCTTAGTCTCTTCAGGCTCCCTGTAGAAGAACAGGTCAACCTAATACAACACAAACAAATAAACAAGTCAAACACCAAACATGAACAGAGGAAAAAGGGTTTTGAGAATGTTCTCTCTTACCATGACATCCCACTTCTGAGCAGGGCGGATGGTTCCACGCATCTGAAGGACCATGCGGGCAAGAAGCCAGAAAAGACAGCCAATGCTGTGTTTTCCCTTGTTGTTGGCGGGGATACCAATGTCAACAAACCTCATGGGTGAGTCAGTGTCACAGAAAGCAATGATTGGGATGTTTCCCAATGCACCTTCCTTGATGGGCTGCAACACACAAACACACACACACAAGAGCAAAGTTAGAACAAAACCATCAGTTAGTACAATTTTTTTTTAATAGAAGACGACCGTTTACCTGGTGGTCGGTACGTGGATCAGTAAGAATCAACAGCCTCGGCTCACTGAAAGAGGTTTGCATCTGATTGGTAAAGGTACCAGGAGTGTGCCTTCCAGCAATGGCATTGGCTCCAGTGTACTGAGCGAACTTGAGGACAGCTCTCTGACCATAGGGTCTAGCTGACTGGACAATGATGTCTTGTGGGTTCTCAATAGCAACGATAACCCTAGCAGCCATCATTAGCTTCTCCCATGTTTTTCCAAGGTTAAAGATGTAAATACCTGACAAGAGGAAAAAAACATCAAACTTTAAAACACAAAGCTAAGCATTTAGCGGTGTACAAGAGAAACAGGGAACAGAAAGTTAGACCAATATAGAACAAAGAGTTTATGGAAAATTAATCAAACAAAGTAAGATAATTACACAAGATGTTATATATTAAAACAAAAGTAAGAAGATTGCTATAAATATATATATTTTTCAACAAAAGTAAGAAAATTACTCGAAATTATACATAATTTTTAAAACAAAACAAGAACCTATAGACTCAAACATAAGCTACAGAGTTAAAACCCAAAAATGATAAGAAGAAAAATAACAGAAAGAGGTTTAGCTTCTATTGGCTCAACTTCTCCATTCATAAGCTTAGTTAGAATCATAGTTACCAAACTAAATCTATGTCCTACTCGTTACTTCATACAGACAGTAACACCTTAAGTACATAAGAAAACACACAAAAAGACAAGCACTTTTGTTGTTATCTAGATGCAATGTAGATGTATATTTTGGTTAGCCTCTATTTAGATCCAATTCATTGGTGGCAGCTAAACTCTACTACTTAGACAAAAACTAACACGACCAACAAGTCACAAACCCATCTAGGAACCAAGAAACAGATCATACACAAACAACGGTAATAAAAAAACACAAAACATACAAACCAAACAGAATCTCAATGTTCTGAAATCATCTGTGAAGCATATATACATTTAATGCACTAAAGTGAACATTTTTAGAGAGGAGAAGTTGTTACCATCGTTGCGTCTCTTGAAGACGTAACGCTCCATTTGGTAGTTACAGTTCTTAGTTCCGAGGTGAACTTCAGCAGCACACATCATCTTGATGTCAGCTTCCTTCTGAGAAAGCTGTCCCGTGGTAGCAGATCCTTGAGTCGCCATGATGTTTCTCTCTTCTTCTCCGCCGAGATAAGCTTTTGCAGTGTGTATATAAATCACTCAAGAGGTGAAGAGAAGACTAAAAAGGAGCCGCGAGTGAGGGGAGACATCAATATAACTCAACCAAAACCCTAATTAGTTAAAAGTCTATTTCACCCTTGTTTTAATTAATACAAACCGGAAATTAAACCGGGGATTAAATTAAAACGAACTTAACCGATAATTGCCGGTTTTAATTACGGTTGGTATAAGGTTTATAATGCTAATCTGTTTTGCCAAGGTATTATAGTTCTAACATTAATATTTTTTTTGATGAAATATTTAATTTATTGATCAGAGTTAAAAGAATATATATACACAAGACAATAAAACCTCAAACTAATGGTCTCAAAACATATGTATATTTAAATCTAAGATCCGTGAGGCCCAAACCATCGTTACATCAGTCCCTTCAGTTTAAAATAGATTAATTTGTCCATATTTTTTATATTTTACTAAATTATTTTACTATAGTAATAATTTTCTTTTTAATATGTTAGATTATAATTTTATAAAAGATAAATAAAAAATGAATTTTTATTTTCATTTTATAAAAGATAAATAAATATATATTTAAATTGAAAATACAAAAATATCAAAAATATTATGATTAAACTAATTACAAATACTTTATTATTAGTTTTAATGAAATACATTTAGTAAATGTCAATTCTAATAAATAGATATTTTACAGACATATTTAAGTTTTTGTCATAAAAATAAATCTAATTTAACTATCCACCAAGTGTGCATAAACTTGTCAGCAAAAGTATCTCTCTCTCTCTCTCTCTCTCTCATACTTCGTTTTCGTTTTTCTTCTTCTTCTGGGCTTCACCTTGTAGAAGAAATTAACCCTAATGATGAATCTCTCTCTCGATCTCCTCTACTCTCCTTAGAAACCCCATCACCCGTTTCTGAATTCTCCATCTCCTAACTCTCTCCGATCCAAAACCCACCTCGAATTGTTCTCTGATCTTCTCCTCAACGAGCTCATAAAGGTACCAACTTTCATACCCAATCACCGAAATTTCTCCTAGGGTTTCTTCAATTTCGGGTTTTTGACAGTACCCAGAAAAGGGCTGAGCTTGATCTGTGGAGGAGAGAGGATTCATGGGTGTCACGTTTAAGATTTCGAAGATTGGTAGAAAGTTTCGGAATAGGGTTACTACAGAACCGCGTGTTCCTGTCTCTCCAGAGCCTTTGAATCCGAAATCAATCGTTTTATCAGAGAAATCAAAGGTAGTTTTTTTTTTTTTTTACTGAGGAAGTTTCTAAATTTTGAGCGGTTAATAATTGAAATTGAGGTAACTAATCGTTATACCAATGTTGCCTTTGTGAATTATGATAATAAATTGCTAAAGTTTATTCCTTTTTTTGTTGCTTCAGGGCATTGTTGAAAGCAATACTGGTGAATTTCTGCAACCATCTTTTACTGATATATCTCCAGGTTAGCATTTAAGCCATTTTCGCTGAGCATGATCTTGTTAGCTTTGTTGATTTGAGTGCTTTTTTTTTTTTTTTTTTGCAGAGCATGATGTTTCTTTTGTGTTGAGTCTCTATCTGAATGGGTACTTTGTAGGAAAACCCTCTGAGGTATGGTGTTTGAGAGTCTATATTAGTTTGTTTTATCTTGTATTTGAATTTAAATCTTTGAGATCTCACAATGGTTGGGGCTGTGCAACAGACATCCTCTCGAGATGCTTCAAAGGCCTTACTTCCGTATGATAGAGCAGCAGAGAGTCTACTTTCGGTAAGAAGTTTTGCATCAGGAATTATAAATCAAGAAGAGTGTTGTTTTACCGTAAAGCTAAAGTTTTTAGTGAATGAATTCAAAGTACTTTGAAAGTAAATTTTTTGCGACTTTGTATTGTTCTTGAGAGCCACTAGATTTGTATTCTTAGTTGTTGGTTAAGGTTTTTGCTCCAAAAGTTTCTGAAAAATCTCTAATATGGCTGTTGGTTTCGAGAATTTTATTATGAGTAGTAACTGTTGGGATCTTATGCCAGTGTAAATGTTAGGTTGATGTTTATTTTTTCCAACCGTTCAACCAAAATCAAACATTTGACTGCACGGCACTACTTGCTTGAATTTTGTTAAGTTCATTTTCAAGTTATCATTCTACTAAGTGATGTTTTTATTTCATCTTGTTGCTTTGTAGGCTATTGAGGCTGGCAGGCTTCCTAGTGACATTTTGGAAGACATACCTTGCAAATTTGTGGATGGAGCAGTCATATGTGAGGTGAGTTATCTTCAGTCATTTATTTGAATAGAGCCTAAGCCTTCCCTGACCTGCCATCTAGTCAAATAAATTAGCTGTCCCAAATGGTCATCCCAAAACCTAAGAAAAAAAAATCATAAGGCTTGAAATTAGTTGTGATCACCATGTTTCAACTCCTGCGTTGCCTTTCTAAACCTATTCAAACATTCACAAAATTCTGTATATCTCTTACTTGATCAAATTATCTTTAACTAATAAAAATAAAATATTTCTGCATGAACGTGTTTTATAAATTATTTGATTGTTTGTTGGTTGCTGGTATTATATTTACTCTGAGCTTCTGAAATACGTTGGAGTTTGATTAATAAAAAAAAAACTTTGGAGCAATTGGAATCAGAAGATAACATAAAGTAACCTTGTTTTATTATCTCTCTATTTCACTGCCGAAATGCCATCTTACATTCTGGTTTTTATAGGTGCATGACTATCGGAAACGTACCCAAGAGCAACCCTCTCCTGTGATAAATAAAGTGCGCCTTAAGATGTCACTTGAAAATGTGGTTAAAGATATTCCATCAATGTCGGACAGCTCATGGACATATGGTGATCTCATGGTAATCACGATAGCTCTTGGATTACAGGTCAAATATCTGAGCACTGAAACTAATCTTACTAATCCTTACATTAACTGTAGGAAGTGGAATCAAGAATATTAAAAGCCATACAACCTGAACTTTGTTTGGATCCTGTACCCAGACTTGATAGGCTGAGTAAAAACCCTGTGACGGCTAAGGTAATATCTCATTAAAAATTACTACTTGTGCTTTCCCTTCTCAATTTGCTTTTAAAATGTCTAAAGCGGTTTTGTTGATGCTCCATAGCTCGATTTGTCTCTTTCTACTATGCGGAGAAAGAGATTGATGGAAATGACAGAAGCGACTGTCATGTCTGTGAACAAGAGTCATGGGAAAAAGGTTTGCATTGATCGGCTACCAGAAAGTTCAGAGCGTGTAAACATGCCAGGACATTTGTTAATGCATCAAACCCATAATAACCAGGCTATTCAAAATCCTGGTACTAATATGCTGGCGGGATTAAGAAACCAGACATTGCAAGAGGCGTCAACTTCCTCACTGCCTTTGGTAACACCTCAGCAACAAAGGTACCTAGGAGCTGCAAATATTAGAAACATGCAAGATCAAGGATCAAATTCTGCCGCTGTCTCTGGAGCTTTACCTGGAGGACTAGATGCGATGTTGCCTTATGGCTCTAATAGTATGAACCCCGGTGCATCTTTTCAACGGAAGAGAGAAAGTCAAGAAGGACAAGAGTCTTCTATGCCTGGTTCGAATAAGCGAGCAAGGGTTTCACACATCGGTCCTAATGGGGTTCCACTGCAACAACAACTGGGGCAACGCGTGGATGGCCTTCAAGGAACCGATCCAAATTGGAAAAATGCGCTTCTACATCAAGATATACTTGGCAGAAGTAGTCAATATCCAAATCCAAGTATTCAGAGGTTTTCACCACAGCAAATTGAAGGAGTTATGAATCAGGAAGGTGGTCCCATGCAATTTCCAGCCTCACAACAGGGGGCAATGCGTTACACTTCGAAAGAGGAGCCATTTGAGACTGGTAAAATTGATGGTAATATCAGAAACAATTTGCCAGGGGTGGGAAGCGATGCAAATGATATGGACCCGCGTATGCAGTCAAGGATGCACAATAATGGATTCTTAAAATCAAATATCTCACAAGCATCCTGGAATGTGAATCCAGTCCAGAAGATTGAGAAAGATCTGAGAAAAGAAGAACAGTTCAATAGAAGGATGTCGGCTCAAAGCCCTCGTTTATCATCAGGTGCTCAACCACAGTCTCCACTTTCATCGAAGTCTGGTGAGTTTTCTGGTCCAATAGGAACACACTACGGAGCAGTTGCAGCAGCTCAAAAGGACAAGGCTGTTACATCTATTCCTGCTTTTGGTGCTACTCAGTCAGTGGGTTCTAGTCTTAATGATGCTATGCAGCATAGACAACACCAAATGATTTCAAAACGAAAGACAAATTCCCATCCTATGACGCAAGCTATAAACACGGTTGGCTCTCCTGTTAGTGTCAATACTGTGAGTGCCAATAATGTTGGTCCTTCAGTGGGAAACCCAACTGTTGGCGATCACGCAATCCTCGACAGATTCTCAAAAATTGAACGAGTTGCTGCAAAGTATGAATCTTATCAAACCTGTTTTTCTGAGGTTATACGCATTAGTCTTATTAATCCTAGTGGTTTGCTTTGAACTATATGGCAGATATCACATAGTTGAGAAACAATTAATAGTTTTATGCTTTCTGTCATGGAATTTTTGTTGTCTATTTCTAGGTACCAACTAAACTGCAAAAAGCATAAGGTGGATGAGTACTCTCGAAGACCTCGCTCTTATGTTCCTCAGCGTCTGATGGCTTGTTTTTCGAGCTTGTCTAACAACGAGGACTTCAAGGACGAGGAGAAAGCGTTGTCAAAATCTATTCTTGGTGGCAGCATGAATACATGCAAGACAAGAGTCATAAACTTCCTTCGGATGGAGCGTGTAATGCAAGGTCTGTTTTCTGCTCAAACCAGATATCTGACGATTGATACAGTTTCTCTTTTTCATTAACTCTGACTCCATCTTTTCAGGTAATGTGCCTGCCGCTGTCCCTAAAATAATAACAAGACTGGTGATGTCAGAGAAGCCCGTCGATGGGACAGTAGCATGGTATCAAGGGGACATCGATGATGGTGATGGTTTTCCGGCTGAAGATCATATGTTATCATTGCCCAATACCGTAAGTTCACTGAAAATTTAACAGTTACTAACACTACCCTGCATAGTTTTTCAATCAGTAGTACATCTTTAACTTGCATGCACTAACAATCTTATGACATTACATTCATCATTGTTTATTGGTTCTTGGGTCATGTTCTTTGGGCTTAAGTCACTGTTCGCTTTTGGACAAAGGATGATTTATTCTTCTTTTTCTGGAAACTATGCTAACTGGTTCATTTGTCTTCACTTTGTTATAGCATATCGCGGATCTACTTGCTGCTCAATTTAAATCACTGGTAATTCTCGAATTTTGAATCAATTATGTCAAGATCTTGGTTCAAAGAGAAAGCTACTTACATATTGATTTATATGCCTATGTAGATGGTCCGTGAACGTGAAGGATACCACATAGAAGATCATATTCAGGAAAAGCCAAGTCGTGGGGATGCTGGTCCAAGCAACAGCCAACCGAATTCTGCGGGTCCGAGAGGTAACTCTGCAAATGATACGCAACAGTATGGGGATGGAGTTGCTGGACAAGCCCCCAGTGAGGCATCAAAACAGGGGAATGCTGGAAGTGCACCTATTAACCCAACCCAAAATGTTCATGCAAATGCAAGAATGCTCCCTCCGACAAATTCTCAGGCCTTGCAAATGTCTCAAGGACTGTTGTCTGGTGTATCCATGCCTATGCAACCACAACAGCATGACCCACAACAGTCTCCGCTACTGTCATCACAGCTACAACAGAGAAATCAACAGTCCATGTTCACACAACAGCAGCATCCACAAATGCAGAGAGCAGGATCCATGATAATGCCTACAAATCCGCTCTCAGCTATAAACTCGATGAGCCAGAGCTCTGGCATGCCTCTGACCAACAACCATTCGCCTCACCAACTGCAGATGTTACAGCACCATGCGGCAATTCAGAGGAAGATGATGTTGGGGCAACAAGGGTCAGGTGTAGGCATGGGTATGGGAATGGGAAGCATGGGCAACAATATTGCTGCGTTGGGGGCTTTTGGCAGCCAAATGAATATGGCAGGAAGAGGGCTTGGAGGAACCGGAATCACATCATCAATGTCTCTTCCTGGCATCAATAATATGGGACAGAACCCAATGAATCATCAAGCATCAAATTTGAATGTTATAAGCCAGCAATTTCGATCTGGTGCCTTAACACCACAACAGAGTGCAGCTGTGTTTACAAATCTTAGGTTGGCGAACCGAGGAGGTGTAATGGGTGCTCCTCAAGCCGGGATGAGTGGCGTGTCAGGTGCCAGGCAGATGCACCCCAGCTCTGCTGGTCTGTCTATGATGGATCCAAATGCATTAAACCGAGCTAACCTGCAGCGAGCTATGGGTAACATGGGCCCACCTAAGCTGATGCCTGGAATGAATCCTTACATGAATCAACAGCAACTCCAGCATCAACAACAGCAAACCCAACAACAGTTGCAGCAACAGCAACAGCAACAGTTACAGCAGCCTATGTCTCAGCAGCAAGCTCAGTCTCAGCAGCAGCAGCTACAACAACATGAGATGCCTCAACAACCACAGCAGCAGCAGCAACAGTCAACAGCCTCCCCTCTTCAGTCTGTGCTATCACCACCCCAAGTAAGTTCGCCATCAGGTGGAATTACACAGCAGCAGCTGCAACAGTCCAGTCCCCAGCAAATGAGTCAGAGAACTCCGATGAGTCCCCAGCAAATGAACCAAAGAACTCCAATGAGTCCCCAGCAAATGAACCAAAGAACTCCTATGAGTCCTCAGATAAGCTCGGGTACGATGCACCCTATGAGTACCAGCAACCTGGAGGCTTGTCCAGCGAGCCCACAGCTAAGTTCTCAGACACATGGATCTGTTGGTAGCATCACCAATTCCCCAATGGAGCTTCAAGGTCCTAAGAACAACTCTGCTGGTAATAACAATCCCTAATCAAGAAGCATAATGATTAGTTCAAGAAAAGTCATTTTATCTTCAAAACATGGGTTGTAATTTGACTTAGGGACGGGCAAACCATTGGAAATTTTTACTGTCTCAGTTTTAAGTTTTGCTTGTACATAATTATTTAAGCTTTTGAAACTAAAACTAGATTCATGACCTGTTTGTAGAGAAAGTAAACAAGCCTTTGTGCTTTGCAAGTGAAAATGCCACAGCCATTGTTAGTAGGCTGTTGATATGTAAACCACTAACCACTGTTTGCTTCATGCTATGTGGTGATATTTGTTAATTTTAGTTTAGCCCACTAAGGCCAACCAATGTAATGTAGATATAACACTAGAGCAGAAGAGATGTAATGAAGAAGACAAAGGTAGAAATCTCCATGAAGTTTGCGGAAAGGACACACCGACTGACTTATCAATCATTAGCATGCCGGAAGCAATTAATAAACTTAATTAAACTTAACAACCAAACTTCCCTCTTGCATATCATAGTGTTTTAGAGCATACAATGATTAGAACTTAGTCGTACTTACATAAATTGATATAGAATTTTATTTGTCTACTTAATTACATTTCTGTTTCATCAACAATTTTTTCCGCTATATATATATGTTACTCCCTCCGTTTCATATTAAGTGTCGTTGTATAGAATTTTTTGCGTTATAAAATAAGTGTCGTTTTCGGTTTTCAATGCAAAATTTATTAATTTTATTATGTAATTTGTTTTTCTATTGGTTAAAATATGGTTAGGTGTATGGGTAACTGTGTTTTTATATAGGAAATATGTAAAATTAATTGTTTTCTTAATCCGTGTGCACAGCTGTAGAGTGACACTTATAATGAAACAGAGGGAGTAGTATATTAAACTGGTCGTAAGCAAGTATTATTAGCCATTATTTTATCATGTCGAGTATTAATCTGAAAGCTTTAATGTCTCTTATGCAAGTTTACAAAAACAAAAAACAAAAAAATTTAATGTCTCTTTAAGAAGAAAAATTTATATGGCTGGAAGTTCATAAAAATTAAAAATAAATATAGAATATCTGCAACTAGAAAGGAGAGTAGGACCATGAATTTGGGACCAGGTCACCAACGCGTCATGAGAGCGACCATTATCATTTCCAATTAAACAAAATTGCATATCTTAGTTTATGTTTTAGACAAAATATATATATTTGCCACCATATTTACATATCACAGAGGTAGGGCTGGGCATTTTATCCGTTATATTTGATTCGATCCGTTATTCGTTTCGATTCGATCCGAAAATTCCGGATATCCGTAAACTTTCGAATCAAAGCAAATACTAAAATTCAATATCCGTTAAAATCGAAGCAAATCACAAATATTAAAATTTTGGAAAGCGGATATCCGATCCGTAAATATATAAATATATGTATATTTTGATTATATTTAAAATTTTAATTGTATAAAATTATATAATTATTAATTTAACACATGATTTTGAACAATTCTATTCAAATCATTACTTATATAAAAGTATTACATAAAAAGAGATAAAATATTTTTGACAATTATATTTTTTTCTTAAATTTTGTGTTATTATAATTGTAACTTAAACTTTAAAAAATTACAACATCTATAAATTCACTAGTTCTTTTAAGTTTTATTTTATATATCATGCAAAAAAATATTTTTGCAAAGCAAATTTGTATCAAAATCTTAAGCTTATTTGTACTAATTAAAATGGATGAGATATCCGTAAATATTCGTAAATATCCGCAAATATCTATTTATTTTCCGGATATCCGTTTTTCCGGATATCCGTATTTTTTCGAAGCAAAGCAAATACCAAAATTAGATATCCGTAACATTCAAAGCAAATCACAAATACCTTAAAAAACCCGGATATCCGATCCGTGCCCACCCCTACACAGAGGACCGTGTCTCAGATATGGGGAGTTTCGACGGATATAAAATTAAAATTAGGTTTTAACTTTATAAAAAGAAGTTCAACAAAAAAAAAACTTTATAAAAAGACAGAAAAATTATTTTAAATATGTTTTTGCATTCAAAAAAAATTGTTTTCGCATAAAATGAATATTTCAAAAAATTAAATAATGTACATACTGTAGTTGCTAATGTTTTAGGTACTGTCCCTGATCATAAACGAAACACCATGATATCGATGCCACAAATCTTTACTGGTACTATTTTAAAAACAAAGAAAGATAAATTTACAATCTTTTTAATTTGTTGAAACTAATTAACTAATCGGAATCTAATTAATTGGACTCGTCATCATATTCAATCATTTACAATTCGTTACTAATTCAAGCAAATTCAAGAATCAATATTCATTGAAGTCTTTTTATTATGTCATGAGACTCATGAAGAAAGATTCAGTTACAAAAATAGAAACAAAGGTTACAAAACCGCCACATTAAAAAGTATAGAAATAAAGGCAGCCATATATTAATTTTCTCTATAATCACCATATTCTTTTAATTGTCTATGAAAATTAAGAAAATATAACCTATTATACATTTAATTAGAAGCATGTATACAGATTGTAATTAAGAGAAAACAAAATTATTTGTTGGTTGTACCATAGTAAGAATCTACATACGCTCATCATCATAAAATTGCTCGAGAAAAACAGTAGCAAATGACATGGTTTACGAGATCACTTTTGGATCACAAACCGCATCAAATCAAATTACAAATCAGCAGCAACAACAAAATACTAATAAACAGTATATAATATACGAAATAAATGTATAGAAATCCAATGGTCGATGTCAATAAGTATAGAACTCAGCCAATTCTTCAACGGATCCTCCTTCTTGACCAGTCTTAAGCATCCACAACAAGTGCTCAAACAAAACAACTTCACAAGCTACAACAATCTCACGATCTTGTTCAACGGACCTAGAAGACCGATCCACGAGTTCTTGGAAGAGTGGGTGAGAGATGATGTCAGGTCTAAGCATGTAAGGTCTTCGAGTCTGACCAACGTAAACAACATGAAGATTGTTGTCTTCTGATAGCTCATCGGAGACGGCAGCGGAGGAGGAGGAGGCTGAGTGGTGGTTCTTGGCGAAGGAAGGCCACTTCTTTATCGCCGACTTGAGCTTTGTCAGCTTCCCAACTTTGGCCATTACTTATGAAACAAAACTTTATCTTCGATTTGGAACAAGAGAGTTGTTGAAACTAGGTAGGGTTTAGGGTTTATGAGGATATATATATATGATTATTTGAGTATGTGTGGGGGTCAAAGTATTGAATGAAGAATAGAAAATGTTTTGAGATGTTCTTGGGAGGAAACAACGAGGACGGTTCGTGTATATATATTGAGTGAGATAGAGAAACGTATAGATGCATTGCGTGACCCACCGATTGATGCATAACAGCTAAGGGAGATGAGGACATAAATGGCAAAACTAGTAGTGTCTCCTTTGCCCATTGTTTTTCCTTTTATCTCTTTATAATCGGATTTTAAATTTTACTTGAATAAATTCTTTAATTTTTTCAACTTACTGATCATTTTTTTCTCACAGTAACTGATTATTACATCTTTTTGTTTAAAAGATATTATATTAAAATTCGATTACATGAATGATATATAATCATGTACCATTTTTGACAAAGAAATATAATCATGTACCATATGAGATGACAATAAAACTATATAGCATACATATATTTTCGGATTAGTATATAAATTTTCTAATAGCTCAAATATCATATATTACCCAGACTCATAAAATATATAGGTTTTGTACCAACAATCCAAAAATCACTATATATATTTAATATAACTTAAGACTAATATATATAATTATTCTACATTAACAGTACAAAACTATTTGCGTCATATGTATATGTTTTCTTAACTATGACATTTTGTTTTGTCTGCATAGATGCCATTTGTCATAAATCAAAATTGTATACTTTATAGATATATCCATGTTTATTCGATAAGTATTCTTTATTGTATATTAATATACTATATAAATAATAGCATATAATAAGTTTGTAGATTTATACGTATATGTGTGTAGATGTGTAGGCAACCTCTAACCTCTTATTGCTGTTGTTGTCTAATGATCAGACAAAGAGTGATGTTTTTCAGATAACGGTTACATCTTGTCCACAATTTTGTTGAGTATTACCCGATAATGCTAATTGTTTGTCGTTCATATGTATGATATAACAAATATAATCTTCGTCCACCGACTAAAATCTTGTATTTATAGCTTCGTATGAACTAACATAAGTTATATGACCTGGTTATATCCACATTTTCGAAACCATATAACCATAAATCCAATGAAGAATAAATCATAAAGAAAATAAAATATGGCATTTAAACTAAATAAGTTTATTGAATATTTTAACATTTTTGTATGACGGATCACCACCCGTCACATTTGTTCTTTTGGCAAAATACATTCCTCTTATTTAGTGCAAAGGCATCTTTTCAGTTTTAAATATATAGTACTTAGGGTATCAAATGTGCTTTAGATTATTTTAAAACTAGTTAGTTTGGTATTCTGAGAAATTAGGTAGAGAAGACCTTAGTACCTTACTGCCTGTCTTTATCGAAGGAAGAAAAGTTGTGGATGGTAAGCTAATCATTCAAGGAATTTTAAATACTTTTTTTTATTATAAATGGTCGAGAAGACATACTTGAGAAAATAAATTACATACAAGCCAGTACTGGCGCATGATTAGAAATTAGATAACTGTCCAGTGTCATATACTTATGTTATGTAGACATCAAGCTAGGCCTAAGAATCTGATCAAGGTGATTGATTTTTTTAAATTATATTTTTGTTTAATGAGTGAATTTATTGAAGATTAAGAAAGGAAAATGACACACGCACATGCATTACATGTAATAGACAAACAATCTGAATTCTTGAATACTAATGACTTCTGATTTGTAATCATTGTAATGATTTGCTTAAATTCTCTCAAAAATATGATTTGCTTAAATCGAGTTATGCTAAAAAAAATTAAAAGGAAGCGACATAATTCATATAGATTTTTTTTTTTGAAACACAGCATAATTCATATAGATGTTACTCAATATTCTAAGGTAAGTACTTTTAACAACTCTCCTTGTCTTGAAATTTAAATATATAAATGGAAAGATTAGAAACTTATTTAAGAGAAATACTTAGATCAAATATCTTAAACTAGAGTCCAAAATAAAAGTAGAGACAAGCCAGTTGGGATGGCGTTGTTGATGTAAATGCGCGACAATTGTGCAACTAACCTGCTTCATTTTTCTAGACTTGGTCTAAATTTAGTCATTTGTATTTCATACATTTAGTGCATGTCTTGTAAGGAAATAACATAAAGTGTGTCATAACTTAACACGTTATTGTTTTCTTAAAGTATATGTCTATAAATGCTTCTAATAATATATCTTTTGTTGTTAACCTAGTTATAAGCTGACAAAAAAAAAACCTAGTTGTAATTGTTGCCGGATATATATAATTGTATGTGATGATAAATTAATAGATTAATATGATAGTCTACTGATTTATATTGATTTGACTGTATATATGTACTTTTGGAAATGTTTTAAGTCCTCCTTTTGATAATGGGTTTAGGTTTGGAACGGTTTAAAAGTTTAAATAAGAGGTTAGCTTCTTCCCCAAAAAAGTAGGATTTTAGTGTTAGATTTGATATAAGCATGTCTTAATCATTATCACTCAATTAAAGATCCAAGATGATTTTAACAACCCAATTACCTTTATATCACCTTAAACTCGCACGTCTATCATGATGTTTTTACGAAGGGGGAATTTTTTTTGATATTTATGAGGAGTATTTTGGTTCCTCTTATGTGGTCCAGATTAATCATGTGATAGGGTTTAAGTTTTTGGCGAGATTTCGGCGGAGTAACCCAGACAATGTGTTGTTCTCTTTGGGCCGAAGAATCCATGTGAAAACCTCGGTGACCGGTATGAATCAAACCTAGGATCGTAGTTGCAACTGCAAGCCGTTCACCACCAGACTAATACGTCCTAGTTAAGGGAAAATTTTGTTTCTTGATAACTCTATTCACTATCCGATCTGTCTTAGGAAGAATGTAATTAGTATTACGGTGTGGACTCATCATAAAACTACTATATTATTTTATTCGAATTTGAATACCTTCGGATTAATAGTAGAGATAGTTAGATCATTTGTTAATTAACTACCATGTAAACTCTCTTTGGCCGAAGTCTAAATACAGATAGACTACGCAACAACAGCTTAATTCCTATCAGAATTCAATACAGAGAAATTTACGGTGCTTGCCAAGAGATTACCACCAGTTGGTTAGGGAGATCTATATAAATATCAATATTTGTATATAAATTGATGTGTATAAGGATATCTACACAAATGGTTTCAAGTAGTCTTAAAGTTATTAAATTATATAATAACTGTATAGAATTTTCCTTCAAAGATGAAAACTGAAAAGAGAGGAAACTTTTTAAAAATAAAACATCACAAAATTGGAGTGACAATCTCCATCGTTACTGTATAATACTTTAACAAAAGTAAGAAACCTTGAATAGCACGCAACGACTCTTACTTTCTGCTTCAATCTATGACATTGAAACTCTTCTAACCTCGTGCTTTGTTCTTTTTTTTTTTCTTTCTCGGCTCTGAATCTCTGATGTTACCACATTTCTTTTGGACTTTGAATCATCCTTCTCGTCTCGGTCTATCAAATGCTTGCACTCTTCAAGACTCGTAAATGGAGATTTCCGTTTTAGTTTTTGTTTCTTTTTCTTGTTACCACCAACATCATCACTATCATCACCACCACCATCATGATCATCAACATCATCACCATCAAGCATATCCATTTATGTGTCCATCTCTACATCACTCGCATCGTCCACAAGCTTCTCATCATCATCACCACCCCCCACAACTCTATCTAGATCATGATAGTCATATTCACCACCCTCTTCTTCCACAACTTCATCAACATCATCCAACATATTATCAATCTCCTCATTGTCACTCTCAGCACCAGCCTCGAATTCAACATCACTTTCATCGTTTCCTCCACCATCACCATCATTCACATCAGTTCTTCAGCAGCTTCTTCTTCTTCTTTTTTCTTTTTCTTTGATTTCTTTGTACTTACTACTCATCTTGTTCACATAGAGCTTAAATTGTTTATCAAAACTATACATGGGTCCAATTTGTTAAAACATAAAAATTTAAATTCTTATTAAATTGTTCATTTAAAAAAAAGTTATGACCGCTTCATGAATACTTGATGCTGTCATGTTGTAGTTTGGCTGAACGACTCTCAAGTCCAAATATGGGACTTTGCATCCAACCGTCAACTTAGAACATTGGAGGAGTGTCCAACTGTCCATCACCATCAGTCTAGAGTTGGATAATTGGCATGGATAGGCCAGTTTTCAAAAAAAAAAAAAATGGCATGGAACAATCACATTTTGATAACAGAAAGGATATGGATGGACAGATTGTAATAATATCCGGATAAGGTCACATGTTGTTGGAACTTACATGGGTCACACTGGAGAGATTTGTGTGCTCAGAGTTGTCAGGATTTGGAAATCAGCTAGTCAAGCAACGACAATTTGATACACATATGGGATCGTTTTGTTGTGTCCTCAAATTCGGCCATGCAGTGGCTGCTCAGGCTTGAGATCAGAGCCGGCCCTTGCTAGAAGCCAATGAAGCAAGGACTTCCGGCCTTAATATTATTAAGAGAAATATCGGCCACAAAATTCTAAAAAGGTAACTTTAGTCCAGTGGTCAAGTGATTCTTTCTCTTGTTATAGGTGAGTTTAAACCTAACCAGCCATATTATTATTTTTGACTTGTAGCCTTAACAAAACAAGGACCGGATCTGCTTGAGATGAGACGATAAAGTTCTGGAACTACCACGTAGGAGGTTGCTTGAATCCAAATAGTTGTACAGTCACTTCAGCAGCTTGAGACGAGGTTCTATAATGTTTTTTTGGAATACATTCCAATATCTTCGGGCACATAAGAATCTAAACTAGATTGAGAAATGAGTATACATGTACTATATATATGATATAATTCTATATAGAAAAAAGTATAACTAGGTAATACAACTTCAAAGAATCTTAACATTTATTATGCGGCTTCAAATCCTAAATAAGTCAAACTCCAAACATGAACTGATGAATTTTTATGTCCTAAAGCTTGAGTTCAAGATCTTTTGAACACCTTCCTTCTCCATCCACTTCCATCGACACATCGTTATGTCTCTTTGGTTTTGAGGGAGTCGAAGGTTGTCCTGGCTCTACTGATGGACCAACCTTTTGTGGCTTGGGAGGAAGATGACCACAGTTTTGATTCACCTGATAAGGAGCTCTAGCCACAGCCCTGAAAATTTAAACATAACCAAAAACTTGTAAGTTATGTTGTTCTTGACATCTTGTACTAAGATGGAAGCATTAAAACCATATAATATTTAATATTCAATTTGTTTTGCTTCAAGTTTAAATATACCTGTCTTTTCGTTTAGCAAAGAATCGATGAAGAGAGGCTCTTCTTGCAATGCGTTCCACGACTTGGTTTTGCTCTCCTGTTCCATGATCATCGTTGTTGGTCCCGGAACTAGTTGGCTCGTTCAGATCAGGAATCACAACGTTGCTTTTGTTGCACACGTTCATGTCTAGATTCTGAGTTTTCTTTGAATCAACAGCAACAACATGGCTTGCTTTTTTGGCTGCTTCCATTATCTCTTTTGCTTTGTCTTCAGGAAACTCATTGTAAACCATAACCTTCCCGCGGAAGAATATGGTCAGCTGGGAGTTTCCAGGCTCCGGTACTACACTTGCTGGTTCACTGAAACCAAACCAAACCAAACCAAACCATTGGTACATTGTTCAAAATCCCACATCTATATGTACACGTTTTAATCATTCTCTTAACCAAGACTTTTATTTAATACCTTAGAGTTAGATCTACATATCTGGATTTGCCTCCGGAAGAAATAAAGTCGTCACCTACTGAAACCTTCTGAGTCAGATCGAAGGTTCTAGTTTCAGAAATGTCTGCCTTCTTTATTCCATTTTGTTGTCCTATAACCAAAAAAATACACTAAATCTAATTCAGATGATGATTAAAAACAATTATACTAAATTCAAAAGATTTCTCTATTCATCTTCAAACTAAAATATAAATTTCCTATTTTTTTTTTTACATTTCAGAAAGAAAAAAAAATATTTGATATACTTTTCCATCTTGTAATGAAATTTTTGTTTTAAGCAAAAAATCTATAACGCAACTGAATATAAAGAACCTAAAACAAAACTGGTCTTTAAAAAGACATACCTCTAAGATCAGATTTTCCGGCGAGTTCAAGATCGAGTTTTCGAGCCAAACCAATATCAATATTCCCGAAACTACCCTTCTCCTTCAAGTAGCGGCTGAGCAAACTACATCTCCGAGAAAAACTAGACTTCTCCGGTGCTTTTCCGGTCGACATACTGTGATGAGAATTGCAACAACTCGAGTTGGTTTCACACGTTAAAATCGAAGAGTACGAGCGGATAAATGAGTTATTTATGCCAATACGTTTCTGTGGTTTTAAAGCCCTCGCGAATATAATATTAAGTCAAACAAATAACGTGTTTTTTAAAATGATTTCTTTATTGTTTTTTAATGGAGTGACAGTGATATGTGCGCAATAAATAGTATTTGTCACGAGGCTACTTATACCTAACATGCTAATTCAATTTACCAGAGAAAGATTTATGATGGTTCAAGTTAGACTCGGTCCTTTCTATTTAGCCGCCTAAAACATAAATAAATAAAAAATCATATACTCATAATTTCTGTGTAAATTCTTGCAGGTTAATTATAAGATGTGACTGTTTATCGGAGATTATAGAATGCTATCGAAGATATCATACATACAAAATTGTTCGTCAATTCATGTTTTAATGAGAATTTTTTTCGTGGAATATCTGTAGAATTATTCATCAATATCAATATATCATAGATAATTGATTATGTAATAGAATCAAATATTATCTAATGATATAATTATTATCAAGCTAAAATAATAGCTAATATTTCTTACATCTTTCACCAAAAAAAATAGCTACTATTTTGATTTTTAACCAAAAAATAATCTTTGGATACATATTTTCCACTGTAATATATTAATAATTTATGAATTGTAAACAATTATAATAGTGATTAATTATACTATCAAATTTCTCCTTTCTTAGCTATTGGGTGATCAATAAAAGTTTCATAAAAGAATTTGTTTGTCATGTACAAATTAATATATAAATACGTTTAATTTAAAACCAAACCAATGTTCAGTACAAGTTACAACTTCCGGCACGTTTTCCTTAAGGCTGCAGCGAAATTTAAACAGAAAAGAAAAAAATTTTAAAAAAAAAAATAAAAAGTTGACGGCGACATTAGTGGAAGGCGTTAACATTGTCCTTTGTCCACATCAAATCATCGGGTCCCGAAAGTAGTTATTATTTACAATATTGGTCCTTCTACGAAAAACAAGTTGACAAAACAAAAAAAAGGTTCTTGAGACGAAAATATAATTCGTTTGGTGGTGGCGGTGTCGGTGGCGGTGACGGTGGTGCCGTGGTGGCATATTCGTTATTAAAGAGCGTAACAGAGGGTGTTTGCACAAGCCATACTACCAGTAGAACTTGTGTTCTGTACAGAAAACGAATGCTTATCCCCGACAGAGTTTTAGGGCACGTGAAAGATTTGCTCTGTAACTGGATGCAGCCACGTGTCGATAACTTAACGGTTTACACTTAATATGTGCATGATTTGCGTTTTTTTTTTAAGAGTACTTAACTATTTCCAAAATAATTATTTTTTTTAGGAGTTCAGACACACATTAATCTCTTTCTAGGTTCGCTCTTGCTAACAATATCTTATGACATGGTGTAAACCACTAATTATTTCAGTAAAAAAAAAAACCCACTAATTTTTCCAAGTAAAAGCTTTTTCACTATATAACACAACTGTGCATTAGTTACAATTTCACTAATATATCGAATGTAAAAAGATATCTGAATATTTTACAAGTCTTTTTTTTACATGCTTATTTTACATGTACCTAAACCTTTTTTTAATGTGTGTGCTTTTGAGAAATTTCTACTTCTCAAGAGTTTTGCTTAGTCCTAATATGATTTTTTTTTTATGTTTGCTTAATTAAGTACTCTTACGACAGTTAAATTTTAGTCGTTTTGTTTAATGAAGGTGTGCGTTGAATTTTCGTTAATTAAGTTTCAACACCAACCAGAGACTAAAGAATTTAGCATGTATGAGGCGTAAAATATCATATAACAAATGTCGTAGACGATAGTGCCAAGAGGAAAAAAATACATATTCGACGCAACTTGCAAGATCTTATCAATGAAAATATAATACTTTGAACTTTGAAGAGTAAACCATATCATATATATACATCTACAGTTGAACAATATAAATAATATATATGTACATAGACATCATATCTGTTTTTAGTGATGCAACGCAATCTAGAAGCAGTGCTGCTTCTGTTACACAAGACCAAAGAAATAATCATAATTCACACATGACGGTCCCTATGCATCTTACATTCTTGTAGCTAAGATAATCCAAAAATAAATAAAAAATTACTGCAAATGGTATTTTATACAAAACTATGTGATAACTGATATGCGATGTTCGTATCTGTTACATTGACGTGTGTACGTTAAAACGGTTAAATGTCGAAATATAGTATAAACAGTCATTTGCATTAATGTGACGGCAAAATAGAAGCTTTGCGTTTCTATCATTACCCAACGCTTCTGACACCGACAGATACTTTGCAAATGAATACCAAAAACTTGAAACTTCTGCACATGCTTCACCTTCACATGGAATGTTAGAAACGAAATGCATGTTTTTGAAACGCAATCTGGTCCCAAGTAGTCATTGTACAGGTTTATTAATTTGTTTGTAAAAACACAATCTGGTCACTAAAATATGTAGCATTTACACGAATAAATGTTTTCTAAAACCAAACTTCAATATGATTCTAGTTTCTTAGATCAAGTTTGGGCTTAGACACTAACATCAAATGGTAGCCATATGGGCCACTAAGAATGCATAGGCATCTTGTATTTCGTAATTGCTTTTGCCTTTCTCAATTTTGACTATTTCAACGAACATTCGCGCCATAAGCTCTTAACCCCCTCTCATTCAATGGATTACAATCGACAAAGAAAAAGAAAAGACAAAGCGAGAAACAAGACAAGAACAGAGAAAATTAGTAAATCACATTAGCAAAAAAAAAAAAGAGAGGAGATAATTTGATTAACGGAATTTTTTAACAAGTTTTTAGAAGCTCCAGGCAGCCTAGCTCTGGTTAAGTAAATGGCCGTGGCCTGGCTAATTTGGCCGCTCATGCTATCTCTAACAGCACATTTTGCTAACTCGTTAACAGAAGCAGAATCATTGTTAAAATTCAAGGAATCATTAACAAACACCAAGCCTCTTGATTCTTGGACACTAGATTCAGATCCATGTGGAGGAACACAACGATGGTTCGGATTGCTATGCAAGGAACACTCAGTCTTTGGTCTCAAGATCGAACAGATGGGTCTCACAGGAAACATCGACGTTTCCCCTTTAATCGACCTACCCGGTTTACGCACCATAAGCATAATAAACAACTCCTTCACGGGTAAAATACCAGAGTTTAACCGATTAACCTCTCTGAAATCGATTTATTTATCAAACAACCGGTTCTCTGGCGATATCCCTTCCGATTATTTCACTCCAATGGGTAAGTTGAAGAAAGTGTGGCTGTCCAACAACGAGTTCTCTGGCCACATACCTATCTCGCTGGCCACTACATTACCAAAACTAAGGGAGCTACACCTCGAAAACAATCAATTCAATGGGATCATACCAAACTTCACCCAACGGAATTTAGTCCATGTCAACCTCTCAAACAACCGACTAACCGGTGAAATACCTCCCGGTTTGTCAAAATTTAAAGCGAGCAATTTCGCGGGGAATCCTGGCCTTTGCGGTGCAAAGCTAGCAGCTACCTGCACGCAGCCAGGAATCTCGACTGCATCGATTTCGATAGACGGAGACATGAAAGATGACTATAAGAGCAAATACTATATATCATTCGGTACACTAGGCTTCCTTTTCATCCTCATCATCATCTTATTTTTCTACCTAAAGAGGAGGAAGATGATGCAACGTGCCTCTGAACAAGACAACGACGACGACGATCAAGAAATTCAGGTTAGTAAGGCCATTTCTTTAGTATCTATGCTTAAGAACATCTAAGAGGAGTTAAGAAACATAAACAAACATAATTCCTTGATTTGATTGACAGGTAATTGTTCACGGAGCAAGAGCTGATAGCTCCGGCGAGTCGCCGACGACGACAGGGACGGCTGATCTTGTGATGGTAAACAAAGAAAAAGGTGTATTCTGTTTATCAGACTTACTAAAAGCATCAGCACACGTTCTCGGCCCTCCCGTTGCTGGTGGAGGAAACCGCCCCACCAGCAGCGGGAGCGTGGGATCCGCATACAAAGCCGTGATCGCCAACGGCGTCACGGTCGTTGTAAAGCGCGTAACGGTGATGAACGAAGTGAGCATAGAAACATTCGATAAGGAAATCAAAAACCTAGGAAACTTGCGTCACAAGAACATACTAACGCCTCTCGCTTACCACTCCCGGCGAGACGAGAAGCTACTCGTATTCGAATTCATCCCTAACCTAACCTTACACCGCCGATTACGCCGCAGCGAAGATTCTCAACTAACCTGGCCGTCGCGGTTCAAAATCATCCAAGGGATCGCGAGAGGGATGAGTTACCTCCACAGAGAGCTATCGTTTCTGACGTTACCTCACGGAAACCTGAAATCGAGCAACGTGTTCATCTCCGACGACGGAGAGCCGTTGATCTCCGAGTTCGGACTCCAGAGATTGATCAACGCCGACGCGCGATCTCAATCCCTCGCCGCGTACGACTCTCGCGATGGATCCGTCTCGGCGAAGTCGGATGTGTACTGTTTCGGAGCGGTGGTGTTGGAGATTTTGACGGGGAAGGTTCCGAGTCAAGATCTAGCCGGTGGGGTGGATTTGGCGGAGTGGATTGGATCCGATTTGGATCTGATTCATCCGACGGTTGTAACTGCCGCACGTGGGGAGAAAGTGGTGTGGGGTGAGGTGGAGAAGGTTTTGAGGATCGGTGTGAGGTGTATGGGAGAAGATCCGGATCTGCGGCCGAGTATGGTTGAAGTCGTTGATGAATTAACGGTGGAAGATTCTAGTGCGTTACTATAGAAAGCTTAGCTTCACTGTTGATTCTGAGATTCAAACCGTTAGATATGTGTAGACTGACTGTTATTTTTTTTGTTTTAATTGTTTATGTTTAAATTTGTATATGATTAAAAAGGAATTAGCTGAGGTTACTTGTAATAATAACAAAGTTTGTTTTAACGTTTTGGGCACTTAATAGATGTGATGAATGATAAATCTATATATACTATTGATTTAGATTTTTTATTTTATAAAAGATTATCATTTAAATTTTTTTAAGTGGTACAACAAAAATATATTTTCTTATATATGTTCTAAGTGGGTTATAATAAATTTGTTTTAAATATGATATTATGAAATAGTTTGAAAAATTTGACAACAAAACCATACGGTTCCATTCGGTTTATAAACATTTTAATTTTGCTTGACCATATTTGTAATTGGTTTATGTGTATTAAAATCTAGACTTAAATGAAATCCGTGACTGTTAAATTTAAACGAGAGGAATTCTTTATATAAACTAAGGTTATATATATACTACATACATGTATATATATTTATCTTTCCACACACTTGTATGTAAGCATATCTCATGTACTGTATTCTGATGTTTTAATTTCCTGAACATGTTTGGTTTTTATGAACACAAACATGCAAAAAAAGAAACTCATGGGATCTACATATAGATACCCAAAAAAATTCATCAGAAAGAAAAAGAAATTTGAATGATCACTTCTTTCTGATTATTCTCTGTCTTGATATCAATGAAGATTCTCGATCTGCAAAGACATCAGATTCAGCATTAAGAAGAAGCAAAACTAACGAGGTTAATATTCAGATTAACTATTACCTGAACATGAGTAAGGGAAAAGTGAATCACATCTCAAGAACAATGACTGCAACCAAAAAAAAAATCTAATTAGTTCATGGACGATTTATTTTGTTTTAAATTATAAGAAATAAAAAGATTTGAAACTCACAATCAGAATCTGTTTTGACCCATTTACTCCCATCGCTACTATTTCTTTCTTCGTCTGCCTCATTCTTTAATGAAAGTTGTTGCTTGTCTTGCAAGTATTCCTTCATTGATGTTTGCTTTGGAGAAGTTTGAGTATTAATCTTCTTTAGTAGCATCACCCTCAGTAACTGTATATATAACGTAAAAGTATTAAGATACATGATTTATAACTATCCGAAACTGTGTTAAGAGCTTAAGTAGTACCTTCTCCAATCTCGATTCTTGAAACGTGTCTCTCAAGCTAGGTTTAGGAAGAGGAGATAACCCTTCCGTACAGACAAACATCTTCTTGAGGAGATAAGAAACAGATATTTTGCTCAGATCTTTATTACTCTTCTTCTTGTTTTTACTCTCTGTGGTAAGAGCTTTGCATCTACCCAAAATAACACTGATGGTACGCTCAATATCTTCTTCGTTCTCATCAGCACATCCACCACCTGAAACCGCGTTGCTGATTCTTCTATCGACTTCAAGACTCGAAGGACAATTCAAGAATCTATCCAAAGGAAGATTCGCAAGTTCTTTGTTCACATCAGACTTCCTCTTCTTGTTCTTTCTTGTCAAGAGCTTCGTCAGCTCCTTTTGAAGTTTCCCAACTTCCTCTGGAGTAAAATCTTCAAGATCATCGGAGAAAGAAAGATTTTGCGCTTCACCTTCCACGTGCACGTTATAGGGCTTCTCTTCTTGAACAGCCTTTATTGGTGTGTGCTCTTTGGTCACGGTACCGAACGTTCCAATCTCAAGTAAACCGTGAAGCCAGTCGCTAAACTCTTCTCGTGGTTGATCTGAACAAACATAAGACAAACAAAAATCATCAGAGAGACAATTATTTAGGAGAGGTTGCTTTGCACATGTTCCAAGTAGACAACTACTTTGGTAAATTAAAAGTTTGTTTCAACGAATAGGTAAACAATAGATTATAATTTGTGTAATCATCTTTTACTTACGAGAAGAAACAGAGGATGTGCTTGGTCTATGATTATTCGTCTGTTTACCATGTAGTTTGTTCTGCATCCACCCAAAGAACTGGAAAAAAAAAACATATATGAATACTTATGTTCATTTTCTGACACCATCTGATAAATCAATGAACATGAGTGATGAAACGAACCTTCATGTCTTAATAACCCCGAAGGATAAAAAAAGAAGCGGAGGAGATGAGAAAAGAAATGAAATCACTCGAGTTCTTGCTGAATCAAGAAGCTTAAACAGAAGTAGATTTTTTTTTTGTCAAAACATACAAGTAGAAATTCAAGAAAATAAGAATCTTTGAATATGTTTATTTGATGAATTTGATGGTTCAAGTTCCAAAATTGACGGCCTTAGTTCTTCGTCCGGATTCACTTCTTCAAAAAAAAAAGGAAGAAAAAAGTTTAAAAAAAAAAAATTTAACTCTGGATTTCTTTGGTTAACTTCTGTTCAGTTCTCACACTCTTCTTTATACAGCTCACGACGTACGACTCGTATCTCCATGCAAACGATCGTGGTCCAACGAAACATTCTTCCGTGCGTATTTAATTTGTATTAGAGCTTAGTTAATATTGTAAAATGCTTAACTAGTATCATAAAATATTGATTTTGTATCGGATAGAACGTCACGGCTTTGATCATATCAATTCATGTAACGGCACTTCGTATGATCATAAAGCCTCAGATCTCTTTTTACCATTTTTCGACTATCTATAAAAGGATATAAAATTTAGATTGAATCCCTAGAAAAGCATTTGATTTGTCATTGAGTGGTTACTATGTTGACACGAAGATAAGGCTTCTACATATTTTGCTATTTGTGTGATTTATAAATATGGTTATGCATATGTAAGCGTACTTTTTTAATTAGTCTCACGCAAACATTGCCATTATAAACCCTTCAACAAAAAGGCCATTATTACTTTGAATTCATTTGTACTTTTTTTGACATCATTTGTAATATATAATTACTTCATGAATAACATAAAATTAATCAATGACTTATAACTTGATCTGTAGATGATCTTCTTTTCTTCAATTCTGTTATTTTCAAATATGAGAACTCAACATCGGCGAGGTACGTCATTATTGAAAGTTGGTAATAACTTATTCCCTATGTTAAATACAATTTTTTATACATAATCTATTTCTTATCATTTTAACAAATCAATAGATATTTTTAAAAAATTATTTAAATAATTATACATTAAATAAAGGTATATAAATATTTTTCATTTTTAATTTATGTGAAATGTGTAGTGATATTTATAATGAAACAAAAGGAATATAATAAATTTACTAAATGAAAATGTAGTAGGTGGAATCAAGATTATGACCAAGAATGTACTCTCTTGGTTTGAGTGTTGGAGATATTAAAAATATATTAAATTTTTATTATAAATAAATTATTTATAATAATTAATTACTTTCACAATTTTTAGCCCGTCACAATTTAATTATTTTTTCTGAAACTTTACAATTTATCGTTGTTACCTAAAAAGTGTTTTAAAAATATAAAATATACATTTCTTTTTTTTTAAAAAAATGTGGATCATTCCAAAATGTAAGGAGTATTTAATAAAATTACATTAGCTTGGTCTTCATTAATTAGTTACCATATAAATCAACGTCATAAAATATTGTCTGAAACATCCACGTTTTAAGTTTATGGCCTTTTATTGTGAAACGTGTTCTTGACCCAAAATAAATTTTGATCCACTCGTAATTTCTGGTCGATATTGTTGTAGGGCATCAAATTCCAGATAATTTCTGAAAGTTCTAAGAGGCAAAGAGACAAAAAGAAAGAGTGAAAATTTAAAAAGGCAAACCCCACGAAAGAACTCATGCCATTGTCCCCTTGCCCTCTGGAATGCTAAGATCTTAGTCTCTCTATACACTTTAATATTGTATATCATTCTTCCATCAAATAATTCAGTCTTATAAAAATGATATGTACGTGTAACACATCTTAGGGGAAGGCGAAGAAAGCCTTTTTCCGCTTCAGAGAGAATTGAGGTTTCGTTCCTA